ACCCAAGGGCAAAACGACCGTCTTATGACTGAAGCTCCATCTACCAGGCAAAAAGCAGGTCACCATCATCAGTGCCGTGTGGTTGTTACCGCTTGGTGTGGCGAGTTGTCCGTCTTGAGTTTGCTGTGGTTGGAGTACTGCACGAAGACGGACTGGTTGTGTGGTTCTCACATGGTGGTGGTTGTAGCGTGGTGGTGGGTCTGTGGCTGTTGTGGAGAGAGTGGAGTTATCCACACCTGGGCAGTGTGCTCCTGACCGGCTCCGGTTTGACAGCAGAGGTCTCACTCCGAATCAGCCGAGCGGCATCATCTTTTCATTGGCTGCATATTGCTGTGTGGAAGCTACCTGGTCTGTCGCCCCACACGAAGCTTCGGGTCTTCTCAGCCACGGCCTGTCTCTATGGTTGCGAAACCTGGACCCTCCCTAATGGAACATGCACGGCTTGAAACATGTCTGCGTATTTCTTGAAATTATTTTCTGCTGCCGTGCAGAAGGGGCACGCTGTTATGCTGCAAATATCTTGAAATATCCCCATGTGCCCAACCTATTTCTATATACAGTTTAATGTGTGTAGATGGAAAAAAAACAAATTTCCCTGTACTTTCCTATGCGTAGGTATGCGGCAGATGCAGAACGGTGTGGGCAATTAAAAGCAGCTTCTAAGTGTCTTGGGAAATAAACGTGCAAAAGTCAACAATCGCCATACGCAGTCTTATCAGACTCCCAAGCAAAGCAACGGTGCACAGCGGAGTGCAGAGGTTCAGTTCCGATTCTTGGTCACGACACACAAAAATGCAGTGTTGCAAGGCCGTAATTATAATAAATATTATGGGGGGAGGCACACTACCCCCCCCCCCCCCCATATTCAAATATGCTAAAATGTCCCCCCCAATATATTGCTATAAAATATATTTCTGTTTATATGATTGTGGTTATGGTTGTACTTTATTAATCCCTAATCTCTGCCATTACATACAATGAAACAAGAAAAAAAAGAAAAAACAGCAATGTAATACAATACACTATAGACATTATTGTAAAAAATAAAAAAGTCCATTTTATGTGTTTGTGAATTTTTTTTTAGGCAGGAAATTATTTTCAAATTAGATTTTTTTCTGGGAGGGGGCCCCCAGATCCCCTGGAAGATTTGGTCCCCCCCAATGTTGACTCCATGGCTACGGCCTTGCAGTGCTGCATTGGCTCGCATGTCCAAACGTGATAAGCACTTGCTGATACAAATCCATTTGAAAAGCAATGAAGCACAACAATAGGAGTAACTGCATCAACTTTTAGATAAAATCAGACATTCCAAAATATTGTACTTTCTGGGTAAACGTTAATATAAATACGGACACAGTTTAAGATCAAATCGGACATTGTAAAAGACCGAAAGAACGTAGTGAAACCTTACACAATTCTTAAAGCAATAGGAGGGAGCAGCAAGAGGAGGGAGCGGCGAGAGACGTGCTGCAAATAGCTGCACAAACTGGAGATCGTAATTCAAATTCTGCGGGCAAATGAATGAGCAGAATCAACAAGAACGTGTTTGAAAGAACATGAAGAACGTGTCAATCAACGCAAACGATTCTTGCCTGGATCGAGCTGGTGACGTCGTGGGCAAGCGACACGCCCCCTCGTTTCCCTTTCTTTGATTGGCTAAGCGCCACAAAATATTTCAGTCCCCTATCGTATTTCAGCGTGCGAAGTGGGCCGGTTGACGGGGTTGGGGTGGTGGGTGGGTGAGTGGTGGGCGTGGCTTTGTGAGTGATGTCACGCGGCGTGTTGAGGGTGTGGCCCTGGTGTCACGTTGTGAGTCAGCTAATTGTGACACGTAAGGGTCCGACACCTGACCATCGGGCATTTTTGCGTGGGGGTTGGTCGTGTTGCGTAAGTAGCTAAATAAAAAAAGACCGCTTACCATACGCCGTTAGTCATGCATTACTTGTGTACGCAGGACTTGTTCACCAAATATATATGCAGCAAAGCAAACACATGAGTGGACAACTGTTCAATAGCTTCATAGCTCATCGGATTTTTTCAGGCTAAATCACGATTACACCATTGGAACCTCCTTTGCCAGTCGCAAAATATGATAATTGTGTTTTTTTACCCTTTTATCTGAAAACAAAATTGACACATTTTTACAAGGAGTCATGTTTGCATTGACCACAAGACACCGCGGTCGGAATGCAAAAAAAAAACACAACTCTGCTAATGTATGCACTGTCCTTGTGGTCAATGCAAACATGACTCCTTGTAAAAAAATGTGTCAGTTTTGTTGCCAGATAAAAGGGTAAAAAAAAACAATTATCATTATTATAACTCACGATTCTGCATATTTATCCCAGTCATAGGAATGTGGAATTTCTACATTCTTTGAAGTCGAGTAAACGAGAAGTGATGACAACAAATGTCCATGGGATACAACACAAATTCTTACACACGCGACTCCATGCATTTACATTCCAGAATTGAGAGATAGCAATGGCTTTGGGGAAGAGGTCTATACCCGGAAATGGATTGATCATGGCTGGTGACAGTCCAATACATGTATCTTGAGTTTGGGAATCCATCTGTTATATGCATTAAACAAATTAATGTCTGGTGATACTGCTGCATTGAGCGGTGCACAACACAATAAAAAAAACAAGACTAGTCAACAATACTGCCTTGAAAGAAAAATATACAATCGGCGACGTTTCAGGCAGTGACCCTTCATAACACAAGATTACACGTTGCCGATTATATATTTGTCGTTTTAAGGAATTGTTGGTGACGAGTTTGTTGAGTTTTTTTTTAGGTCGACACATTGCGTCAAGACCGACTGCTGTTGAGCCCCAATAGATCGCAGAATCTTGTCAATTGATGGCTGGCACCTTATCGACAGATAAACAGCGACGCCAACCAGGCTTTGCGCAATGAGTCATGCGTACTAAACAATCCCCCCACGACATCCTCTTGGTGTTTCCTTGTGCTCTCGTTCTTAACCCCGGGTCAGGACCAGACTTCAGAGGCGGGGGGGGAATGGGACACTTGCCCAGGGCCCAAAACTCCAGGAGGGCTCACAAAAAAATACCCACGTTATTTTTGTTAACCTTTTTTTTAAAGAGAACTGCTTATTGATGTTATCATTTTAGAATGGACGGGGGTTTTTTGCAATACAAACCGCCTTGGCAGTGAATTCCTAAATACAAGAAAATAAAAAAAAACTCACGTTCCTAAAATCTTAAGAGATGTTATCTGCAATGAAAAGAGGCTATTGTCAAAGACATGACCAATTATATACTGCATTCCTTTTTTGGGGCAGTCTTATTGAAGAACGTGTTGAGTTTATATCATTTTCTTGTGGACAATGTTACTATTATCAATTGCTATTCGATTAATGCGTTATCAAAATGTAATTCAATTCACCAATAAATGAATGGCTTTTCACGTTGTTCCAGCTGTTAATTTTTTTACCATACTTCACTACGCAGGTCGGTGCAAGTTGGTGCAAATGGCGGAGAGGACATGACCACCTGGGCTGTTTTAATGTATGTGTATGTATACGTAAGTGAAGATAGTATATTTTGCTCTGGTTTTCCATGGGAGAGTATACCCACATTCAGGCCGACCCCAGGTCTTTTTTTGCAAGATTAGTTCAACAAAGACTTTCACACAATTACAGTATAATGAACAACTCTCCTATCAGCAAGTATGCTCACACTTCCTTTTAAATTAATCGTTAACTTGTAAAAAAAAAAACCCCCATCAGATATTACCAGTTGAGTAAAAGCTATACATAGGACACAATATTATGACCCAACTAAGTCAGTTAAATCAAGTCACCACATTATGGGTTTGTTGATAAACCAAATTGGCATATTTGGCCATGTGACAAGTCAATTTGAGTAGCTGTCAGGTGCTGGAGGATTAGAGTAAAAAAAATAGACATATCTACACGATATAAAAACTAACCCAAAGTAAACTACTTATGATTTCGTCGAGGAAATATTCGTTGTTGGTGGCAGCAAATGTACTCTATAGCCCTGGCCTCAACACAACTGCCAAGGCCGTCATCTTGTATTCATTGTGGTCATCAAAGACGAGTCAGTAACTTGCTATTCAAGTGCATCTTGGGATTGCAATTGGCAGGCAGATTTGAAGCACATATCGCACAGCTAGCTTAAACGCATCGTTAAAACTTGATTTCTAATGCAGCACGATTTGCCTTAATATTCATCAGCCATGTTTCTTGAATTTCCTGCCAGAGGTTGGAGGGTTTCAACACTATACAAAAATCGCTACGAATTACACCATGTAAAATGAAATAATCACTGTCCAAATCTCAAGATATGCAAGAATAGGACCCCACATTTGTTTACATGCCGTATGGTTCGAACCCAAGCAAATAAAATACTAGAAACATTGTTGCTATTGTGAGGTAATGGGGATACTGTACAGTTCGAGAAATTACCCCAAGTTGTTTTCTTTGGAGATGTGGAGACACTTTATATAATGAATAGTTTATGTACATAGCAACAATCGCGAGACGGATTATATAGATGATTATGAACTTCTTTTGCACCGTACATAGCAAAACACGCTAATCAGTGCAAGATGCGTTGCCAGTGGCCAGAAGAGACCATTTGGGACATGTTCTTCTGAACATCTGGAACAATGTCCATAAAAATGTACCTTTATAGCAGTGAACAACATCCTTCTCAAACTTATCAAACAACACTGTGAAGAATAGCTATTGGCCAAAATGTCACCAAGAATATCCTTAATCTTTGAATGCATTGTTACTGATGAATGCATTAAGTCTTTGTAAATTGTGCTGTGCATCACTGCCAATGAAATGACAAATAATGTCTTTTTGAGAAAAATATTGCTTTTGGCAGGATGGGGGTGTGCATGGCTGTGTTACGTTAAACCGAGACTGCCTGTTTTATGTTGCAGTTTGCGGGAACCATGCATTTCATGACATGCACATCGTTTCTTACGGAATGACAAAGACGTAACATAACGAACTTTAATAGAACTAAAAAAAACATTTATATTTGGGAAAAACGGTTTAAAGCAAAGCTCACCGCGGAACCCAATATCGTTCGGCAGAAGTCTTGTACAGCTGAATGTTTACAATAACCTAAAACAGACACGACGGCTCTCACCAACCCCGTGAGCAATTCCACAGTTCCACACTTGCAACGGGATTGACAGACAAGCGTGAGGCAGAGGAACTCTGTAAACAGCCAAAGGTATTGTGCAACTACGCAGAAATCAGATATTTAAAGATTTAAAATGTGCATGGATAGAAACAGCAACGATTAAAAAACAAAGGAAAAGGCTTTCTTCATTCATTCTGTAACCAAAACTTATTGGCTTCACTAAAACCGTAAATTTAGATTCTTACAAACTGTAAATAATTATAGTTGGGGTAATAATGACAAATAGAATGAAATGAAAGAGCCATGTTTTTGTGGCGCACTGCAAGTTATGCAACGTAAATGCCAATCTAACTCAATGTCGGTCAAACGTTGATATACACTTCTAAATGTGCATTAAAAAAGTAAGGCAATCACACAATTTATTTACATTATGATTTCCGTTCCTCCAACGCCCAACGCATAAACATACCAAACACTATACATTTATAGTTTTATATTACATTGCCGTGCTGTGGTTATTGTACACAAGAGTATTGTTGTATACATTTATAGACAGCCTTGTGACTAATAATTGCTCCAAAGGGGTGACATTTCTTCTGCTGCCTTTAGTTTCGTTTTCCTATGCCGTATTTAGAAAGCGCGCTTGTAAAGCAATAAAATAATTAGGACGATGCTTTTAAGACTCCAATCAGTAGTGACTCCCGTTACTGCTGCTTGCACTGGTCGGCATGCGACGGCTCCTTCCAGAAGTCTTCATCATCCCTGTCAGCGGTGGAGCGTGGCGCACGTTTGTGCGGACTCAATTCTGCAGGGGAAGAGAGAGGCAACGTTCAGGTCACATTATCAAGATCAAGAGTCAACGGCGCCCAAGTGCTGCTGGAAGAATGATGGGACCCGATACGAAAGAACAAGAGCTGCACTGCCCTCTGCTGCCCAGCCTCGCAGCCACACGAAAAAAAACATTTGTGCACGGTGTTCACCCATTAATTCACTATCCAGAATCATTTTGCTTTGCTTCCGAGACCGAGTACTTTCCGGCCAATATGCTCATAGGCTCCCTCAATTAAATATGAATATTAATGATTAAACCGCTAACTGTCTTGTAAATATTAATTCTACAATAAACGCAGAGCATAACCCCATGCTGCTACCGCATAAATTAAGCTGGCAGCTACGCCATGACCCCCAGCGCAGGTTACACACCGAGCCTGGAGTTGTCGAAGAACTGGACGTTGCTCGGCAGGGCGATCGGTGCTCCCGGCTCGAAGTAGTGCTTCTTAGGTTGCGGCATCATGAGGTTCTTGCGCGGAGAAAGTGGAGCCTTGTTCTCAATGCAGGCCTTCGCTCGCTTGGTCGGTGTGCGGAGGCTGCCGACTGGCGCGTCGGAGGCCGTTTTTGGTGCCGGTGGCAGTTGCGGCGACGGTGAAGCTGCCGCGATGCTCTCCACCTTCTGGAGGTCCAGCTGAGACTGCAGCAACTTCACATTCTGCCTGAGCGCCTCGCTCTCCCGCTTGTACTTGGTCGCGGAATCCTTGAGTCGCACCAGCATCGTCCTGCCATGCGGGAATCGAGTTTCAGCGCAAGTTTCTCCTTTGCGGAAATGCCGTTACTATACGTTGCTCCCATATACCCTCGATTGCAATGCACTCTTTCCCCCCTGTCCTTTAAACTAAAGTTGGGGTTGTCTTATCATCCGGTAAGTGTGTGACAAGATTTGTACAACTGTATTGACACCAAGCACAAGTTTGGGGTGTGTCTTACTTTCCAGAGCATCTTATAATCCGGAGCATATTATGGCAGGCATGTGATGACCGACTAAAATGGATTCATAAGCTTACAGTACAAGCATCGAACTGCATGTAAGAATGTTCTTCAATTCCTATACGTTACATATAATGAATGGGTTCACCCCTGCAGCTACTTGAGGTTTCCACATTAAAATTTCTGTGGAGGGGGCGATACACTGCCAGATGAAGGTCTCCCTAGTTTATGTCAGTTAAGGGTGGTTTTTGATCATACTTTACTATGCCAATCAACGTCTTCGAGTTCAAGGTTCAAGTCATTTTTTATGTGGGTTCGGTGAAGGGGGCCACCCAGGACAAGTCCAGATATAATTCACCGATGTTAGCCACACCAGAGTATTGAGACCGGGTTGCCGGGATTTTCGCACAGCGCCCAAACTCACCTACTCTCCCACTCCACCTGACACTTTAATTACAAACTTTTAAACATATTTTAAAACACTAACATGATTGACTTGCTCATCCGAGTTCTGCTGATCATAATGAAGCACGCTGTATACGGCAAACACCTGGCCAAAGACAAACACCCAATTCGGCCAAGAGGCTTGTACAAACATTCCGTGCGTGGGTTGACGAGTACATGACAAATCAAGCCTAGTCTGTTTGCCCGCAGCACATTCATTGCAGCAACCAAAAGGCAAATAATAATTTCATTAATTGTTAGAGATTCTGGGTCACAATTTTATATTTGTTTTACAATATACGTAGTATCCAGAATACTCAATACATTAGAGCACTTAGCCAGCACCACTGAGATACTGGGTTCTAATCTGAAACAAGGATTAAAAACAGCTTTCCAATGGTCACAGTCCAGTCAATGTTATTGAAGCAATGTATACAATTTGGAAAGTAATTCTGGCATGCTCGATTTGACGCACGCGCATCTTGGGTACAAGAATCCATTTTAAATTGAATAAACTAGCAGGTGGGTTAGTGCAGGTGACGTGGGGGGAAACCGCACCCTTCCTTGATCGACGTCAGCTTCAGTTTCAGATGCTTCAGCTCATTGTTCAGCCGCGTGTTCTCGTTCTGCAGGATGATGAGCGCCGTGGCCTGTATGACGCCGCTGCCACCACCGCAGGTGACGACGCCAGATGAGGCACTGTGACTCGGCTCCGAGACTGCAATGGATGCGGAGTGGACTGTTATATACACACAAAAAGACCTCCCCCGTATAGTCGTAACAGACTGGTTGGGGCAAGTGTTGTTAGCGAGCACCTATGAAGGCCGGCACAGCACACGAGGGGGTGGGTGGCCAGCACCACGCTCGGTCGCCTTTGTCTACCTAGTGGAATTGTTCACAAACCGCGACACCAGGTACTCATTTGAGGCCGAGTTGACCTAGAGGAGGCCCAGAATCGGTGGAGAAAATTGTAACTGGTGTTTGCAATGAGCGGGAATTGAACTCAGGTCGCCGGGTTCATTGCGTAGTGAACTAACCGCTACACTACATATATACACATAAACAAACAAAACTTACATTGTAGGCACACTCAGGCTGTGCCATGGTTTGTCAAACACTTTGTAGCATGATATACCTATCGGGGTGCTGTGATGTTCCATTGAAAACACATGGGAGGAGCGATGTTACATCCATATCACAACAGTGCTATTAATTGCAAGCTTGACTACCAAGTTAAAGTTCTCTCATTAATACAACTTCAAAATCGTGTCGTACAGACCGTTGCTCAGCCTAGATTAGGCATCTAAGGACTGCCGTCGGCAAACAAGTGGCATGGCGCGAGCCGGGACGTACAGGTGGAGTCCGCCTGCTGCCTCGCCGCACGCAGGTCCTCCTTCAGCCTCCTCAGTATCTGCTCCTTCGCGCTCAACGTGGTCTTCAGAGACTTGACCCTACCGCGGCGACAGGGGGCGTTGTAACAACGGTAACAGGTGCACAAACTACATAAAAAAAAAATTTGACGAAAAAAAGATGGTGATGTATCATGTAATAACAATTTCCTGTATGTGTTAAGGAAAGCATCACTGAGTCTCAATAAAAATATTTTAGGAGGGCCCTGCACATTGAGATGTTTGAGCAATTCCATTCTTGGGAGTGCAGGAGGCAACCGATAGAGGAAATCCACGCAATCTGCAAGGTGGTTATCACTCACCCTTCTGCACAGAGATGCAAGAATCCAAGGAAATCGAGTGAACACAGAAGTACCAGGGCAGAGAGAGGGCATACCAACAAAGGCTCAACACAGCAATGAGTGGAGAAAGAAGACCAGGAAGGCAGACTCCACGGGAGTTTAAAAAAATATACAAGACAGCAACCTCACACCAAGGGAAACCGCAAGCCTCATCCGGCCACTCTGATGTAGGACGAACGTGCTTACGGAGATCAAAGCTCCCATGGCATTAAAACCACTGCCAAATCAAGACCAGGTGTCTTCCTGCTCAAGCATGCTCAACACCACTCGAGGCTAATGAGGCAGTGGTGGAAATTCCGCATTGCAATGACAGGGACCAGTAAAAACACAGGATATAATTGGTGTGAATCTTGGCCAGGACTCACTCCTTCTCGTGAATACTCTCCAGCTTGTACTTCTCCAACTGCAGTTTCACGAGCTCATACTTGACATCTGCAGACTCCTTCCCGTCAGCATCCGGCTTATTTGGCTTCATGAGGATCTGCATAGAATTCAGCAAAATCATAAGTGTGCTGAAAAGATAGAAGATGCTAATGTGCGAGCTGATCAACCACATGCTTAGACACAAAACATAAATCATACCTCTACCAATCACATCTTTACATGGTAAATATAACATAGAATTCTTATCCGTGGCCCTATTACCCATAAAAAAACGCATTATCTGCAGCCCTATTTTTCCATATTATCCACGATTTTACCCATAATTCATAGGAATGCAGCCTCCCAGTACTCGTGGTTTTTGCGGACAAGAGGAGTTAGGTGATAAAAGACTCCTACTATCCTCAATTTTCTACCCTGTGGATAAGAGAAGTAAAAGTGCTTATAACTACAAAGATAATAGGGTCTGCGATATTGGTTCCCCATATCACGGAGGATAGGAGTTCGCCTGAATATGCAGATTAAAACATGGACACCGACAGACCATGATGAGATTATGTAAAAACGAAAACAAGTTGGAGTGCTTTTTTAAACTGGCCTTAATAATGAAATGCCACCGTAACTAAGGAATAATGGCTTTAAGCAGCGTATGTTACCTGGCATGACCTAGAGGCATGGATATTACCCAATAAAATGGAACACAAGCTAAACAGCCACGGCAGAGATGAAGTAATAAGATCAGCTCATGTGCAGCAGTTAGATGGATTGTTATCTTGCGAGAACACGAGGGCTGGCGACAACTTGAGATGGCCGTCATGCAGCAGTAGATATACGTCACGAATTCTGATGACGATGATTCACTTGCACGCGGCACGTGTGTGGAACCGTCATGACCACCGTGCCCCAGTTACCTGCAGCCGCCTTTTGAGATCGCAAAGCTGCGAGTCTCTCCTGATCACACGCTGCTCAAGCTCGCTCTCGCGCGACACCATCTCCGCCACCTTCGCGCGCAACGCCACCGCTTCCTCTTTGCCGTCATTGCCGGAGGCGAGCAGCTCCTGCAGCTTCTGGAAGAGGGTGAGGGGAGGTGTCAGTGGAGGGTTCCAGCAACTCACGAGGGGCAATTGGCAAGCAGGCTGAGAACCATGGCCAATTTCCAAACCTGTGTTTGGCCCCACGATTATCCGAGCACCTGTTTGGGTTCCAGGAAAGAAAATCAAAGCGGGATTTAGACCAAGAGTGTGCGGACCTTTTCCAAGCATGGGCCACACATCTCCGGTTGGACAGGGGTCATGTGAAACTTTGACCACGACATTACATTAGTGAGATTGACGTCACACGTGCGAATAAAAGTTGGTGTGGCGGCCTGTTCACCGGGTTTTTTCATTTGAGCATTGAAGTATTGCATTGCGATGATGCCGAATCATTACATTGAATTACAATCCAAAATTGTTACACAACTAGCGGCCACCACACCTTGCACAACTACACAGTAGATCTGCACCCGTAATACACCACCGTGCAAGTGAGAGCACCGAAGCTCACCCTGACCTCTTCCTTCAACGTTTTCAGTTGTTGCGGGCTCTCGGATGTGTCGGCGCTCTGGGAGCCAAGGTGAGGAGCCTCGCTCTCCAGCACGGCGACGCGCTGCCTCAGCACGTCCGTCTGACGCTTCTCCACCGCGAGCTCGGACTGCAGGCGCTCCACCGTCTCGCCAAACGCCTTCTCGTTACTGCCCATCGTCTCCTTGTTGAACTGAGACACGGGGGATATCACACAATCGTTCGTTTATTCTTGTATTTTCCCAAAATTAGATTTATCAACAGTAAGACAATATTCATTTGAAATTATTGCAGAAAGCAGTGCATCACTGCATGTGAGAGAATGACCTCAAAAGACAATTTTTGCCCACACTCCATGGTGCCTTCCATTGCCTCTTATCCAGTGTGTGGTGCTGCATCTTTCTTACATGTTATACTGTACAAGTGTTTATCACATCGAATGTCATATATATTTATGTCGCACGGACTGGACTGGGTGGTTTGCGTGTAGCCATTGGTGACCAAGCTAAACCACTCAGACTTGAGAACCAGGTTTAGTGACGGGCATCTGAAACCCAAAATCGAACTCACGACCATCAACAAATGCCAACTCTGTGTCCCAACATCGTATTAGCTCCCTGGACAGCCCGGCCACCTTAATGAGTTTTTGTGACAAGCAGAAAATGGTTGAAAAACAAAATACGGGAAAGTGCAAGAGATTTCATCAGCCCCAGCGCCACACTGCACTCGGCCTGACCTTCAAAGACGCTTCCACCTCCGTGAGCTTCTCCTTCAGTTGTTGGAGCTCGCCCGAGTCGCTCGGCCCGGCTCTTCCACCTGACGTGGCAGCCTGCAGCTGCGACTCGAGGGAGGCGACGCGAGCCAGCAGCTCCTTAGTCTGCTTCCTCTCCTCTTGGAGCTCCATGTCAGAATCATCGATCAGCTTCATGAAGCACTCCGACTGAAACTTCATCTCCTACAAAGAGAGAGAACACGCACGCGTTGGCTGAGCTTGCTCTCGCGCAATATTCTCTCCCATCATCTGGGTGCGCCACGCCACCATCGCCGTCGCCACTTCCTCCTCACCGTCATCATTTTTGCAGACGAGCAGCCCCTGTAGCTTCTGGAGGAAGGTAAGGGTAGGGACCAATAGAGGGTTCCAGCAAGAGGAGCAATAGCAAAGTGGGCAGGGAATGATGACCAACTTCCAAACCTGTATCTAGTGCCACGATTATCCAAGCGCCCGTTTGGATTCCAGGATAGAACATCAAGTCAGAATTTAGATGAAGAGTGTGCAACGTTTTTCAATCACGGGCCACATCTCGGACCGCCTTAAGTGACCACAACATCATGTTAGTGAAATTTGTTGGCAAGCCCTCAGTTGGCGAGCAATTCCTGTATTGCATTGCAATGTTGAATTATTAATTTGAATCGCAATCCAAAATCGTCAATTAATTGGATCTTAGGCAGGGGCGTGGGATAAATTGTTACACAACTAGCAGCCACCACACCCTTTCACAACTACACAGTAGATCTGCACCCGTAACACACCGCCGTGCAAGTGAGAGCACCTAAGCTCACCTGGATCTCTTCCTCAAAGTTTCCAGTTGCTGCTGCTGGCTCTCCGACGTGTCGGCGCTTTGTTCGGCACGGGCGACCTGCAGCTGGGAGCCAAGGTGAGGAGCCTCGCTCTCCAGCACGGCGACGCGCTGCCTCAGCACGTCCGCCTGACGCTTCTCCACCGCGAGCTCGGACTGCAGGCGCTCCACCGTCTCGCCAAACGCCTTCTCGCTACTGCTCATCGTCTCCTTGTTGAACTGAGACACGGGCGATACCACACAATCGTTCGTTTATTGTTGTCCTTTCCCAAAATTTGATTTGCCAACAGAAATCTATGCATCACAGCACATGACAGAATGGTTTCAGAAGACAACACTGCAAACATACAAGATGCCTGTTGCCTCTTACATGTTATTCTATATGGGTGTTTATCACGTAAAAATAAAAACTAATTTTTCATCCTCAAGGCCTGAATGTCATATTACCACACGGACTTGCCTGGGGATTTGTTTTTGTAGCCATTAGCAGCTGAGCTAAAGCACTCGGACCAGGTTTAGTCATGGGCGTCAGAAACCCATAATTGAACCCACGACCTCAACAGCGTCAACTCGGTGTCCCAACATCGTATTAGCTTCCTGAATCACCCGGCCACCTAAATTGTGTTTTGTGAAAAGCACGAACTGACTGAGAAAAGCAAAATACAGGAAAGTGCAAGAGATTTCAGCAGCACCACTCCACACTCGGCCTTACCTTCAAAGATGCTTCCACCTCCATTAGCTTCTCCTTCAGTTGTTGGAGCTCGCCCAAGCCACTCGGTCCGGCTATTCCGCCTGCCGTGGCCGCCTGTAGCTGCGACTCGAGGGAGGCGACGCGAGCCAGGAGCTCCTTAGTCCGATTCTTCTCCTCCTTGAGCTCCATGTCAGATTCATCGATCAGCTTCATGAAGTACTCCGACTGCGACGTCATCAAATTCAGCTCCTGCAAAGAGAGAACGCACGCACTGCTGAAGCTCGCTCTCGTGCGATATCATCTCCGAGCAGCTGGGTACACCATGCCGCCACTTCCCCTCACCGTCATCGAGCCTTTGTACGGTCAAAGTAGTCAAAAATCGCACGACTGTCAAAACTAATGACATTCTTAATGATACTCTTTGGTTCTTTCGGTAAAGTCGCGTAGATAGAAAAAATGAAAGACAACACGACGTTTCGGTCGTAACAGAAGCGTCCGTCTTTAGGTGAGAAAAAATATTATCTGCTGTTGTGGCTTTATATAGGCACGGGAGGGGGGAGGGAAGGGGGGGGGGTGAGTTTGATGTAGGAGTTAGGCACGGGAGCTATTTCTCCTTCACACATCCATCTCTCCATCATAGAAGAGTCGTTCTTACACAAAGCATCGGCAGCACAACCTTGTGGGAGTGGATACATGTCAGCATCGTTGTTTCAAAACAAGCAGACTTTGAACCGTTATGAAATCGCGTCTCATCGGCAGTCAGGCCTGCTTGAATCGATGCTGCTCAACTGCCTATCCGATAGGCAAGGACCCTCCCCTGATGTTATGGGGTCCCAGTTTGATGTAAAATTATACAATAATAATCATTATTATTACCTCAACATGGTGGGCTGCTTCAGCAATGAAATTGTTGTTCTTTTCCTGGGCGAGCTCCAGCTGCTGCTCGAGCTCCGCAACCTGTCGGCTCAGCACCTGCACCTCGTCCCGCAAGCCCTCGCTGCTCTGGTGTGCTGCACGGAGCTCCTCCACCACTGCCGAATGGCGCTGCTCCTCGTCCAACACGCATATGAGATTTAATATTAGCACTCTTGTGATGCCCTGGCATACATAACGTGTGTTAAATCAAGAATAAACAATTATTAACAACACAAATAAGCAATTTCTCCTTCACACATCTATCTCTCCATCATAGAAAAGTAGTTCTTCTTACACAAAGCATTGGCAGCACAACCTTGTGGGAGTGGATACATGTCAGCATCATTGTTTCAAGACAAGCAGACTTTGAACCGTTATGAAATCGCGTCTAATCGGCAGTCAGGCCTGCTTGAATCGATGCTGCTCAACTGCAAATCCTAAAGGCAAGGACCTTCCCCTGATGTTATGGGGTCCCAGTTTGATGTAAAATAAATATATATAAAACACCCACGTATGTCATTCTGTGACTCCGTCATTGTGATTAACGCGGCACGGATTGGTTGAAGTGCGTCACGTGACCGCGAGCAAGCAGCCAACCAGAGGTGCGCCCCTCACAAACATGTACGCTCCCCAGGTGATGTTGCGCCCTAATAAGGCGCTGTGGGCAGCTGATCTGCCACCATGCTAACGGGCCGACAGGGGTGGGGGCTGAGGGGGACCCCCCCCAACACTTCCTAAGACCCCTTAAGATAACACCTTGCAATTAATCCTAACAGTTCTTTCAGTGATTGATAAGTCATAGCTCTTAGAAGTTAATGTAACCATCACAACTAAAGTTTAAATACATTTTCATTAATTCACATTAAAGTTACATCGCGGGATCTTCAAAAAAGCTATGTCGAGTGAAAGTTTTAAGTGAAAGCCGCGTAAAGCCGCTCTTATGCGACCTATTCAAAGTCCTCAAGTACAGCAAAGCCGTTCGCGTTCTTTTTACCAGTACTCTCCAATAATACTTTTCAAAAATACTTTTTACGGTAAAACACACGTGCACTACACACACATCTATTACGTACGGACATATACACACGGTCTCATTACATTAGTACTGTCGTTTTTTTGGTGCTTCAATCCACTGCTGGATGAAGGGCCACCGCACGCTGTGCGAGTGGATCGTAAGGATTTACTTGACCAGTCTGTTGGGGGCCGCCACCTATTTATACAATAATAATAATTATTATTACCTCAACATGTTGAGCTGCTTCAGCAATGAAATTGTTATTCTTTTCCTGGGCGAGCGCCAGCTGCTGCTCGAGCTCCACAACCTGTCGGCTCAGCACCTGCACCTCGTCCCGCAAGCTCTCGCTGCTGTGGTGCGCTGCACGGAGCTCCTCCACCAGTGCCGAATGGCGCTGCTCCTCGTCCAACGTGCGCCGCTGCTCCTTGCGACAGAGAGCCCTGCAGCTGCTCCACCAGCGCCTCCCGTGAGGACAGGTCGGCAGACAGCTTCGCGCAACGGCCGTTCAGGTCCGACATGCGTGCGCTCAGGTCCTGGATTATCGCCGCCCCCCCCCCACCGCCACACACATGCGCACGCGCACAGCCAACAAAGCAAGCGGTCAAACCTCGGAACCCATTAGAGGCTTCACTTATACCCCTCTGCCATTAGCACATTCGAGCTGAGCGAGCTTGGGGCCTCTCACCGTACGGGTGGTTTTCCACCGGCTATTTTCCGTACCGAGCTGGAACCAAACTGTGATATGCTGGACTCAAGACATCTGAATTTAGCTCTGGGCCAAGCAGCGCCAGGACAAATGATGCATTCAAAGCGTGTAACGTCAGAGATACGGCTTGCCTTAAGCGGCGAAAAAACAACCTGGTACTTCCTGATCCCTGGAACAGCTAGGTTATACAGGGGAAAACTGATATGAGAGCGGTGAAAATTACAGTCAATGATCCCCAACTTGTAAGAGGAAAAGCAGAATTAAGCCGAGTTAACACATTTATAGAAGGCTGCCTGGGAATACCATGTGTTGTAGGCAATTTCTGTAAGCTGGCCAATGGATTTTTTTTATACACATCTGCACAAATTTTGAGCATTATGCTTTGTTAGGTGTGGTATTTCACTCAAGTCTTGGATGAGGGCATACCAAAAACGATCGAGAGTTAAACCGTATTATTGAAATCCTTGCAGGGTATGATTAAACTGCATCATGTGACGGTGTTCCCAAGATAATCCTGAATTGCATTACAATTCATCACGGATCCCACCTGTTCAGACACCTGTGCCTCTGTCAGCTGTTTCTGCAGACACACAACCTCAGTGGACTTCTCATGAAGGGCCTTCTCCATGTCCTTCTGCTGCATCTCTGAGGCCTTCATCTTCTCCTGCAGCTCAAACAGCTCCCCTTGAATTTGCATGGCCTAAAAAAAAATACATGCACACACGATGATATGAACATCAGTCGAATGTCACTCAGCGCCACGGCTCTACTCTGGAGGCAATGCCTTTCATTCTAACAATGTGGAAGATCTGATTATCTCTCACATGTCAATCATTAAATGGTATTGGCCCGACATGCCAAGAATGCAGGACCCTTCTGAAATAGTTTTAGGACTCCGAGGCTTTCCTGGATAAATAAATGGCACTAATATTACGTCCTATAGAATGGCTATTGTCAAGAAGACGCCGCCTATAATATACGTTTTTCTGTATAAGGCCAGTGTGATAATGAATGTGAATTTTTGTTTTTCTTACTTGTTCTTGTGCACAATGCAGCATGACCAAATAATATATTGCTCTTCAAAGCCCTGCTTGGTAAAATAAACCACGACAGGTGATAGTGGCAAAGGGAAATCACCTAATCTATTTTTCCCTAGCTATGGCCCTCCTATAGTGTGTTGATACAAAGTGTAAGGGGTTCGGGAGGGGGCAGGGCGAGGATATTGAGCCGTGGTCCTGCCTTTGGCCGAAAACTTACGAGAGAGATTATTGACGACACTGATTATGCTGCACCACCATGGACGCTACCTGTGCAGATGATTGTGCTTCCATCAGCCGTTTCTGCATCCTCACAACTTCGGTGGACTTCTCCTGAAGGGCCTTCTCCATGTCCTTCTGCTTCATCTGTGAGGCCTTCAGCTTTGCCTGCAGCTCCAACAGCTCCGCTTGAATTTGGATGGCCTGAACACACACAAGCAATGCAATGAGAAAATCCGCTCAAGAAAATGGGACGCCATGAGCCAAGACCTTTCTTCAGACAGTCCTGGCCTGGATGTATGGCCGATTCTTAAATCATTATTTTGTGCGCCTCGGAGAACACCGTGTTGGCAAGATTAAAAACAAACTGTGCACACACGAGACTAATCATGTAGCTCTACATTGATTCATATTGATTCTTAATGCACCGATTCTTACACTCAAATCATGTGTGCAAAAATCCACCACGTTTGATTCATGTGTGTACAGGATTTGTAAGGAACACAATCACAGGCTGACATACAAAAACAGCCGGCCCAACAGCAGAACACGCGTTTCTTTAAACTGATACACCTGGTGGAAAGGCTACAGGCCGCCGTGCCACCATAAAATAAAGTGCTGGTCCTTACGCTGTCGACATTGTCCTGGAGATCGCTCTGTATCTCATCCCTCTCCGCGGTCACCCGCTCGAGGCTCAGCTGCACGGCCGCCTTCTCCTCGGCCAATATGCCGAGCTGCTCATTCAACACTGCCACCTCCCGCGAGAGCAGGCCTGTGTTCCTCTCGCGCGCCCGCCTCCTGGCTGAGCAGCGCACTTTCCAGCAAGCCCTTCTCCGTCAGCAGGCTTTCCCTCTCTGCAACCAGCGTGTCCACCCTGGCCGACAGTTCGTCCCTTTGCAGGGTTAAACAGCGCACCCTTTCTTCCATGTCCGATAGCTGCTCTGTCACCGCGCTCAAGGCGCCAGTGGCATCCCGGTGCTCGACGCTGCTCGCCAGATACGATTGAGAGAGCTCGGCTTTCTTGCAAGCCAATTCCTCGGCAAGGCAAAGCTCTTGCTGCAGAGCGAGCTCCTTCTCCGTGGCGACGTTCTCCTTCTCCAATGCCAGCTCCTCATCATCTCGAGCCAAAGCCCTTCGCTGTAGGTCGACCTTCTCCCGCGCCGCCATCTCCAGTTTTGCCGCCAGCTGGTCCCTTTCGGCCGTCGCGAGGCTGAGTTTCTCTTTCAGCTCGGAAGTCTGCAGAGAGCGACGGTCATGAATTGAGATGAAACCAGGTAACGAGCTACTTATCAATGCCAAACGTGAAAAGCCAACAAAAAATGAAAAGCAGACCTGGCAAAGCACCAGACGTACGAGTGTTAGGGTCAATGGGGGGCTGGTACTAGTGGCTAACTAAATCATTTTATAGGGCTACACCACGTGTCCAATTGATGGGAAGCTTGCAGTAGCTGTGCTACGATACACTCATACCCGCCATGGGGGTGTGCAATGTTTTATGTGGGCTTGTGTCACCTCTTGCATCAAGGCGGCGAGTTCACGAGCAGTGTTGTCGGCTTTGTCGGGGTGGGAGGCCTCTGTTTGCATTTGGTCCCTCTCCATCATCGATTGCAGGCGAGCCTTCACCTCCTGCAGCTGCTTCTCCAGCTCATAGCGCGTCTGAAGATCTGGTAGGGGGTAACATATAAATGGGAGAATGACACCACATTATGGGATGGAGGGGAGAGTACCTTGGTAACACTGGGTCCCCCACGAATGAACGATCAGTTGCACAACCAAATTCCTCTCAAAATTGTACATCTTCATCATCGCCTGCAACTGCTTTATCCACATATGAATAAGGCGTTGGGTGGCGATGAAATTAAAGAGGGAATTTAAGACTAACAACCAATCAGAGTTGCGCAAATGTGCATGTTGTGATCAAATACGTCGCTGTAAATTGATAAATGGATCGCTTGAAGGTAGGGTCCCCGTCTCTCCTGTAAGCAACCCGTTGTGCAACTGGTTGCCGACACACCCACATATAAACCGAGATGTGGGCTTTGGATTAAGGACCCGGAAAAGTTTCCTCCCCCCACCACTGCAACTACTCGACTGAAGGTGGCAGACACGAAAAATCCATTCTGGCGTTGCCGTGTGTCACCTTTGGGCACTTTGCCGTCGAGGAGCTGCGAGAGGCGGGTGTGGTCGGCATAGATGCTGTGCAGCTCACGCTGCAGGTCCATCTCCATGCTGCGGTAGCGCATCTTCTCCTGCTCGAGAGATGAGCGGCAGCCCTCCGCCTCCCTCGTCAGAGCCTGCAGTCTCACCTGGATGTCCGCCTGCGAGACAGTGAGACGATTGGGAGTCACGACGACGATGATGTTTTAAGGAAACTCGGCAGTGAACTCTGTAGTCAGATGTAATATTCAGTGTACATTAATTTGTGTGTTTTTATTGGAGCGGTCTATTATTCAATTAAATATTTAACAAACAAAACAATAGCTTACTTGTAGCTATGTACGGTATCTAGACTGCATCCCAGGCTGTTTTTTTACATTCCATGCCACTGCCAATTGGTCCAATGTTATTCATAACATTTATCAATTTTCTTTGGGCCATGGAACGTGCTGGAGATAAAGTTAAGGGTGGGCACTAAATGCTCACCTCTGCAATCATACTTCCTCCGACCTCTACCCATAAACCTCACTCTCTTTTCTGCACTCGAGCGAGTTGCAGCGAAGGCTAGAGCCAACCTTTAAGCGTTAACAGTTTTACATTGTATTGACACATCTAGAGCATCAGACAAGCAAGAAACGACATGTCTATCTTTTCTTCGCCTTTTCAGTGTTTGGTTTCATCATGGACAGCGTAACCATGTCGCGCAAGTCATGCATGTCGCTCCCACACAATACAAGGAGGGTTAAATCATTGCATGCATAATGGGTAATTGTGCGTCCAGCTCTCTACCATCTGCTCCTTGAGGCCGAGGTTTTCCGTGCGGAGTATGGCGGCCTGCTTGGTGCTGTCCTTTGTCACGATTTCCGCGTCCTCCAGCGACTTCCGCAGCGTCTTCACGTGCTCCCTAAGCTCCTGCGCATCCGAACCCTAAAAGAGAAGGACACGAAGAGAGAGAGCAAGGTTGACACAACTTTAAGATCAAGCAAGCCAGCGCCATCACAATGGCGCACGCCCAGGAGGGGCAAGGAGGGAGCGGGGGGGGGGGGCACTAGCCGAAGAAGATGATGAAACAAAGAGAATGACTTACCTTTGGCATGTCGTTCTCCCACCGCTGCTGCTTGGACATCGCTTCAGTCATTTGGAGCATCTCTTCCTGCAGCCTAAGCATCTCCTCCTCCTTGCAGCGCAGCTCCTGCAACGTCCTCTTCAAGTCAGCCTGTGCAAGAGGGAGGATACACACTGTGGTGCCAAACTGCTCCGGTATGCCAGCGCTGCACTCCGGCATTCCTTCGGCTGGTGCTTCTTGAGCAGTAGATACACTCTACAACTTCAGTGCAGTTAATTGCCTACGACAAGATTGTATCTCTTGGACTGCACTGAAATTCCAGTGTATTGATGCTTTTAGACCAACAAAAACATAGGCCGATGACCCAGCAGGTCTCCCAATAACATGGGAGTTCTTGACTCATGCCAGTAATTGAGAAGTAAAAAGAGGGAAGAGTTTGTATTCAATTCCCATAAAAATATCAAAAAGCAAATCCAACGATTAACATAATTACTCGCAATCCGTCCTTTCAAGTGTCATGGCTAAAATGTCTGCAATTCGATACAACCAACCCAGGGGTCGCACATTTTTTTGGCTTCATTATTATTATTATTTAACATAATGCTTGTTTATCCAGGAACGCCTCACTGAGTCACAAGACTCTTTCAGGAGGGTCCTGCCAAGTTTTTGCAGTAGGAGGGAATGTTGCTATATTCAATCCTAATTTGCACGTAATCTTTAGGTTTTGAGGTGTTTAGTGAATATCAGTTTCAAGGCGTCATTTTTAGCTGTGGGAGAAAACTGGAAAACCTGGAGGAAAACCCATGCAGAAAAGGGGAACATACAAACTCCACATAAAAGGGTGCACGAGTCGGAAATCGTTCACAGGGCCTTCGTCTTGCTGTGAGGCCCGAGTGTGACCATTGTGCCACCCTGGGTTTAAAGTATGAGAACCCCTGCAGCACAAGCTGGATGCATACATCACTGTGGTGTCGGCTCTTTACTGCGAAAGGTGCCCATACCTCCAGCTCCTGGTTGTATTCCTCCCCTTTCTGAACAAGTTTCTTGAGCTGCTCAAATTCATGCATCAGCTGCGCCTGCAGAAAAATAATCCATTTCATGAAACGTTCATAAAATAGTCCCGTGTGAGAACCATACATTGATATCCGAAGAACCTACATATAGACTACGTGACAATGGAATCAAGTCGTGCCCACAATTTGAAGACCTCCCAAATGTCATGCTTATAAAAGTAATGAAATGGAAGTTTATTTGAACTGTGTTAACAATTCAGGAAAAACGATTGAAGGACATGATCTTCGTCACTGCCATTGCGTTCACCGCAAATGCCTTACCTCATGCTCAGTCTTCTTCTCCAGATTTTCAAACTCTTGTAGTTCCTGCAGGTCCTGAAGCTCAACCTTCTTGGTTCTCAGGTCCTCTTGGAGCTTCTCGACAAAATTAACTCTTTCCTCAAGCTGCGCCTCCAGCTCTTTCTGCCACGCATCGTAGCGCACAAAAAAACACACGCGGAGCTCCAAATGCGACACCAAAGAACGCCGCTCGTTTGTTAAGAGCCGAGGTCTCAGTGCTGAAAATGAGCGCCGTGTGTAACCAGGTGAGAACCCATCAAGACTTCGAAGATAGTTTTTTAAGTGACACCTTGGGTCGACAAGTGTCATAAAAACAAATGTTACATCACGTGGGGCAGGGTTCTTTAACTGGCAGCACACAGGCCAGATGTGACTTGCCAAAGGCTCTTTGGAATGGCTCTCTGAGCTTTGGCGCACCGAGATATACGGCTCAGGCAGACAAAGGGATACAGATTCGTGAGATGAAAGCGAGATTCACAAGCTTTAGAAATGCGAGAGCTCTTGACAAGAAATAAAGATTTGTGAAACCAAAGTGATAATAAAAAACAAAGAAGCAAGACGTATAGATGAATGGTGACATGTACAGGCATTCTTACATCACGATGTTATAGTTTAAGATCCCTGACACAAGGGTGATGGTGGTGATGGTGGTCTAACATCACAGAGCAAATATAAGCAATGGTTACCTTCTCCAGCAGCAGACTCTCACACAGCTGGATGCTCTCCAGCAGCTGATTCTCCAAGTGCTGCTCCTGGTTCTGCCGGCAAAAAGACAAAGGCAGGTGTTCCCTTTTGTCAGATAGTTTGCAAAAACAATTACTATCCTTGATTAGCACGGTTGGCTACGTACAGTGCGAAAGAAGTTGAAGATACATACGACAATGGGGGAAAATGGCCAGGACGATTTGTTTTAGCTGTTTTGTGAAGGTATGAACATGGCCATTGCTTAAATAGTTTTACACAAATAACCCACCTAAGTCGGCAAATGTTTCTCTTTCCCAAAGTAATGAGGGAGTATAACACCACTCACGCACAGTACCATCGTTTATTTACGTCGTTGCTTTGTGCCCACACCGTGTCCTTATCAAACAGATTATAAAAATTGCCGACAATATAATCTTCAAAATAAATTACTGTCGTGCTATGTGTGACCTACAGTTAACAAGTTTCACCTCCAGTTAATTGATTATGCGGCCTAACTATACGAAGTATGTTGTTATGCAATTGGTTCACATAAATGATGCAGCTCAAGGGGGTCCCCCACTGCCGACACATCCCACAAGACTCCTCATCCACGTAATCGACTCATCATCGCAGCTCCAGAGTGGTGCAAGGACCAGGACCTACCAAGTGCTTGTGACTGCTCCGTCTCCGCTCGTTCTGCACCTGGACAAACTCCCCCTTCAGCTCCTCGAGCGAGCGCCGCAGCTCATCCCTTTCAGCGTCACGCTCCTCCATTCGGCTGCGCAATACAAAACGACACAACAAATGATGGGACACGTAAAAACGGAGAAACATTTGGCATGTAACGATGCAACAATTAAATTCAATTCTAACGCTTACGGTAAATAGATTGAATCGCGCGGGAGAAATTCAGTTATCTACGATTCGTAGATGTTCCCTTAAACCCTGCAGCTGCCACATTCTACACAGAGCGCCTTGTCAACAAATTCATATATTAATGGATCGAATTGTGAATCGTCACAATTCATTGAATCACGAAAGCAAACAATATTTACTTGATTAGGTGGAAAACACACGTCTTGGAATTGATGAGCGGGTTTAATGCGAGTAAATATAAAGACGATAAGCATGTGAAAATGTTCAAACCCTACAGCGCGCATTCGAATTAGATTGGTTTGACCAGCCATTATATATAAAATACATGTTAAAGAAACCTTAATTCAACAGTGCAGTTGAATGAAGGGCTTTTTTGACTATCATTTATCACACTGTTAAGTGTGGGTTGCTGTACATTGGTAGTCCATCATTGAATATATTGCTTTTTCTACCTGCGATTATCGATATTGCAAAAAAAGTAAATTAACATCCCGAGTTGGCAGCTGAACCTAAAATACCTCAAATGGACTCACCTGCTCACGACGGACGCATCGTGGGAGCCAACGTCTCCTTCGTCGCACACCAACAGCTGCTCGTCCTCGAGCAGTGGAATATTGCTTCCAAGTTCCACCATGTCCCCACTGGATCTCTCTATTCCGCTGTCGCGCATAGAGTCGCGCGAGTATACGCGTCCTGCCTCGGCTGATGGCAGGCTCTTCCCCACGAATGGATCCTCTTCCTCCTCCCTGGCATCATCTGTGGTATCGCCACAGCCCAGGAGTGCCTGCATGCGTGCCCTTTTGCCCTCCAGGGTGCTGAGTGCCGATCTCATCTGCTCGAGTTCCAGCGTAACGTGCGACTGCACTTCCAACTGGGTATTAGCAGACTCCAGGCAGCTCTGCAAGCGCGCGGACTCCACCACTGCCATCTCCAGCTTTGATCGGAGCGAAGATGTCTCTTCGGAGGCAAAGGACAACTGCTCACACTGAGAATTGGCAAAATCCAGCTGGGATTTCAGCTCTTCCCGTTCAGTCTGTAGTGCCTCCAGTGCAGCCTTTAGAGATACAATTTCATCAGAAGTGATGGATAAGAGATCTTTCTGAGTTTGAAGGGAGTCAATGAGAGCTTGTAGCTCAAGGTTACGGTCCTTCATTGCTGACATTTCCTTGTTACGAGAGTGCTCCTGTTGTAGATTCTCATTTTGGATAACCTGAAGTTTAATTTTCAGATCTGCAAGTTCATCAGAAGCTGCCGAGAGCTGTTCACACTGTCGCCGAAGCAAATCGAACTGCAATTCTATCTGCTCCTTCTCATCTTGCAGCGCTTGTAGTTGAAGCTTTAGGGTTGCCAATTCATCTGTGGCAGAGGACCACTGATCTTGCTGTGTTTTAGCAGAATCTAATTGCAATTGAAGGTCAGCTTTTTCACCTTCAACTAGCTCTAGTCTTTCTTTCAGTGCAGAAATTTCTTCAGCAGTTTTTGCCAATTCATCACCAAGTTCCTGAGAATGTGTTGAAGAGTTCAGCTGTATTTGGAGCAGTTCCCTTTCCTCCTCCAGCACCCGAACCCTGGTCTTCAGATCAGCATCCTCAATTTCGATAACCTGAAGTTTAGTCTTCAGATCAGCAAGTTCATCAGAAGCTGCCGAGAGCTGTTCACACTGTCGCCGAAGCAAATCGAACTGCAATTCTATCTGCTCCTTCTCATCTTGCAGCGCTTGTAGTTGAAGCTTTAGGGTTGCCAATTCATCTGTGGCAGAGGACCACTGATCTTGCTGTGTTTTAGCAGAATCTAATTGCACTTGAAGGTCAGCTTTTTCACCTTCAACTAGCTCTAGTTTTTCTTTCAGTGCAGAAATTTCTTCAGCAGTTTTTACCAATTCATCACCAAGTTCCTGTGAATGTGTTGAAGAGTTCAGCTGTATTTGGAGCAGTTCCCTTTCCTCCTCCAGCACCCGAACCCTGGTCTTCAGATCAGCATCCTCAATTTCGATAACCTGAAGTTTAGTCTTCAGATCAGCAAGTTCATCAGAAGCTGCCGAGAGCTGTTCACACTGTCGCCGAAGCAAATCGAACTGCAATTCTATCTGCTCCTTCTCATCTTGCAGCGCTTGTAGTTGAAGCTTTAGGGTTGCCAATTCATCTGTGGCAGAGGACCACTGATCTTGCTGTGTTTTAGCAGAATCTAATTGCACTTGAAGGTCAGCTTTTTCACCTTCAACTAGCTCTAGTCTTTCTTTCAGTGCAGAAATTTCTTCAGCAGTTTTTACCAATTCATCACCAAGTTCCTGAGAATGTGTTGAAGAGTTTAGTTGTGTTTGGAACAGTTCCTTTTCCTCCTCTAGCACCCGAAGCCTGGTCTTCAGATCAGCATTCTCAATTTCGATAACCTGAAGTTTAGTCGTCAGATCAGCAATTTCAGAGGCTGCCGAGAGCTGCTCGCACTGCAGTCCAAGGGACTCTAACTGCAATTCTAACTGCTCCTTCTCATCTTGCAGCGCTTGTAGTTTAAGCTTCAGGGTTGCCAATTCATCTGTGGCAGAGGACCACTGCTCTTGCTGTGTTTTAGCAGAATCTAATTGCACTTGAAGATCAGCTTTTTCACCTTCAACTAGCTCTAGTCTTTCTTTCAGTGCAGAAATTTCTTCAGCAGTCTTTGCCAATTCATTACCGAGTTCCTGAGAATGTTTTGAAGAGTTCAGATGTGTTTGGAGAAGTTCCTCTTTCGCCTCCACCAACATGTGAAGCCTGGTCTTCAGATCAGAATTCTCAATTTGGATAACCTGAAGTTTAGTCTTCAGATCAGCAAGTTCATCAGAGGTTGCTGAGAGCTGTTCACACTGCAGACGAAGCGAATCAGACCAGGATTCTAACCGCTTCTTCTCATCTTGCAGTTCCTGAAAATTGTGCTTCAGGGTTGACATTTCATGAGCCCACTCATCTTGCTGCGCTTTAGCAGAATCTAACTGCAATTGCAATTCACTCCTTTCAAGTTCCACAAGCTGCAATTTTTCTGTTAATGCAGACATTTTATCAGCAGTCTCTGAGGATTTATCAGCAAGTTCTTGAGAATGTGTTGAAGAGTTTAGTTGTGTTTGGAGCAGTTCCTTTTCCTCCTCTAGCACCCGAAGCCTGGTCTTCAGATCAGCATTCTCAATTTCGATAACCTGAAGTTTAGTCGTCAGATCAGCAATTTCAGAGGCTGCCGAGAGCTGCTTGCACTGCAGTCCAAGGGACTCAAACTGCAATTCTAACTGCTCCTTCTCATCTTGCAGCGCTTGTAGTTTAAGCTTTAGGGTTGCCAATTCATCTGTGGCAGAGGACCACTGCTCTTGCTGTGTTTTAGCAGAATCTAATTGCACTTGAAGGTCAGCTTTTTCACCTTCAACTAGCTCTAGTCTTTCTTTCAGTGCAGACATTTCTTCAGCAGTTTTTGCCAATTCATCACTGAGTTCCTGAGAATGTGTTGAGTTCAGCTGTGTTTGAAGCAGTTCCTTTTCCTCCTCTAGTACCCCAAGCCTGGTCTTCAGATCACGAATTTCATCGGGGGCTGAAGAAAGCTGTTCACACTGCAATTGAAGAGAATATAATTGAGATTGCATCTGCTCCCTTTCACCTTGTAGCTCTTGAAGTTTAACCTTTAGGAAAACAACTTCATCCGAAGAAGCGGACAGCTGGTCACGTTTCACTCCATCAGAGTTTTCACATGACTGCACCATCACATTCTCTTCTACAAATGTGTGAAGCCTGCTCTTGAGATCGGCCACTTCATTAGATCTACCAGATAGATGCTGACACTGCACATCAGAGAACTCCATCTGCGACCGCAACACTTCATTTTGATCCTGAAGCTCTTGAAGTTTGACCTTCAGAGATATCATCTCTGTTTCAGCAGACAGGTCCTCACCCCTTTTTCTGTCAGAGTCAAGCAGTATCTGCAGCACTCTCTTTTCATGTTCGAGCACATTCATCTTTTCCTCCAGCATGGAAGCCTCCTGAGCACCCTTCAGATAGCGGTCACCTTTTTCTTTAGCAAGAGAGTCAATTTGCAACTGTAGAGACTCCTTTTCATCTTCTGTCATTGCAAACCGAACCTTCAGATCAGCGAGCTCATCCGAAATACTAGACAACCGCTCGCAGCGCAGCACAGCATCCTCAAATTGGGACTGCAAAGCCTCCTTTTCTTCCAGAAGCAGCTGTAGTTCGCTATTGAGGGCAGTGATGTTAGAGGCAGTGGAGAGTTCATCACTCTGGGTTTGTAAAGAATCCACTCGCACTTGCAGCTCTTGTTTTTCAATTTGGATTGACGAAAGTTTTTCGTTCAGCACCAAAATGGTCTCCATTGCCGTTGAAAGTTTGTCATCAAGCTCATTTGCAGAATTGACATGGTCGCGTAATTGGGCATTCTCATGGTCCACTTCCTGAAGTTTGGCTTGGACAGAGAGAAGGGTAATGGACATCTCCTCATTCCGCAATCTGGCGGATTCTAACTCTGACTCCACCACTCGCATTCTTCCAGCATTGTCATCGGCAGCATTTGTGAGTGCTTGGCATTCTGCCTGGACATGCTCTATTTGCGCTTGCAAGTTGGCCTTTTCCACGTCCAGTGTCCTCAGTTTGTCTTCCAGATTGACATCTGCTTCATTGGATACCTCCACATGATCGCTCTCAGCAGCATGGGCCAGCAGAGCTTCCAGTTTTTTCCGCAAAGACTCATTTTCCTCCTCCATCGTATTCATCCTGTTACTCTCACTGCTACTCAATTTATACTGATTCACAGACTCCTCATTCAGCGCATCCAAGATCATCTGCAGGTTCTCAATCTCTTTTTCTGCAGATTTGAGCTGCTGCTGAATCGTTATGGCCTCATCTGAGATGGAGCCGAGCTCTCTCGTCTTTGCGTCTAGTGCGACCTCCAGTCGACATTTCTCCTCCTCCAGTATGGGCACCCTGGCTAGCAGCTCAGCCATGCTGTCACTCATTTCCTCCTTTAGCTTCTCAGGAGCAGGCGGTAACAGTGCAAGCAAAGACTTGTTTTCCTCCTCCAAACTGGCAAGCTTTCCACGCAGGCTCTCCAGTTCCACTTCCGCCAAATTCTCCGGTATGATGCTGCAAGTGTCGGCCGCCTGCTGCGGGTTGAGGAGCCTGTAATCGCACTCATCGAACGACAGCTCCATATTAGCAATCAATCTCGATGACCTGCGTGTCGACCGGCGCCCTTCGGCCCTTTTCCGAGAACCTTGGCTGACCGGCTCTTGGGCAGGCCTGGACATTAAAGTTGTCCCTTGGGTATCCATTTTTAGTTCATAGTTTTCTTCGGTTAGTTTTTCAACGCTGTCCTTGAGGAGTGACACTTGTTGTTGAGCTTCCTCAACAGAGTGCTGGAGTGTAGTAATCGTTTCAGAGTAACCCTTGCTTTCCTCCACAAGGCGACTGTTATCGTCATCAAACTCTCTCGCTTGCTGCTGAAGAACATCAATTTCAGTCACCAACGTTTTATTATTGCATATCTCTCTCTCGTATTCAAGTGACATCTTCACAACCTTATCCTGAAGGCCTTGGTTCTCACTTTCCAGTTTCGTCTGCAAGGATCTATTCTCTTCCAAAACACCAGCAAGGGTGTCCAACTCATTCGATTTTTCCCCTAGTTTGCTCTGCAGCATTTCGCACTTCGTCTCCAGAGAACTCAGCCTAGCCACTGCGTCAGAGGCTTCCATTTCAGGATAGGAGTCACCAGCTTGCTCTTTTGATTCACGAGCAATCTGCAGCTCCTCTCCTAGCTGTTCCATTTCTTTCCTGAGGGAAGCCAATTGCAATTCCAGTTGCATTTTCTCATCCATTGAAGACGACGCCCACTGGTCAAGCTCTTCACTCTTCTGCTCGAGCAGGCTTTTCAGACGCTCCAATTCGGCTTTGGCTGCATCACTGCTCAACTGCAAAGTGGATATTTCCTCAGCAGAGACCTTCGCAGACTGCTCCGCTTTCTGTAGGTTCAGCTCTTTTAATGCCAATTCAGTAGCAAGGTCCTGGTTGATTATTTTCATTTCCGTCACTTGGTCTTTGAAGCCAGTCAGCCTTTCTTCCAGTAGCTGCACAGCGGGGGCTCCGTCTTCATCATGCTGGGCGTTCCCATCCTCATTCTCTCGTAGCTTCATCCGCAGGGAGGAGAGTTCCTCTTGGAGAGATTTCAAAGAGGTGTTTGCTTCATCAAGGCCTCTATTCTTAGTATGAAGCTCGTCGTTAAGTTCCGAGTTCTGCACCTCCATCGCCGACAGCCTGAACTGACAGTCAAGCAGCCGAGATGATGCTTCTGCACATTCTGCCTGCACCTTCTCCACCTCCTTGCCCATCGTCTCCCATTCCAGTTTCAAGCAGGCGTTCTCCTCTGCTAGAAGAGCATTAGCAGGGCTGTCCTTTGGAGCCTCACATGAAGAGTCCAGCGCCTCTTTGCCTTCAGGTGAACGATTTTCCATTAGCGCTCGGAGCTTGGAATTTTCAGTTTTCAGATGTGACAGGCCACTCTGCAGATTTGAAATCTCCTCCAGGTACTGCGCGATGTTTTCCGCCTCCATCGCAGCATCCCTAAGTCTGCTGTTCTCCTTTTCGCATGCAGCAACTCTCCCCTTCAAGGCTGAAATCTGCTCCTCGTAATCCTGCACATTCAGCTGTAAAGCAAGGGGGGCGGCATTTGGATCGTTCTCGTCTTTTGTTGAATTAAAGTGTTGCCCGCTGGCGCCGTTTGAAGCGACCAAGTGGTCTGACGGAGCTCCAGCCGTTTCCAGTGGAGAGTCATGCGCGCCGGTTTCTACTCGCTGCCTCTCTGCCTCCATTTCCTTCAGCTTCGCCTTGAGGGTGGCAAGTTCCTGGCGTAGCTCGTCCCTGTCATCAAGGATGGCCATGAATTGTCCGTTCTTCTCCGCCTCCTTCAGGCGAGCATCCTGCAGCTCCTCCTCCAACTCGCTCACCTGGACCGGGGACCACACAGCAGTAAGGTCAACAGAAAGCACCATCTGGTCATACATGCGACTCCATGTGATACTTGTTATTCCCTGTTTTTCAACGAGTTTTTTTTTTCATAACATTATTTCAACAATGCTGTCAGCATCATATCATGACATAAACAAATTCCATTTGAAACTCTGTAGATGGCTACTCATCACCCACTGGCCTAGAAAGATGACACCACATAACTAATCCTGAAAGGACTTCATTAGACCTATTAAGGCCCTATCAATCACGACAAATATTATTTGTTGAACAAAGTAATGTTTTAGGTCTCGGAGCTGGAAAAGTTACATTTTGTAAAAAACTAATTTTTTCAATAAATTCTACTTTTCAACTAAGACCTAACATTCAATAATTCCAAAAGCAGCAAACAGTCTAAGGTCTTACATATTTTAAAATTATATTTCCATGGGTACTTTACCAACTTAAATGTTGCATATTTTTTTATTCTAATTGTTGGGCATTCTTCTACATTTTATTGAAAGTAAAGCACCCCCGAGATGCTTTTATTATTGTGAAGTGTACAATATAAACGAGAGATCGAATGAAACTATTTCCAAGGTGCAAACCAAAACGACGTGGGAATAATGAACGGGCGACACTCACCTTGGCTTGCAGTTTGCTAAACAAGGGGCTGTCTTCCGAGGAGACGCTCCGCAGCCACTCTGACTCCTCCTCCTCGGGATCATCCCTCACCATTACCATCGCCGAGGACCCGCGTTTGCGGCGCACAGACACCGAGCCTAAAGACTTGTTGACGTCTAGGAGCGATGAATCCGGCGTGTCCTCTCCCTGAGTCGCGTCTGTGGCTGCTGCGTAAAATGTAAGGCGGGTGTCACTTCGCACTAGGCGTGCAATGATGCGCACGGTAAAAGAGAATCTTGCGCTCATGATGCAATGTATTCAATCGTGAGGGAGAAGAAATAAAATTACGCGTTGTGCAACTGATAAACATTTTATGTGAAAGTTAGAATAACAGAAAGAAATGTTAAAACTGAGAGCTTGAAAATTAGAAAGCAAAAAATGTTGACAAAAATAAGCGATGAATTAATTCAAAACATGATGGGTGCAGCTGGGGATGTGACTTACAGGTCAAGTCCAAATCGCCTGTCATGTTGCTGTTGCCCCGGAACTTTTTGGCGTGAGATCTCAGAAGACCGGGACACCATGTCTCCCTGCGCTTTGGTCTTGCCTGTACAACAATGACAAAGATCCCCCATGTAGCCTTTAACAGACTGTTGGGGCAGGTATTGATAGCGAGCACATATTGGGCCTGGCACACGAGGGGGAGGGTGGCCAACACTACAGACTACTAAACATCAGCACTCCTCCAATGCTGATATTTACACACCACCCCAGGTACTAATTTAAGGATGAGTCTACCTAGGGGAGGCCCAGTACCGGTTCAAATATTTGCCACTTATTGGTCTTGAGCGGGAATTCAACTCAATTGCTGGATTTGTGGCGCAGTACACAACACCACTACACTACCGTTCTCCACGCATACACGGGCAAAACCAGAAGTATCACTGTGACTATCTCTTCACGGTGCTATATGTATTCAAATTATTATCTACATTACATTGGGAAGGCATAACAGCACCCGTGGAAGCCACAGCCCAATTTGCCACACCCTGCAGCCAGCAAACGCGGAGCTTGGGCGGCACGGACGTTCAATTCTCGTGGAAACTCACAAACGCGGAGTCGTCGGCGGCGCCCGCAGCAGTAACACTGTAGTTGATGATCATGTGCTTGAGGCTGCGGATTCGCTCCTCGCTCTCTCTCTGCAGCTGATCACGCTCCGCAAGCTGCTGCGCCTGAGCCTGGTGCATCTGCGTTTTCTGCGGGAAAGTAACACGTTACCAAAACAACGGCGATTAACGTCGATGTACATGTAAAGCTCATGTGTCATCTTCTGCTGGGTGAAGGCTCCCGCACGCTGTACACGTCATTTCACCACACTTCACCATGCTGGTCAATGTGGGTTTATGAAGCTAGGAATAAAAGTTATATAAAGAATGTTGTTGCATTGCCCGATGCTGACCACCAGGTAACCATCATCCTGGAGTTGCCTGTGACAACTTGTTTGTGGATATTGGCTGTCAATACCACACCAATACTGTTATTTTAAAATCGGCTCCCGTAAATAAAATATTGCCGATTAACCTCTGAAATCCTATTTAACGGACCCCAAAAACAAGCATAGCCATTATGTATTACAAGCTTCTTTGCCCATCTTGTGTAAATTTAATGGCAGTGAATCTTGCACAAAACTATGTCATAAAACACCTCACTTCATGTCACTGTAGCACTGTATATAACTGATCTTCAATTTGTTCAAATTCACTGCTCTGATACTTTATTCGCTGGGGTTAAAATAAATTGGAAATCGATACAATATCTGTAAAATCACCGAGAAATGTCTATTTTACCATAATGTAGAAGCAGAAATTAGACTTACCTTTTGTCTCAAGTGCTGAATAAATAAATAAAGACACCAAATCCACTTTGTTGCTGCGTCGAATAATTGTTAGATTCACTTTTAATAGAGAAACGTCAAACTTAAAGCAAATTTGCGGGAAAAAAGATTTTCCGCTCTACCTTCTGCACGAGTGTAAAAATCCGCTCATGAATATTATGACGGGGGGGGGGGGGGGGTGCGGCATGTGGAATTACGTTGGCCCATAGTTGTAATGTGTTGCCCCCATGTAGTGCTTCTGGAATGAGAAGCCACTGTATCACGATTGCCCAGTGTCCCCTGTGCCAGACTTGTGCTGCCCCTTGTGCCAGCTGGGCTGTTGGCAGCTCAAGCAGTGCTTAAATGTTGTATGCTACTCTACCTTGCATTTCCCTCCCATAATCGTCAGTTTAGAAATCGCCATCGCTAGCCATACCATCATCAGAGGCCTTGCAAGTCAGGCCGGCTATAGCAGTCCATTGCTGCCAATGCTGCTCAGCACTGCACTACCAGTTGCATATTCAGAGCAGGTACCAATCTTGATTCCTCTTGGAACGGGCATAAACACGTATACCACTTTGTGAAGAATTCAACAGTGATTTTAATCAGAGAAGTGTAGCTCCCCGGCATAAGTGGAATGTTCACCTATCGCTCAGAGATTTAAATGAAGGAGACATGTCCTACCCTATGATCAATTTGGTGGAAAACCACTTAACTTCCTACAATTAATTTACATTTTAATCAGTACCTATTACCTACTACAGCATACCAAATAGCAAGTGCCACTGACAAAGAAAACGAAACAAGCTGAAAAGTGTGAAAAGAAACATAGAAAGATGCACGCTTGGAATTACACTGAGATTAGAGAAGATATGCTAATCAGATACATCATTTTGACAGTTAAATTGATTTCGGTAAGACAAATCCCTAAAACTAATGACAAAGTGGCAGCCAAAGAGAGAACACTCCCAAGAGTACATTCACCGCAGAGGAGACAAAGCAATGAGATGTGCTGGTGCAAAGAAGTATGATGCATGATTACATCACAAGACTGATCAATAGCGAGAGCTTGGAGAGGCCTCACATCCCAAAAGTGGAGAGATCATGGCTGACGAAGGGAACATTAAAATTCTCCTTGATGGTGTCTGGAAGCAAACAACACCATGCTCACCTGCATCAGTTCCTTCTTCAGATTCATGATCTCCCTCCTGCAGCATTTCAGCATGGCCTCATCATTAATCACCTCGTTCACATGGGCAGAATTCTTCATGTTCTTCGCCGTGCTGGCAAACTGTCACAACCACAAGTACATTCTCCGTTAAGTTCACACAAAAAGTAAGGGACAACATGGACAGTGGAGATGGACGAGCACAGATCAGATCAAATGCCTTCACATTGAAACGCCCAGGTTATGCTCTGAAACACCCAGGTTATTGAATCTTATCCTTTCAATGTGCAGGCAGTAAACCGAAAACGCCTGACATCTGGACAAGGCATTCGACCCAACACATGGGGTCCTTAAACATCCAAACTAAATTTAGGAGGCGATATGTGCAGCTTCACACCACGCCAATTTAATATTGGAAAAGGTTAAAAATAAAAACCTTTCTGCAACTCACTCCAAGCTGCATCAAGAAGAGTGTGGCTTATGGATAGGGGACGGGGAAGTGTGATAGTTGGAGTAGGCACGTTGTGCTTGATCTGTAGCGCATTCTGTAGCCCAGAGAAAATTTATGAATGTTATAACGTTGGACCGGTGGCCGGCAGTATACGATGAAGAGAAATCTCCCACTATAGCCGGTCCAGCTCTCTGGCCTGTCTGCTGTAAATATTATTTTGTTTAACCAGGTGAAAACTCGAGAGACAAGGATAGTTTCATTTGCAAGAGTCCAATATTTAAGTAGTCGGTAAGGGCCATTACCCAAAACGTCAGCCTACAAAACATTTTCCCGTTAACACAGGGTTATAATGACAAACACGGTGTGTTTTTATTTATAGATTGTAGTTGCCCACAACATTACAGGAACCATAACAAATGTTTATTTTATTTAACAAGTGTCTACCGTCTCTGTATCTCTGGGGAAGTTTTTGAACCAACCAAAGCATTGTCAGCATCAAGGCAAAGCATAAGAACAAATTCATTCCCGGGTCACCCAACCTTGCCTTGAAAGCCATCATAGCCAAGCTGGCTTAAAATAAATGCAATTATCACATTTTTCAGTTGCCACTTTTGTGCCTTAATCATTTGGGGTGTAATAACACATTCAATTGATTCATATCGATTATTCAGTTCGTAATACGTGCACGGAATCACGTTTGTAAAAGTCAACGTACATTTATTTGTATGTTGTACTTAAAGGGAGCAGTAGTGTACCTGAAGGCGCACTGCATCGAACCCAGCAACCAGAGTTCGATTCCCGCTCACTACCAATAACAGCAGTGAATAACTGTACTGGTCCTGGGGCTCCCCTAGATTGACTGTCTTAAATTAGTACCTGGTACAGCAAGTAAACTTCAGTACTGGGGAGACAAAGGTGACTTGGGCATAGTGCTAGCTACCCACTCCCTCATGTGCTGTGCGAGCCTTAATAGGTGCTTATTAACAGCACTCGCCCAAAAAGTGTTTTGTTAATGGGTTCACATGACCACTGCAGCTGTTAAGGCTGCTGCTACATGCACCATTGTAAATAGATTCTGGAATAAAATTGTTTCCCCAAATCTCAAATAATGTAATCATGGGGTAAATAATGAAGACATACAACTGCCCTCAGATTAAGTATTTACAATTGCTCTAATGCTCTGTCGCTGATGAGCAACCACGCCTTTTGACAGGCCACGCTTACAGAACTAGCAAGGCAGCTCTCATAAGAACTTCACATCAGGAAGTGCAAATTAGGAAAATGTAAGAGATTCCTTTGGAATATTTATTCCTTTAAACCAGTGAATCTCAATCTTGTGGTTTGGCGGCTGCTCACAGCTCCAAAAACACCACTAAGGCTACTTAGGACATAAACAACAGAGGAATCACATGTCCACACCTCTGGTCAAGGTGGTGTTATAACAAGGCACTGGTTTCATTTTATATATTAGTGGTTGGTTGTCGCAACATGGTGCTCATGTTCCACCCCCCAGGGGGCACGACCCATGGGTTGAAAACCACTGCTTTAAACCGTGAATCTCCACTGGCAAAACATTACATTTGAGCTCGGGTGGCCAATACAAAACCCCATATACAGGCTTCTCTACAAGAGCCAGAATCACCGAGCGACCCGGCCATACCCCAACACCTCCAATTTCCCTTACAGACTTCCTCTTAGCCCTGATTTGCGGCTGCTCCGTACCATTAGGGTGCTGAGCGTCTCCTCGAGGGCGGCTGGTGTGACCGTGCACAGGATGACCGTTTTGGCGTTCCCCCCCAATGAGTTCTGCAGGATTCTCGTAAGCTTGCTGTCACGGTAGTTTAGGTACACACTCCTGTCGAGGGAAGAGAGGCATAAGTCAGACTGGCATGCAAGGTGAGTGACGAGTCACTATAAGTAGAGCATGGATTAGAACAGATTCTTACTCGACGGGTAAAGATTCAATTTTCACAATTTATTAAATCTTTGTGTCAATGCTGGGCTTGGAAGCCACACCTACCCAGAGGGGTTTTCACTCAGCTTCTTAATGACTTGGCCCAGGATGAAGAGGCTTCTGTTGATGTTACATCCTTCTTTTAGCCTCAAGCCTATGAAAATTTAAAACGAGTTACACACAAATAGTGTAGTTACAACACAAACAGACATTGTTATAAACATTTTACTAACTGGTTTCATGATGCAATTATTTTTTTCCTATAACACAGCACCACCACGTGCAGTAATGTTACCTTCTGCCCCAGTCTGCCTGGTCCTCTCGCTGCCAGCCAAGTCCACCAAATTCTTGAAAAATTGAAGACAGACAAACATTATTGCATAAAGTAATTTCTCATCACTGAAAAATCAGAGTGCTTTTGAATCTATTTTAAAAGTCACTTAGAAAAATATACCAAACGTTTTTTTCATCTTTATTACTGGCTTAGAGTTCATTCCTGATTTTAAGGACAAATAATTAATTGCTCACACGTGAATAACAGAACATCTGGTGCACCGACATAATCCCAGACATCAGTTTGGCATAATCAATAAAGATCAACCGACACGACATAGCGCTTGAACACTGCCGCAATCTTTACCAAGTGAGACACAGGCGATGACGCCATCCATCGACTCCCTCTGTGACCTCTCCCGGCTCTCGATGATCTGCATACATCACGTCAGTGCAAGGGTATGTCAGTGACCAAACTGGTGCACACAGGGCATTTGTGATGTCCCGTTGGGTTAACGCTCTGGCTGGCCAGGCACAAACTACATTTGCATGTCCGAGTGCAGTTTTTACCATTCGGAAGATCGTATGGGACCGGCTACTGTGATCGTTCATCTTGGTCTCTCCATAGTGGCGGTTCTCTGGCAGAAGGAACACAGCAAGCGATCACGAGTGCTGAAAGAAAGATGCATTCCAAAAATAAAATGCCTCATGTGGCAGACATATACTATACCTAGGCTGTGCACAGAGACGATGTACGACACCAGTTTGTAATTCTTAAAGATCACAAATGCCTTTCAAAATAATTAAGTCAGGTGCTCCATCGTGAGTGTGCTCTCGTGATGTCACTGCATTGAATCTGTATTAAATTTATTGTGTTGTAAAGATGAACTCGACTGATATTTTTTTCGAATAAAGAGAAAAACTCTTGGGTCCCACAGCCCTTGCTACTCAGCCTCTAGTGATGTAACTGGAATGAATTTGTAGCAAAAAATACAGAAGCGACTTCACAGTGATATCAATGGAGTGCCATATCGACCGGCTTCACCATAAGTTTATGGGATTTTTATTTCATTAGTGAGGTTCCTACCTTGTGTTGGACAGCCTAAGATATACAGTAATCCCTTATTTGCGAGGGAAAAATTCCGGAGATACTCGTGAATAGCAAATTTCAGGAATAATATTGGCCTATGAATATTGTACACGTAATATCTACAGATGCTTCTAAAGCTTCGAGAAGTTCTCTCTCATGTCTTGATCTCATCTGTTTATGTAATCACTTTATCACATTACATTCTCTTTCATAACGTAATCTGACTTTTTTCTCTCTCTCGATGCAGTCGTGTAGAGTTCCAAATGCGATTCGCGGATAGCCAGAATTGCGCATAGCAGGCTCATGAATAACGAGGGAATACTGTACAGTATAATTATCTACAACATTGGAGCATTTTGTTAGATTGTTTTCCCCTCAATGACAATTAAGCCAAGATGTTTTCTATTGAGTTGAAATTGAAAAGACAACATTGGCACAAATAAGATATCATCCATACTCTTTGGTTCTTTCGGTAAAGTCACGTAGATAAAAAATAACCAAAGAGGATGGATCAAAGAGTATGGATCCCTGCCGTCACGAAAACTTCAAATCTAGAATATCATCCATAATACAGGTTTTTTGGGTTAAATCATGTAAATAGTTGTGTCGTTAAACCTGCCACCACCCGACAAAGCCAATTAGTCAGGTTAGTCACATAAACAAAACATGCCAATTCGTTACGAGTACAGCACACCGGTGTGTTGGAGAGCAAATCCACAACATTTACAATCGGATTACCACGTTTCACCAGTAATTACAACTGGCTTCATCAGCGATAGCCAGACTTGTAGAGAAATCCTGCCCGTTTCATTCCTTAAATAGAGGGGTAGATGGGATATCCCTTACTTTCGCCAATGCGCATAATCTCCAGAATGTCCTTTATGCTGGTGATCACCTCCTCACTCAGATCAGCAACGTACACCGTCCTCTGTGGCAGAGTGGAGCACACCTCGTCACACGCTGGCACCGGTACACATTATCAGACAAGAAAAACAGCGGCATGTCCACGAGCCATTCAAATAAAACGATGCATGTTCGAATTACGTTGGCGTCTTCGTGAATTTCCAGTGATTTCTTCTTTTTGTCTTTGGACAGCAGGTCACAGATGGTCTCGTTGTAGATTTCCATGTAAGAAACGCGCAGGAGAAACTCTCTGCCCGGCAGCTGTAAAATAAAGATGGCAACATGCAGAAGACCCAGGAAGATCAAACAAACAACTCATCCTGAATTGACCGTTTTTGTAAAACCTGCTTGAAATATTTGAATTATATTCAGCGGAACACAGATACAACAATTAAATGAATCACATCTTTATGAGGTTAAGCTTCAATATGGGATTTCATTTTTGCTATTGTACGATCTACACTGGCTGTATGGTTTCCATTAACCTGAAAAGTATTCATGCAATATACAATTCACAGCATGTCAATCCAGTGCTGGATGAGGGCTTCCCCACACTGTGTGTGGCCTGGGGGATGATTTGATCATTTTGGACCACTGGTCAGTGTGGGTTTGTGAAGGGGTAAGGGTGAGGACAAGTCCTGACATCACTTGCAAGATGTAACCTATGGCTAGGAATAGAATTATCAGACTGAGCGCAGGGAACCACTCCACCATATGCAACATGTAGCAATTTTTAAACACGCGATTTGATGTATTGTGAGTGTAATAATGCATTAAAACCGAAAAATCAAGAGTTAAATGCCACATGCTCATAGCTCTCTTAAGTTTAAATAAAACCCTTTGGTGCCGAAGAAGATAAATACAAAGTTATAAAACAGTTTGTGTACTCTGTACAATCCAAACGATGCTCATTCCTCAATGAAAAATGCAACATCATTCTCCACTGAATTGGCATTAAACAGTACACCAGTACGAATGGAATAAAAAAAACTTAATCGCAGTATACAATGGTGGCCAACTTACATTTTTAATGACGTCAAAAACCTCTTTCATGGCCAAGGGGATGATGCCTGGGTAGCTCTCAGACCCCATCATTGTGAAGGTTTTCCCCGATGACGTTTGTCCATAAGCGAAGATGGTACCTACATGAGGAACGAGTTTGTTAGAATTAAAGTGTGTCCAGCAACTTCTCACTCCACGAAAAAATGTGCAATCAGTCAACAGCATCAGACCAATGCTTCTTTTCCACAGGCACAACAACGCCGAGCATGCACAGGGCCCTCATGACATGGGGTAGTTTTCGACAATTTGCCGTGTTGAGCCATGATACACTCACATCACAAGACATGGCTCACAGTCAAGCAGGGTCCGGTATGGGTTAATGACATGTTCATTGCGTTTAAAGTCAGCCAAAACAATTAAGACACAGCATCACAATGTCATCTATATGCATCTCAGCGCGTGATGTCAAGGGCACGGCACGGTTTCTACATTGGGAAAACACTGGCGCTGGTTCAGCACAGCCCCATCGTGGTTCCGGTGGCACAGTAGAGAGGTGCATCGCACCTACAAAACAGGCACAGTTCATGTGTTGGCAGACACCACTTTTCTGCAAATTTGGCCATCTCTCAGATGCAATGGGCCTTACCATTGTAGCCTTTGACAGCGGCTTTAATGATGGGCCTCGCAATTTCATCGAACACATCATAAGTCTGTTCATCGAGGCCAAAGACACGGTCTGAAAAAAAAAATGGTGGTTATACAAATCCTACTAAGAGCATATAAATAGAACACGCATTTACTCAGCCCAGCGAGTTGACATTTTGGTCACAATACATTCATTAAAATTTATTATAGAAGCCAAATTGCTTAATTCCATGGGTCATAAATTACACAGGACAGAGTACAATCTGAATCCTGCAACTTTTGCAGGGCCTACTTAAATCCTCGATCCAGGCTTGCATAATACATTGCTGCAAGAACTACCAATTGTACTGTGCAAAAAAATGTCCGAAGGTTGTGGAAATCTAAACAAATACATGTCAATTCATCCAATGGCTTTTTTATCTTTGTAACAATAATATTTTACGATGGTGAATATATATTTTAATTTGCCACATTTGTAAACCCCATTGCTTGAATGCCCATGTGATGCGAGGTGGAGGTGCAGTGTGAACAAAGAGTTACCAAATATGAAAGATTTGTTGTTGTCAATCTGAGACATGGAGTGTTTGTCTGACTTCCAGTACGTGACACTGCTGCCACTGGTCTCCCTGAAGGACAGACATCACCAACACAAGCTCATGAGGCCATCACATTATTTATCTCCATCAAAAATGACTGTAAAAAAGAAATGTGAAAATTTAAATATACAAAATAAAATTAAACTAGATTCGAAGCTTTCGTGACTACAGGAATTACTCTTAGGTTATTTCAGTAGTCACGTAGAAAGAAAATAGATTTAATACGAATAGAATACGACGTTTCGATTGCAACAAGCAACCATCATCAGATACGAATGAATGAGAAAACAAATATAGAAAACTTAGAAATATAACGCAATACAACCCAGAGAGTCGGCTAACACACCAGTCAACATCCTACCTGGTTGACTGGTGTGTTATCCGACTCTCTGGGTTGTATTGCATATTTCTAGGTTTGCTATGTTTGTTTTCTCATTCATTCGTACCTGATAATGGTTGCTTGTGTTGCAATCGAAACGTCGTATTCTATTATTATTAAATTAATTTTCTTTCTACGTGACTTTACCGAAAGAACCAAAAAATAAAATTACTTAACGAACACTAAACGGTGACTAAAATTGTACACAATTAAAACATTCTCACAGTACATTTGTTTTAAATTACTTTTAGAACATTGCATTTTAATAAACGTTTCTGGGCTTTAAAATTGTAAAATATCCCATGTTTATTGTTAAAATATGACTAATACAAATGTTAAACGATTAAAGCCTTGCTAGAAATAATTCCATTTAATAGTTAAACAATAATCCCAAGGTTCTAACATTGAGCTTCAAAACATTTGCAATTTAGCTCATCCCTGTAAACACACGTAAAGTTCAAGTTAGGATACCTGCCAGTTTTATTTGCAGTTAATGCCCATTAAGCCAAAATGCCCCTTTTGAAACGGTGACCCGGCCAAAACAGCTGATAATGGCAGCAAGCACGTTACGTTCACACGTTACACAGGGAGGGAGGGCAGGAAAATTGTTGAAACATAGGTAGTAGATAACCTCGTTCTAGGTAGAATGGAAATTTAGTTCGCAATCCTAAACAACATTGATGACACGTGTGGAATATAAAACAAGCTTTGCTTTCATACATCATGCTCCCAAATTGCATTACAGTACTTGTTTAACCCATAAAGATCTGGAAATGGATAAAAGTAACATTTCATAGACTGTGTCTTTCAATAAAGTAACAGCATACCATTTTATTCGTAAATCATATACGGTACGTCAAACTAACAATAACCAACCCACGTCTTGATAACGAGTCTTCAGGCATGGGCGTGCTCCGTTTGACATTTCAAATCTGTGCTTACAAAATACCCCGAGCCATAATTGTTTTAATTCCCCCATCATGTACTTTATATCGGCGTTTCGCACGAAAATACATAGCAGTAGTTCGTGGGTGTTAAACCATTTTGATCGCATCAGTTGTTTTATTTTACGTGCGGATTGGAGGCTTGCTACCTTAAAACGGTGTAACATGCTTGGTTTTAAAAGACAAAATTGCTGAACCACAATAATAAATAATGTCACCATTGGAACCTCATTTGCCAGCAGCAAAATATGATAATTGTTTTTTTACCCTTTTATCTGGCAACAAAACTGACACCTTTTTTACAAGGAGTCATGTTTGCATTGACCACAAGGACAGTGCATAACATTATCAGAGTTGTGTTTTTTTTGTTGCATTCCGACCGCAGGTATTGTGGTCAATGCAAACATGACTCCTTGTAAAAAAAGGTGTCAGCTTTGTTGCCAGATAAAAGGGTAAAAAACCAATTAACAATAATAAATAAAGTGTGACAAGTTTCCAGAGTCGCGCCAGGTTATCGTCGTAAGAGATCGGGGAAATGAGAGACAATCCGATGGAATTGCCAATGTGAGAGGCGAACAAGTGGCAAGATGAGGGTTGCGACTGACCCATTTGTGTGGCCCTATGTACAAATTAGCTAAATAAGTCATGTACATAACATGCTCGCTACAAACACACACACATACACACTTTACATGTCTGTATATGTGGAACACGTCCAAGTACACTTCGGATTGTTAACATCTCAGGCGGTTGTTACGGAACGGCATCAACATTTTTTTTAGTTTTAATGGGAGGCGAGGGAGATAACATGAAACAGAACAAAACTTATGAACTACCATCGCCAACCCTCAATAACAAGGAACGCGACATGAACTCGCTCGTTACAGAATTACAATTAACAGGCGGAAACTCCACAGGCAGAGAGAGCGACTAACGCCGTCTTCACATTGCAAACACCGCACAAATTGACGCATGCAATTTACAAACCTTTGTATCAGGGGTCGTATGCGGACGCACACCTTGACATTATCCTCACCCATCTCTCAACTCGTACTTGTTTATGAATTAAAACAAATTTCTGCTTTAAAAGCGTCGAAAGTTATGAGGCAAATTTGTTTTAAACCTCCTCGCACCCGCATCGGCATCGACTCGGACGACCGTTGCGAGAGGGGGAGGAGCCAAGTTTAAACTGACGCAAGCGGCCCTGTGATTGGTCGAGAGGCTCGAGCGATTTGACCAATTGGGATGAGAGCTCAGTTTAAAAAAAAACAATCGACACTGGCAGTGAGACCAGGTCCCAAAGCATGTTGATGTCTGTGGTGTCTTTCGATTTAAAGCTTTCGTGACTGCAGGGATTCATCTTCTTGATTCTTTCGGTAAAGTCACGTAGAAGGGAAGTAATAAAATAATAAAAATAAAACATAATAAAATAAAATAATTCTCACGACGTTTCGGCTACAACGCAAGCAGCTTGCGTTGTAGCCGAAACGTCGTGAGAATTATTTTATTGTTTTATTTTTTTATTTTATTACTTCCCTTCTGTGGTGTCTGCCAATCATTTTCAAAGACAATGCCATTAGAGCACGTTTGTTTGCATTTTCACCACAAGTACGTGTGGTTATTGCAGACTTGTATACCTGTCAACAACCCCTTATTCTTATGACAGACCAATTCAGACCTTATATTCTTGGTTCTTTCGGTAAAGTCACGTGGAAGGGAAACAATACAATAATAAAACAAACAAAAATCTTATTATTTAACAATACAATAAAACATATATATTTTTATTTTATTTTTGTTTCCCTTCTACGTGACTTTACCGAAAGAACCAAAAATATGAATCCCTGCAGTCACGAAAGCTTTAAATCAAAATTAAATTCAGACCTAATTGTTCACCCCGTGCCCTGGTAAATGAAAACGTTATTATTACAAAGTCCCATCACAAGGGAGAAACAAACACCTCCACTTTTTTGTTTGTTGCCTGTATTGAAACGGCTGGACGCCGTATGGACCTGAAAACTCAATGTCCATGTACATGAATACGAGTAAACCGTATAGTTTCGATTTAAAGCTTTCGTGACTGCAGGGATTCATCTTCTTGGTTCTTTCGGTAAAGTCACGTAGAAGGGAAATAATAAAATAATAAAAATAAAACATAATAAAATTATATGTTTTATTTTAAAATAAAATAATAAAAATAAAACATAATAAAATTATATGTTTAATTTTTATTATTTTATTACTTCCCTTCTACGTGACTTTACCGAAAGAACCAAGAAGATAAACCATATAGGTTGACAGGTATACAGTAACTAATTGGCACATTTGGTTTACGTGACAAACCTTACTGGTTGGCTGTGTCGGGTGGTGGCGGGTTAACGACACAATTATACTTACGTGATGTAATCCAAAAAAAACTTTGATGAATACATCACAATCAACTCGATACGTTCGTAAATTGCACTACGTTAAATTTCGATTTAAAGCTTTCGTGACTTTACCGAAAAAACCTAAGAATATGACTGCAGGGATTCATCTTCTTGGTTCTTTCGGTAAAGTCACGTAGAAGGGAAGTAATAAAATAATAAAAATAAAACATAATCAAATAATTCTCACGACGTTTCGGCCACAACGCAAGTAGCCGTCCTCAGGTGGAGAACAGGTCTGTCGAGGAGACAGTCTGAATGACCTGTTCTCCACCTGAGGACGGCTACTTGCGTTGTGGCCGAAACGTCGTGAGAATTATTTGATTGGTTTATTTTTATTATTTTATTATTTCCCTTTTACGTGACGTTACCGAAAGAACCAGGAAGATGAATCCCTGCAGTCACGAAAGCTTTAAATCGAAATTTAGTACTACGTTGTATAGCCTTAAACGAGTCACAGTATTAGGCAACGTTTCGGCCAATGGCTCTATCTGAAAAATAAGTTAATACCTCAGTGGGCTTTGCCTGGAAGGATGGAGATTGTTTAGTTTTATTTGTATGTTCTTGTTGGGTGATTTGTTTACCTTTTTCCGTGTTAATTTAGACTTAAAACTTTCGTGACTGCAGGAATTCATATTCTTGGTTCTTTCGGTAAGGGGCCGTCCATAAATGACGTCACGCGCCTAGGGGGGGGGGGGGTCAGACATTTGTGACGATGTGTGACGAGGTGGGGGGGGGGGTTGAGAAATGTGACGTTACATCAAAATGCGCAACTTTAAATAAATATAGACAACGCGTTCTACTTAATTAAATAGACTTTTTATAAATGTTTTCTCCTACAACATCAGAGTGCAGCGGCACATTAAATACGCACTACAATGACAATAGTTTATTTTTTAGGGGGGGGGGGGTCAGAGCTTTGTGACGTCATATTTGAGGGTGGTTTGACCTTTCGTGACGTCGTGTGACGATGGGTGGGGTGGTCAAAAATCGTCCAAAATCGCGTGACGTCATTTATGGACGTCCCCTAAAGTCTTAATACAGTAAATTCAGCTGTAACGGTCCCACCTGATGACGGAGACTTGTGTTGCCTCCGAAACGTCGTGATTTATTATTTTATTTCTATTATTATTTCTATTATATATTTTTATTTATTTTTACCTACGTGACTTTACCGAAAAAACCTAAGAGTATTCACCGAAAGAACCTAGAATATATATTTTTCCGTGTACTTTGCGCTCCTATCGTGTTTGTTGTTGTAACGTTCTTACCCGCCCCTAGTGGACATCTGTGAAAAAATCTATTTATATCTCATCGGATTCCTCCAGTGAGAATACATATTCATATTCTGATCTTCAACAACGATTGTCTTATATAGTGCAATAACAAATATAAGTCCATTAGAGAGGATTGATATCATATCACTAGCCATTCGTTGTTTGTCAAATTAACAATCGTTTCATTTTCAAATTGTTCATTTCAAAGTGTACGTTGTTTTCCAGTCAATTTATTGAATTTGTTGATTTATGTTGTTTCTGTTAAAAAAAATAACATTGTCATCCTATAATGTGATTGTATCAATTTGATTCCAATATTAATTTGTAAGTTTTAACGCAATAATGACTTAGATGTGTGCATTAAGTCACTCAAATGATTATGTATTCGCTTTGCAATCATTTAATGTTAATTAACTGTGTTTTGGCGTTGCTTTTGAATCCTTGCATCTCTTGAGGAACGCCAACAGAGACATTTTCACACGTTTAATGCGGTTTCTCAAAAATGTATATTGGAATCAGTTTAAAAGACAATGCATATATTATCAGAGTACGTTTTTTGTTTGCATTCTGACCACAAGTATTGTGGTTAATGCAGACATAATTCCTTGTAAAAGGTTTAAGTTTGGTGTTTAAACATCTTAACACCTGTTGTGTTGCCATAAAAAAGGGGAAAACCTATTCTCATATTTTGGTACTGGCAAAGGAGGTCCCATGATGTAGATACTCAATGTTATGTTTTGATCAAGCCAGGACAGAAAGTAGTTTCAGGACCCTCCTGCCCCGGACAGTTCACTCCGCTGCCCTGCTGGTTTGGATCGAGCGTACATTTGAACCTTATGGCGGTACCCCGAAGAACCATCGTAACCCGGCTCTCGTATAATGTCCGTGATGCAGTCACTTTTACTCTGTTGATGGTCGGCGATGCGGCAATCGACTCATCTCGACGAGCTGTACACGATGCACTATTCAAAGTTGAATTTTTCGATAACGGATTTTTTTTATGCTGTTTGGCGTTTCGACATCGCGGAGTAGCACTGATTTCGGATTGATTGGTACCCCAGTCGCGGAGTTCAGTACACCCCTGGGAAAAAAAGTGTTCCAGAAATAAAACATTTAATTGCCTCGGCTATTTTGTATTATTTGGTTCCCCGGGGTACCGCCATAAGGATCAGTTGTTTAATCCATGTGCAATCTACACGGTGGTCCAGATGTCTTGTGACCCCCATTTAATTATCTAAACCGTATTTTTTCTATACAAATGGTTGTGAAAACAGAATTGAATGAGCAAAGGAAAAAATATTAGGGTCAATTATTTGGGGGGTCACAAGACATCTGAACCACCCTGTACTCTAGACTTTCCTCCTAAGTGCTGGCACAGTCCCTGGACAACAGCTTTGGTGATTATTCAATTGTGTCAAATTATCGACTACAATGTAAATCAACTATATGTAATGAAGTGGATTGCTCGGGATTCCGTAAAATGTGTTATCGCCACCACATCCCGCCTCTCGGTGGGAAACCCCTACAAGCTACATCCAGTGCAACGCAGCTGATGATGCCCATGACGCACCAAACCGCGCCCATCACCTCCCGTCCAGCGGCACACGAGGGGCCGAATTTGGAACTGTCCATTTACTGCAGGCAAGTACTTGAATCGATAATCGGTAGAGCATTCGATTACCTAAATAATCGGATATCCCAGCTCTGCATGAAACCCTGTACTGCACAGCATTGTAAATTGTGACTCCCCTCCTCGACTCCAAAAGACAACAGCCTCCACTCGTAAGTTTAAACCCTTCCAGTATCAACGTTTGCTAAGCCCACAGTCGCTCATTTGTCTTGGCCATGTAAGCAACCGTCTCGCTGTTGAGACGGTTGACCCTGTAGGCCGGCACGGTCGCCAGATTGAGCAATTTTTGCACGCAGTTGGGGTGGTTTTTTTTTAAGCCGTCGTGAAATGCGATTAATGAAAAAAATTTAATGAAATGTCGTGCAGCATTTTTTAGGCTCCATTCCAGAAAATGTGTTGCTTTTGAGCTCTTTTGGCCAAGTGTTTAGGAGCTTAGTACGTAAAAACATTATGTGTCAGACCTCGCCATGCTACACAAAGTTCCACGTTCAAAGTTTGTCAGTGCGAAAGCCTTGACTTTGTGTTCCTCTTCAGTTCGCAGCTTGGGTAATCGCCATATATCATTCACTTCCTAAGACAAGGCTTGGTTTTGGCTGTGGAGCGAACTTGTCCTTTGTAAAATTTTCGCCAATATATATTTTTTTCTATTAAGGCGATGTTATAGTTGAGTTTTGTTAACTGTGCACCAGTCAATACAGCAGCGTCACCAAATCATTTGGCCCTATACGACTCAGACACATTCTGTACACCGATTTAAGTTGTAGGTTACCGATTTTGGTTAAACTATATTATATACATATTTACAAAGCTAATCATACATTAAAATAAAAAATGGGGAAATAAATAATTTTGGCACGGATATTTTGCTGAAAAAATCCGTATGTGCAAAAAGGGGGTTTAAAACCCGTGATTTTGAGATATATTGCGATTTCTATAACCTAAATTCAGACTTGGGATAGTGCTTGCAAACAGACACGATCCCCAATGGCCCAATTATATATGGGGATGTCTTTTTTCTGCTGTATATTGTATCTTAAAGTGGGAAGCGGCCGTGGTGTAATGGTTAGCACACTAGACTTGCAATCCATGAACCACTGTTCGTGTTTCTTATTGAAAAATCTCCGCCTGTGTCCACCCAACAGTTGAGTGCAAAGAGTCGATCCACATGTCGCATGTGGCGTGTGGCGAGGTAAAGCATGTGCACTCCAACTCTTCCAAGACGTCTGGCCTGTGTGTAAGAGTAGGCCAAATACCCTCCAGAAGACCCCTCCAGTTGGGACGTCCTTCCACTCGCAGAGGCGTGAGCATGTTAAATAAATCCTGGACATGTTAGTCATGTACTGTGTATATTGTGCATGTGTTAATATTATGCGCACACGTGTGGACATGTACAGCCCACTGTTGGATACGTCTCCTTGCCATTTATGTCCCTCCACATAATTTTTTTTACAAATTCCATTGGTCACACGACCTGCTGGGATTATTTTTGTTGTTGCAGCATTTCTTTAATGGAATATTTCATGATCAATTCGGGTTGGCAAAGCAGAGGGACGCATATGTGACGTGCCGCCAAAAATAGAAATGAAGCTAGCCAAGCCATACCAGAACATGTTTAGAATACGATTCGGCAAAAACTGAACTCATTGTAAATTATAAAAATATCGAGAAGCCTTTCAAAGTAGCCGCGCCCGACTGCCTTTTCATTCTCCTCGAAGCCACTAGAGGGCGCGCAATCACCGAATTCGGTGTTGAACGCGAGGCTCGGTGATGCGCTATTTTCAAAGCAAACAACAGTACTGTAGTTCAATAGCAAGCTTTGTCCATCATAATGATAAGATCGAGTGAGGTGCAGGCTTCAGAACTTCACGTACTGTAAACATTAATAGTCAATGCCACCCCTTCAGCCGACCATGAATTCTTCGCGTTCTTGAAAGACAAAGCACATTCTTTAGAGTTCACACCAACAAACCATGGCAACCCAGCCATAAGCAGTCCAGAATTAAGATACTTCTGGGCTTCACGCCAGGATCATATTTATGGGTTCCCTGTCCTCCAGTCTTTTGCATTCTGCCATCACCGTCCCATTTGTGAACCCTTATTCAGAGCGATGAATGAGGGTTAACCCTGTCAAAGTTAGTCTTCGTCGATGCGGTAGGCACGATGTCAAACTTAGGAATTCAAAATAACCAATGTCGGCTAAATACTACACGAGCATATGTGAAACGAGCACTCGATTTGAACCGGTAAATTTTGCAAAACACGAGGATTGTTCATAAGTTTTTTGGGTTATAGAGGTGTGAGGCGTTATAGAGGCGTGATTTTTTGGGTTATAGGGGCGTGATTTGTGGAGAAGTCCACCTGTTCCTTATGAAGCTAGTTGTAATTACTGGCGAAACGTCGTACTCAGATTGTAAATGTTGTGGCTTGTTCTAGATTTGAAGTTTTCGTGACTGGCGTTCTGTTAACGTGACAACCCTTACTAATTTGGCTGTGTCGGTTGGTGGCGGGTTTAACGATACATCTATATATTTACGCAATCTAACTCAAAACAACAAAACCTCTATTATGGATATTGGTCGCGAAAGCCTACGTGTTAAACAAGAGGATTGGGCAAAAGCAAACCTAAAAAAATGGATAGGGGGGGGGAGAAGAGACTAAAACATTATCCTTTGTTATGCTGCTGAACATCAGGCTACATTGTTTAGCTTTAAAAAAAACATTCACACCGAAAGACATACAGTACTGTAAAAACAGGCCATCACTTTCATCGTTGCAGCTGGTGTCAACCACTCACAAATATTACCATTTTTAACGGACCATTATTGCGTAAGTGTAAATGTTTGCACAAATGCATCTAATACCCAGTCTTGCCTTGTTGTTCAGAATAGCACCGGTTTTGTCGATCAATCTTATTAAGCTTGAGACTACCTTCAAAAGACAGTCGTCGTAATCTGAACTTAAATAACCCTCTACCAGCAGCGCAATTTAGATTTATGCTGTTTTATAAAGTCAATGGAAATGAAGACCATTATCTGCTCCAGGGCAGATTTTAAACTAAGCCAAGACAAGTATTTTCCACCTTCCTAAATACCTGAACACTGAATGCGCCAGCCCACCTTGAGGCCAAGTGGGGGCAAGCTGATACTGGACATGCCATGACGCATTTACATTTTAAGGAATGGTTTTCATTCGGAATAAGTGATTGCCTGCGAAAACATGCCAGCAACCATACAACTGTTAAACACCTTGTTATTTCCTTCTAAGGCCATCACCTTTCTTGGTTAATGAAAAATATATGCCACTCAAGATGCCAGTTGCTCGAAATACACGATTACAATTAAAATACACCAAAGGCCTGGATTTTCAATTTGTCTGTCGCTTTTTTCTACCAAATGAAGCAGACGGATTTAAATTGACAACATTTACTTAATCAGTGGGTCAATTTGACTAGCAAAGCAGATTCTGACATTTTACATGCTTCTAGTTAAAAATCGGTTGAGCATTGCACTCGGGAATTCCATGCCTTATTGTCATTGCCAATATACAGTAAATGTGTTCATTTATTTACAAGTTGACTGAATGACCTTTATAGAGAACGGAGCATTATGCACCATACAATACAACCCTATACTGTTTATTTAGAGTATTCATCACAGGCTAGCGTCCCGTAACAAAGTGGCCCCTATTTCAATGGAGGTTTGCACAGAAACAATACAAGTGAGCACAAGAGAGCACAGTAACATTCTAAACCATGCACTGCCAAAAGCGGGCTGGGACATCTGTGATCAGATTATGTGAGATGGCTCAAGGTCGACTTGATAACAAATTGATCAACTTACTTGGTTGAGGGTTTGTTGAGGGGTTGTGTACATAGTGGTTAAAACAAGGGGCCCTTCATGAGGAAACCAGAGATGGTAAAAAAACAATTATTGCAAATTTGACGAAATTAGATAAGCTTGGACCTCATGAGTTGGCAAGGTACTTCCTATCCTCATAACCGCTGGAAATAAATAACACTGGGACACAAACCGTGGTGGTGTTGAATCTTTTATCGTGACGGAGATTTGAGAAATGTTCAATTATAACCCGGTTGCCATACAAACAGAAGCACAGGAACCCCTGGTTAGTCAGTGCGTTAACAAAGTGTCTTCACTTCAGCTCAAACATTCCTTAATTCGCTTTGCCATAAACATACATCTCAAAATAAATAAACCTATCCGTGACGTCAGCAACTTGGGAGTAAAGCATACTCAAAAGCTGCCAAAAAATAAGCCGAGTCACCGTGCTTTAAGTTAACCAAAAAGTTGTTAATTTAATTAAATGGAAACTAAATAAAAACAAATAACGCACCTTCAAACTGCAACAGAAAAAAGGAGCATGAGCATTATACATTTTAAAATGCCTATAAACAAAAACTACAGTGTTTATTATAATATACAATGTCATCTGGCTGAAGTATGCAATTTCATTAGGTAATATAGAAATACCTTAACAGTGATCACTGTGCACACACACAAGCTCTTTTTTTACATTCATTAGTAATAATATTAATAGTTAATAGATCTAGAGGGTGGCCAACAACGCGCTCCATCCCACACATTTCACGCCTATGATTGTACTCGGAGAAAAAGCGCACTTTAAGGTTTAAATTTGTTACTACTGTGTGTTAAATACTGCTCACTGGCTTTATAAGCCCTAACGTTTAATTAGTACAGCAGACGGACGATGCATTAGCAGAACTTACAGAACACCCACGGAATGATTCAAAACTCCGGTCACTTAAGATCCTCAGTGCTCAAAACATAATTTTATATATTTATATATTGTATTCGAATCATCTCTCAAACATATCTCAACTGGGTTTCATTTGTAACCTCTGTAACATATACATAAGCAGTAGTCACCATCGTTTCAGGGGTCCACGCACATACGAGCAACATTCACGCGCTCCACAAATTGTGTCAATGCAGTAGTTGTAGCTTTTGTGTGTATAATCTTATTTTATATATATCTGTGTCCATTTGAAGAATTGCCCCAGTAGCGAACACGTAGAGGCTTGTGACTCTACAGCGACACGCGCATTTTGTAAAAGTTTTGCTCGATTCCTTAGTCCACACGGCAAACGCATTTGCAAGCACAAGTCCCATGAATCCTGTAAACGTAAAACATGGTGGCGGCTTCTTTTGAAACAGATGGTTACTGCGTTCAGGGTTTTTTTTACATGGGTTTCTCAGAAACATTTTTAGCAAGATTCCTTCATTTTCTGTTTTAGGTTGTTTATATTTGTTTGAACTTTTTTAAAAGATTAAATGTAAACCAATATTATCGTTGCTACCGTTAGGAGTGGTGATTTGCAGTAGTCTTCTCTGTTTGGTGATGCTGCTCCTTGTCTGCGTTGAACATGTGCGGCTTTATACTGCTGTCTTTAAAGCTGAGAAGAGAATATTCTTCAGTATTTGACATCATTCACGGTCAACATCTTCACTTCCTCTTGAAACTTTTAAGAGGCTTTAATAGTCGACTGCTTCACACAAGAGAGAATTCTGCAAATGTATTTCAGCTGAAACTAAATCACGGAAATTTGCATGAAAAATAACAAACCATTACTTGACCAGGATATTGTTTTGAGAATTCTTCAGTTCAAGATCCTCCAACTTCTTCCACAACTCCTCCCTCTCCTCTTCCTTTTTCTTTTCACTATTACAAGCACAAACAATTGGTTTTAACAGAATGTTACCGTACATGGTGGACTTCTGTTTGTATGTAAAAAGTAAAGTTTTGCAAAAATTAGGGAAAAAAGTTTGAAAGGTATTTTGCACCTATTTTGAGGCTAAAATTAAATCAGAATGTCTTGTGGCAAATGTGTTTGAGTAGCCTGAGGAAGCAAAGCACTGCTTGATTATCAGAACCCTCCACAGTATTGAATATTAGCTTCCAGGTGGACCTTCAAAATGGCAACAACTTAAGCTTTAGAACATCGCTATAAAAAAATCTATTGTACTGCAACAGCTATGTGCAGTGCAGTTTGTGAAAACACAGTTCAACAAAACTATTGGAAGTGTAACATTTTGTTAAAAGTAGGAAATCAACTTTAGGGTAAATTCCATAAATAACAAATCATTATTTTATTTGGCACTACATATGCCTGCACTTGTAATTACAACATGGATAAGTACATTCATTTAAAAAAAGAAAGACCCTCTCCCTCCACCTATTAACTACAGAAAACTCCAGCCCATGAAAAGTTTTGATAGGTGCACATTTCTTGCCTATAGGTTTTAATGTGACCAACATTAGGACGCACTAGCTTCAGTCTTTAACGTATCCATCCATCCCGCGATCAGCATTAGGGAGCACGCACCGCTGCCGCTCGTTGTTGTAGGACGCCGTCAGTTCGCCAAACAGTTCGCAGTTCATGTCCATCATAGTCTTCATCACGTTGAAAATCAAACCTAAGATCGTCCTGCATGCAACACAGGTTGGCGAGGGTGGAAACACATTGAAGCGTCCACCTTGTTTCGAGTGGAGGCACAACAATACACATTGAAAGCAAGACAATAGCCAACTCGAACATCAACAACTGACCTCCTGCCATACTATATTTTAATTCCTGCCAACACGGTCCCAAGAGTATTTCGGGAAGAAAAATAACTTTTCCCTTGTCCAAGCAACACACACCCACGCATTCTGCGAGCACGGTAGCACTCAACTGGTTCCAGTGCTCTTTGGACATCTTGTACAGGTTGCCAAACATGATGGGAAGGATGACGTTGGAGTTCTCCTCGATGAGACTCAGGATGTACTCGTTGTTCCAGTAGTAAAGGGCGCGCTCCGCCACCTAAAAAAGCACAATCACGCGAGAATGGACGTTACGTGGGAGACCAGTCGAAGCAGGGCCTTATATAAAAACACAATTTCACACTGCACTAGGGACAAGTTAACAGGCTCAAAAGAAATCATAAAAAATACACGCTGTGAAATTAATTGTGCAATGAGCCACACCAATGTGGCTGAATGCTGTTTTAATTATGGAGAATCGATGATAAAAGTAAAAAAAATAGTCATGTTATAAAATGTATTTTGAAATTCTGAGCAGAGCATTAATGTTATGCCACCAAGCAAATTCAAGTGCCAGTGCAATGCTACATTATCTATGTTACAGCTGTTAACCACATTACAATGAGATTTTAAGTATCGATTGCCACCACGAAGATGCTTTGCTGTAGGCGACTGATAAGGTTTCTAATAGTGCGTTTGTTTTCCTGTAAGCACAAAGCACAGTCAATCATGTTGGAAGAAAAGGCTCTTTAATGGGAAGAATTTTAACTTCAATAATTACTTGGAAATGTGGGCTAGCCACACAGCGAGATATCTGCTTGAAAAGCGGCTCCTGGATCTTCACGAACTGCGTCGGCTCAATAACGTCCAGGACCTCCTCCACCTCGCCCAGAAACATCACCTGTGGGAAACAGGGTGGGGGGGGGGTTACACGATGATGAGGCACTGTGTGCAACACATCACACCAACAATGACCACATCGAAAAATGTATTCACGGGGACCTTTCAACTAAACAATCAAAATGTTTTTCTGTAATCATCAGCCATGGTCAGGGATTGGCAACCTGCATCTCCAGAGGCGCATGCAGCTCTTTAAGGACAACTTCGTGACGTTATTTATTAAGGACTGTCTCATATTCACATGCATTGCGGCTCAAGAAATAGTTTTTTACCGAATAAAAAAAAATGGCTCTTCTTGTTATTTTGGTTGCCCACCACCTGGCCATGGATAATCTACTGATGGATAAAGGCCACCCTAAGCTACTGCCATCTCTCAATCTTGCGATGTAGAATTCCACATAACACATGCACACTAGCCAATTTCATCACTCCCCATATCCTCAGGGGACATCCTCTCAAACGCTTCTCATTCCTTGGATACCCCTCTGTCATTATTCTCAACCACCGGCCATCATCCCTTCTTATCGACGTGGCCTGCTCAATCCAACTTACTTTTCTTATGTTAGAAGAAAATCAAGATAGAATTATGTTCTCTAATCCATGCACTCTTCTTTCTGTTTCTGAAAAAACTATAAATACAAGGTTACAATGTTTTAACATGGTCTGATGTGCCATTATAAAACGTCACCAAGTAATAATGGAACGGTTTTAAAATTACCACCTGCAAGAGCTTTACCTGATGCACAGTTTATACTGTAATAACAATGACTGGTGTTCCAAAAAAAAACAAGTGGTACAAACCTCCTTCTGGCTGCAGGTCTTTGGCCAGTACTTCAACAGTCCCCTCACAACCTGAAAGACATCACCCATTAACCAATTGACTAAATAATACACATTAAAAAATTTCTATTTTAATGCACCATTTCATCAGAAGTCAATCCATCAAACCTCAAGACTTACAATCTCGGTGAGGGTGGCATCTTTCTCCAAAAACTGCACCACGCAGTACGCCAACTATAGAAGAACAAAAAAAATCAACAAACAGCCAGAACTAGGCACACCAAGGTGATATTTATGAGCAGGAGAGAACAAAATTACATGCGGTGTATCTCTGACAAATAGGCCCTTGTGCAAACGGCCTTGACATTGATGGCCCCACCTGGGCATGGAAGAGGGAGAGGCCCCTGGCGGTGTGTAGTGGGAGAAGGACCCGCACCAGAAACTGCTTGTGCTCGGCCTTAAGCGGCAGAGCAAATCCATTGATTATGCTGCAAAGACATCGCCATGGGGGGGGGAGCGGAGGAGGGGCGGCAAACAAGCAAAAAAGCAACGTAAATGTCAGCTCCATGTACGCTTTAAGCTGTTTACATAACGGTTCACCTCATTCCCCCCCTCCTTCCCCCTCGACGGGCTCTCTGGATACTTAAGCCTCTCAACGATGCTGGGGTAATTTCAGAATGTTGATCTCATTGCTGTAATCTAAATGTCTTACTGGGCGTGCCCACGTTTTGTCGTCACGAGTGTTTCATATTCCCAGCCATCCTATATGTACTAATTTTTTGGTAATAATAATTTAAAGCATACAAGTCTCTAATTGCTAAAATATATGACAAGATTATTAGTAAAACAAGGGAAAAGTGCTGTGTTCTCATAACTTTCTCATTTTTAGTCGAAGCAAACAACGCTGGCTTGAGGCTGGTTTGTTCTTGCGGTCGATAGTAATGCAATGCTTATGTGGTGAAGCAATGCAGCAGGGACCGTAATTTAAAACAAAAACACAAATTTTACAGACATGTTTACATCGACACAGCCGGTGCCTCACGCAGGCAGGGCTGCCCTGCTCTCACCTTCCCAAAATCTCCAGCATTTCTCCCACGCCATTGAACCGCTCCGTTTCATATATGTACCTATGGAATGTACACATCGCTCATGATTATCGACAAGTTTAATCCCTTGGCACACTACACAAAGTTTTTGTGCTGCCATTGGTATGCTAAAATACGTTGGAATCTCAAAATTAAATCCACACCTCCACAAAGTGCCAAGGGTAAGATAACAATGTGGAAATGCATTCATCATTGTCAACCTCACTGTACAGAGAACATCATGTTTACAGTACTTGCGCTTCACTTTTATTATCGTACTTAGATAAGCCATGTTTTCAGCTAAACCCAAATGCTATAACCCCTAGTTTTACAATTAATGTTCACCTCGGGCAGACCGCTCACCGTAAGAAAATGTTGTTGATCTGCTTGCGGATGAAGGCCCGAAGGCCCAAAAACTTTCCATAGATCCTGTGCAGGACCGTCTTGAGGAAATCCCGCTCACGCGGGTCCTCACTGTCAAACAGCTCCAGCAACTGCCGGAAGAGCCCAAGCAAACAGTTTACTACAACCAAGGATGCATTTTCTCTGTCACTGATGTATGGCAGATGGATAAAAAAAATACATTTTTTTACCATCTTCCAAATTAGCAGGTATGACAACACTGTATGAGGTAGGTGGATATAATTAAAAAGTGAAGATGTCCAATGGAAGTAACCACTGTTGATATAAATTACATGTGTATGCGGTGTAATGTGTTGTCAGGCATGGAGAGAGGATCTGATTGAGAGAGTGCAGGATTGCAATCTTTGTTTAAGCTGCAGTATGAATGCTGAAAGCGGTGCAGCTGTTCTCAAGGATGACGAGCAGGTAGATGCAGAATCAAACAGAGTGAATAGCTAACATAGTGAAGTACCAGGTTACATGCAAAGTAATAAAACGCAGTGCATTATTTGGAATTGTAAGCTTTGCCGTTGTTTTTAATTAAACTATAACCTCATTGGATGTTTCAAATGATCAAAAGATGCATTTAAATAGTCGTCTGCTTAAAATGTTGTAGCTTTACAGCATAAGTGCACAGGAGATAAATTTGGAACCCTTAAAAATAAAAGCTATTTTGTTTTTCAATGTGAGATTTGAAGGACCTTTTAACCTGCCACTTCCATGTTTTATGGAAACATCTTAAATGGACAATTGTGCTTCTCACATGAGGCCTTTCATTACTGACACCACCCAGTGCGCAGCGTATAATGGGGTACATTTAACCCAATTATTTTTTATCACGCGCCTATGATACACTGAAACATCTGGGGGGGGGGGGCAACAAAAACATATCGTTTGCAATAAAAGCTCAACTTAAAAAAAAAATACTGATCCAACATGGCAAGCGGCCAGCATAATTGTGCCCAGCAACACGGCCCATTACCATCTCCACAAGAGCGCGTCTCCAACGCCTCGCCATCTATCACTCGACAGGCCAATGCTGTTATTTTAAGAAAGCCACAACCATGGATGCCAACACTTTCGGTGCACCCCACACAATTTGTTTTTATAAAAATTCAATGTGCCCAGTCTACCGCAGTTAAAAATCTGAAAACAGGAGCCTGCAGTTTGCTGCGCATTGAGCTGCTTCATGCATCATACAGGAAAGAACCCAGATTCAACTGTAACAGTGGGAAAACAGCAACTGTATGCCTACGATCTTGTGTGGCAGAGGATGTCATGACCTCATTTTTATCACTACAGCCTAATTATGTCACACCTATTACTCTTGGGGAGGGTGTAAAAATATCAGTCTTTCAATGGTGAACATTTTTTGCGGGATTTCTACACAAGCAGTCCCTATAACCCGATGATGGTAATTTCAGCAGTTGTCTGAAAATTATATATTAAAAAAACTCATCTGCCATGTAACTGCCAACAAGGTGTGAAAGACAAGGCGATTGCAGGCCCTCACTCAGCAATAACACTCACCTGCAGTACAAACTTCTGGTCTATGTATTTCTTGGCAATGCTGGGTTGGAATTCCTGCTGTTCCAAAAACCTTAGAAAAAATTCATAGACGATCTAAGGAGAGGTTCATAGGAGACAAAAACATTGCAGGAGTGTGAGAAAGCGATGGAAAAGGCACAATTCAGTCCCCTTGAACGCAAATACATAGGGCAAACACACTCATTTATAATTTCGTGTAATTTAACACAAACAAAATAACTCAATTTATGATTTACTGTATCTGAAAAGGCGTCCTCTGGTCTAACACCTCCTCTGGTCTAACACCGTTTGGGACTAGGCTCAAAAGAAATCCGTTTGAAAGACAATGCATATATTATCAGAGTATGTTTTTTGTTTGAATTCTGACCACAAGTATTGTGGTTAATGCAGACATGATTCCTTGAAAAAGGTTTTAGTTTGGTGAAAAAAGGGAAAAACCTAGTCTTATATTTTGGTACTGGCAAAGGAGGTCCCATGATGGACACTGTATCTGTACTGTGCTGCAAATTCTCAAATGGACTCTACCACAAGGTATGACATTCAAACGTGCATGATACCACGATGAAACACCCCGACACAACAGTTGTCTAATCAAGCCTAAAGCTGGAATTCCAGTGTTACACTAGGCGACTTACATGTTGACAACTGGATTAAAAAAGCAGCATCCGAGTGCCTTTCAGGATATGTCACTGTCAAGTATGCAAATAAATGGGGGGGGGGGGGGGGGAGTTCACAGGGTGGTGGGGGGTGACTTGGACCTGCAAGTGAGGCCAGGACGCCTCCAGTGTAGGTTCATCCTCCTCCGGGTCAAACTCTGGATTCTCACTTGGCGGCAGGGTTCTGAAGATGTTGTACGCCACCTGGAGTAGACACACGGATACTTTTTTCAACAGCAGACTCAGACTTGATGTGATGGAGGGACATTTCACCCCAGAGTCACAGAGCCATATGCAAAGAGACACTCGTTGGCAAATCAGGAATGTATTGAACCATTTCCAGTAACGAAAGAAGGAATGCTTATAATTCCATTTTGAAATTACGGATAATCGCAGGGCAGTGATTCTGAAAGAAAAGCTATGAACCTCAATCACCGTCATTATTACAAAAAACCTGCACATGCATTGGAATAGAGGAAAAAACACCCATCATCCGAGCACTTCGGGGCATTCTAAGTAGCTGGAGAGCCATGTAGTTGGTCTTTTCACCAATTAGGATAACTTTGACCAGGTTGGTTGGTTTGATTTCAGATTGCCGAGTAATGGCACTTGCCTGTTACAGACTGAGAGATCAAAAACAAAAGTAGGACAACAGTTTGACAGGATCCAAATCCATGTTTCCTATTACCACATTTAAAGTAATACTTATTTCTATAGCTTTCCAAAAGCATAAAGTACACTATTTTACAGTGACCATGATTCCATTTGCTTCAACAAATGACAATAAAAAAAATGAATTGGATGAAAGCAGTTATGTTTCTCACATTGGCCAGCATGCAGTAACTTCTTCATAAAGGCATTACTCTTCCCTCACACAATTAAATTGCATAAGTGCATCAAAAAAAAGTAGGAGTCACTATAAAGGAAACGTCGGTTATATTTACCAAAAAAAGGACGTGGCAGTCTCATTGTAGGCCATTTGAAAAGCTCAAAATGCGACATTGTCGAGGCGTGTCCATTTTTATTTATTCGCATGGTCATAAAAATGTTTTTTTTTTAAACTTATTCAAAACATCTGCACAGGCCATGCTGAAAATCTCCTGCATCCACTTCAATGACTTCTATCAGAGCTGCTGACCATAACTTGTGCCAGTGTTTGAACCGTTTTACATTCGAAGAGTGAAAGTCTTACCTTAAAAGGACAAACCAAAAAAAAAGTAAGGAAATGGGTAGCAACCATGGCTCTATGTACAAATACACACATATGCAAGCACACAGCAATGTGGGTTTAGTCTTGGTTTGTATACATCATCAGAACCAGTTTATGTGAATGTATGAGGCATCTTTGGACAATGCTTTGTTCCTGCAGCATGTACTTTAATGACACACTTAGAACTGTGACTCTGGGATGAGACAGCTGGTTTGCCATAATTAAAAAGTGGAGTAAAAAAACTCAGAGTTTAATTGGGTTCGTTCTCACAAACAATGGTGCATATATTTAATTTGACTTTGCTGCCATAGAGTTGTTCTAACAACATAAGTCACTGTGGCACTGTGGAATCAAAGTGCCGTTTGGGCCCAGATAAATGAAACACAGAAAGGAAGGAGCCTGATGGGATCATGTCATTAAGACAGTAATTACATCTCTAACATCAGCCTGACCATCTGCGTTCGTGAGATTAAGAATGATTGTTATCATTTTCCAATTAAAAAGTTGAATTACATCTATCAAATATTAATCCAAAATTCACTCCGTTTGCTTTGGAATTAAGCCTCATTTATAACCTTATGCCCGATGGAGCTCTCATCCAGTTGTAAAAATTAGACGAAGAGAGGTGAGAGGAAACAACTCCTGCCAGGATGGGGTCATTATGTTAAAGACATAAGCAGGAAAGATGGAATGAGCAGACAAGTAAATATTGGGCAGTAACCTATAATTAGCCAGGTGCAAAACTACCTTTTACACTTTTGCCCAGTCTCATTGAGCATGGGAAGTAATTTAGAGAATATAAATATGAAGACGCACTTCCACAAAAAGGCTGACAATGACCTCATGTACAATGCATTATGAGAATAACCTGATGCTAATCACTTTCCTGAATTAACAAGAAGTGTATATAATTATAAATGTAAAACCCGAGCAACTTAAATCTTAACCATCTCCAGTCTAGGTGAGTAGCAAACATGGTCTCTGTTTAAAGTGCCCTTGTGAAAATAAAAAAAATTGTCCCATCTGCATTGATCAGGGTAAGTGTGCTGTCCAAACAAGTTGTACAACTCACCAAGCAAGTTGTAAACAATTCATTAAATGAAAAGGTGCATATTTTATGGATTCCAACCATTGCTTATCTGCCCAAATTTAAATCTCATTGGATGAAGGCAGCAAGAGGAATGTTATTTTAGGTGTGCATGTGCACAACCACAATAAAAAGAAAATAAATAATTTAAAGCCCGTCATTGAATTTTTTAATTATTTTATATTGTTCAAAACCTTGTAATCGAAATTTGGGCATTACAATAAAAGGTATGGATTTTTGTCAGAAAATAGATGCCCTAAAAGTGAAAATATTTTTTTCCACCAATGTGCATCTTCTCAAGGAAATCCAGCTTTTGCTCAAATGTCCTCACAGGAAATAAAACGTGCCCTAAATGGGGCAAACCCCCAGCGAGAGTTTCCAGCTGTCTTCAACTTTGAATGTCACCTTTATACACATCAGTTCACTTGCATTACCGCACACCGGCTGTATGATCAAATGACACCAAGACCTCTCTTTGAGAGGTTATGCAAAGCAGAGGCAATTGATGCCCAAGAATGGATAAAAAAATGGCTTGCCTAAATTGGATCATTGCCTAAGCATGACAAATTGTGTGGTGAAGAGGCTGACAGACTGCATCGGCAAGGTGACACGAACCGCAGCATCCCAAAAACACAGGAGAATATACTCAGCAAAGTTATCTGCTTCGCCGTACAACACTAACTGCACCAGGCCCCGCAGTCCTATTCAAAGAACATGAATCAAATATGCAAGCAAGCACATGTTATAAAAATGTATGACAATAAGCTTCAAGATATTTTACTACCATTCCTCATTTTAATTACACCATTAACTTATGCAGCTTTGTTGACACAGCAACTACATATATGCAATGTTTTTTTACAATTTAAGGTTAGGCACCTTCCCTTGATGACCTACATTACAAAAGTGTGAAAATGGGATAGCAAAGAGCAATGAGCCTTGCCTTCTCAGTGCCGTTCAATTAGCGCATTGTTTGACTGTGGCTATTCTGAGAGGGCCACCAAAGCAACTAGTAAAAATTGTCATGAAAAACTGCTTTATTGCTTTAATTCACAACTGCTGATTTAGGGGAGCTAGGTTGGTTTCTGCTTCGCTTAAGCCCGGCATTAATTCATACACAAGAGCGCAGTGCAGTACAGATTCCCGTGTGTACAGAATATGGCATAATGGGTACGAGATAGCAGCCACCATAGTGACTGCACAAGTTTAAATGTCACGCGTCACCATAGCTGACCTACAGTGTGTTAAATAGGCACATCAGGATGCAAGCTGCCATCACCCATTTACAATGTTTCAATGAGTTATCACAATGTGGTGAAAGACTTTAAAGGAGTCGATTGTTTGTTTTGTCTTGATTGTATATGTATATTGCCTGACTTATTTACATTGCGCATCTCATTTGTACGTCTGCTTTGATTGTACTGTCTTGTTGAATACAACCATTAGCCCATAGAAGAAAAAAATATTAATTCAAATAATCATTTTTACATGCACAATTTTACACACTATCGCAAGTATAAAATCAATGTCAATCCATGAATTGTTACATCCCTAGTGTTAAACCATTTTTCCCTTTGCTTTAATATGGCAGATGACATTGCAAACCATTTACTTTGTCCTTGTGGCCAAATATGGCCAAGTTGTTTTTTTTACTCAGTAATTTTTTTTTTTACTAAAAAAAGCATGGTCCCAACATGAAAACAAATTAGCCACATGGGCTAAAATGAGTGGCTTCATGGGCCAAGTACGTAACAGGACCTGATTATCTGCAATTGAGTAATGAATGTGTGCCAAAGTACAAGTATTTCATTTCTTTGTTTAATATGTTCACTATAAATGTTAACATCTGGTGGAAAACTAAAAACACGATTTGGCTTGACATAGGGAATTAAAGTCTCCTCTTGCTGAATTTTGAAAGTACGCTATGCTCTGCATACACTTGGAAAGCTTCTTTCCAAGCGTCCATTTAATAGTACACAGGCATGCAACAGCAGGCCATCTGTTACTGGCAGAAAAAGCCATCAAATCAATATTTAAGCAGGGGATTTTCTTGCTGTAGGTTTGTAAAACAGCACTGCTAAGCAAAACAAGAAAAAAGCTTTCTTGTACAAAATATATACCAATAAAGTCAATGCTGATTACTAGCTTTTCTAATGGTAAACAAGTGGTTGGGGCAACATAATTAAAGTTCTGTTGATTACATTTTTAAACATTCTTTGGAGAATAACGACACACTAAATTTTTACCTGTAAAATGTACACTAAGTGATCCGAAAACATCAAAGCATTTGTACCCTTTAACAATCCCAAAACCATTACATTCAGAGAGGCATCAGTCACCCTTTTAAAATGAAAATGTTTTCGCGCCCCCCCCCCTCAACAAATGCACAACAAAAACGAGAAGGGAAAATACACTTGAGTAAACTGTGGCTTCAACGTAGGCAGCCACCACGTGTGAGCTAGGCATATGTGGGCGAGGTGTGGTCAGCAGCAGGTCGTTCTCGCAGCGTAACAAACTCGTTATCTCAATATGCACTGCTCTTGGCACGCTTCCGGCATTTTGCTTTCGCCTTGGGTGTCTGGCCTGATAATCATTGTTGCAAATTCAACTGCCACATTTCACATTAGCCCGTGGTTTGTGTGTGAACTTTCCCAGAAACAAATCTTCGCTCTAAGCCCAGAACGATTTTGAGGGCAACTTTCACTTAATTCCATGCAGTCATTGACCAAGTTCACACCATTATAATGCGAGGCATAAGTAGACATTTTGACACTCTCTAAACCTTCATGCCATAATTGATCAACTACAGTATGAAGGCCTCTTATTCACTGTCACCAACTCTCCTGGTCTTGAGTTGCCACAACCCATTTGACTCCTGCACAAGGAGATCTTTTCACTCCCATCTCTGTGGCAGTTGTTCTCTCAGGCTTGTTCTCTCCTTTGACTACTTTTCTGTCAAGTTTCCTTTCCAACAACCACTCATTGTCCTTAACAATCAATATTACGTCTGATTGTTCCTTGATCCATGAGTTCATCTTTGTTTCTCTGAATAATTCCAAGCAGGCACCTCCATTCTTGTTTGCAAGTTTTTCAGTTTTCATTCCATTTTATTTATCATCGTGCATATTTCAAATCCATGTGTAATTGCAGGTAATGTACATTTATTGAAAATTTACTTTTGTAGATGCAATGGTATGTTGTTTATCTCCCTGCCCGACTGTGTGGGTGGGTTGGTTGCTATAGGCGTTGATATTGCATTGGTAAACTGTCCAAGTGGCTGTGAATATTGTCATCATTACTGAACTATAGTTTCAGCATTGCCAGAGTAGTGACTGCAGTAACTATTCTTGAAGTGAACTACGATTATGGATGGTTGCTGTGGTGGTTAAGATTTTGCTATTATTGCTTTCATGAACTTTCGTCCGTGTGCTGTAATAGTAGGTTGTGGTATAGGTTGCTACTGTACTTGACAATTGCTGTAGGTATTGTGATATTATGCTGCTGTGGACTGTAGTTGCTATAGTAAATATATGTAGTAGTTGTGCCAGTAGTATTATTTTCGTGAAATATATAGTTACAGCCCTACAGAAGTGGTACTGCAGAAGTTAGCCGCCAAAGGAATTATTATTTTAGTAGCTTGTTGCTGTTGAGATTGCATTGGTTGTTACTATGCTAGACTGTAGTTGCAGTTGTGGTCTGTTAGTGAATAACTATGGTGGTTGTTTTGTGTGAAATTTATGAATAAAGTATTGCTGTAATTGGTCGAGCTGCCTATGTGATCATGGTCATGTTGTGTCACATTTACATTCCCCTGTTGGTTTGGTATCTTAACCAACCCGCACCAATCAGCATGGTGAGGTATGGTCAAACAAACCCCCCAAACCTAACCACTTGGCTGGAAAGCTCACGCAGCAGGGGGTGCTACCAATTACTGGGCACCAATTGGACCACTTATGGATTTCACCATTGCTGGACTCTGGCACTCTCTAATAACGATTACAAATATCCAACAGGCAAACCATTGAACCCTAAGAATCGTACATAGGAACTCTTACATAACATGAATACTCAATGGTGCTTTTTCTGCATGGCAGCGTGACCTTGCAAAGATCGTACCAACTCGAATGCAAAGGCTCGCGGTCATAAACATAAAAAAAAAATTGATGCACGCAAACGCACACAATAATGTTATGTTATCCTCAGGGCTAATGTACTTACACCACATGTTATCTGGAATGTGGCAAGCTTCTGGGACACCTAAATGCACAGTGAACTGCGCTTGCACGCAATACTGAAACTTTCATTTAATAAATATGCAGTGTTCAGAGGCAAGAACGGAACTTGTAATTCAATCAAGGATCCAATTGCAACAACACGGTGTGGAGCAAAACCAGACGGTTCTAGTCTCCCAGAGTGTAGGGGTCATGGTTTAGCAAAAGATTTACTGGGAACAGCATGGTCAAAGCTATCGAAATCTTAATTAACTCCAGCGGACTCGCTTGTCTTGGGTGCTCCAACACAGGGCCGCCACACTTTACTCGCTATTGTGTGGCAGAGAATAAAACTCACACAGCAAGCACGACAACAACACTTTAGGACAACAGGCAGCTCAACGATGGACGCCACAATTTGGCTACAGGCTCTGCCGCAGTGCCAGAATTTTGAGCCTCTGCCAAGAGCAAACAGCAGCTCTAAATCTCTCGTTTCCCATTCAATGCCTGCCATTACATAAACAGCGACCACAGTGCCTTGTACAATGCAAAATCTAAAGTTACTGCTCGATTACGTTGCTGTAAGTTATTTGTGTTTTTTTTTACGGAATGTGTAATGTGACCCATTCCACCGAAAGCTTGCAATACGCCTTTCAAATTCTGACCCCTTCTTGACCTCCCTGGAGCTTTCAGAGCAAATCAATAATGAGCCTCTCATTGCATCGTGGGATGAACCATGGAGGACATCTGCCTCTGAAATATTTTATAACGCAAATTCACGCACTCATCACGACTTTACTTCCATTACAAGACCATGAATATTTTCTTTGTACAAGTTAATTTGTAATAAACACAACATAAATACTGTTTATAACCAAGGACGTCATGCCAACAGAATTGAAGCGTACATAGCTTTCAATTGGTGAACATCACTCACTGTGCAAAATATTTATTGTATTTTTATATTTACAAAGTGACCATGGGAACATCAAGTACTCTATTTTAATTCATTGGATGGCCACTGCCTGCATTTAAGAGCAGAAATGACTACACAAACTTGGTCAGACAAATGTTAGTACATTACTTTTTCACTAAAATCAAGTAGACGATATTTTCTGGTTATTTCTCCAAGGTATGATACTGTAACAACAGTACAGGAAAATCTCACACACATTTGACCTTAAAACAGTTTATTTTTTGAAGTCCGTTTCCAGAACACAGGAGTGATGTTTCAGCGATACGCAATTTGACACTGCTAAGATAGTTATTAGATTGGCTTGCGAGAGGTGAGAGTGCTGCACCAGTTGGAAGGTACTCTGGGGTGTGAATGAATCGACTGTGAGAACGATTTATTTAGCACATGTTTTTTGTGTATGCTTCTTGTGTGATAATGAAACATACTGGACTCAACATGCTCACACACAACACAAATGTTCACACATTGCCGCCTGCATCTAGCCATCCACTCCTTGAAAACGTCAGTCATACGGACGCCTAGATGGCGAATCATTTACATTCAAGTAACAGTGTTAGGATCGAGCGTCGGGCTCGAAATACAGTGTCAGGGGCGAGCGTTGGACGTGAGAGCCGCGGTGTGGGAAAAGTAAAGGAGCCAGCGGTTATGTGTTAAGGTAAAACTTAAATAAATGGAAAGTGACTCAGCATCTTTTATTACAATAACAAGGGCAGAAATTATTTAGAATTAGTTCAACAACGAGGGAGGGGGTGATCATTTCAGACCGAATCGCGCAACTCTATTTTTCCCATAAAGTCCATTATTTGTCGAGGATGGTTTTTCCCAAAACAGCATTTTCCAGGAATGTAACCCCCGTATTCGGCGAGGTCTTCCTGTGTATCCAACTTAAATGCATCAGGACATTTACATTCACCATGTTAATATCCACTCGGCTCTTGAGACGCATACAATTGAGCAAAACCATAAATACTCTTTCCAAAAATCACAGTTCTAATTGATTGCCAGATTCCTAGATTGGCCATACAATCAGTTCTGTGAATGCAAACATCCCAATGAAAGGGTGGCCAATGGTCACAGGATGGGTACTCACCATGCGGATGATATCCGGGTAGACGGACTCTGTGAGCACCCCACGCCCTGCCGTGATGTAGTCCACCAGCTCGTTAAGCGCAGCGCGCTTAATTTCCTTGCCCTTGAGGTCTGACACGGAGTCCAGGAAGTCGAAGATGACGCAGCACTGCTGCAGCTTCTTGCAGAATAGCTCCTCCTGCTCCGACGCGGGGGTGTCTGTGGACACGGGTCATGGATGCAGGCCATGAAATTGTGCGGCAGCACCAAACAATCCTCCGACCAAATTACTGCACCTTCCTCCGTGTAGGAACAGCAGACGCAGGCACCAATAAATGCCCAGTGTACATGACCTGAATAATGTTTTTTTATGTTGCTGCTAGAAATTTAAGATTTAAAATGTAGAAATTCGAGGAATTTGTATAAAGCCTATAATCCACCATGTGCCAACCTCGTATGCTCACGTCACATCACGATTCAACAACCAAAAATGTTTGTTTTCATTGCCTAGTATAAAATACGGTTTCCTTCAGAACAGCAGTTGCCTCCTTTTTTAACTCTCAGAAAAAGGTTCTAATGTATGCAACATTGCTTGAAAGGTCAAAAAACCGCAACACCACTGTAATAGCCTGTTTTTAAATATAATGTTTCCACTGGTTACGTCAGTTTCAAGACACCATTATTTCCGAATGCCTAAAGGCCTCTCCTAGATTAAAAATGTATGTATTTAGCAAACAAGCCATTGCTGTAGTGAGACCAAGTGTGTATGCTACCGTATTCATCTGAAGTTGACGACATTTAATGTTCATCAATTACAAATAAAAATGTCAAACCATTATTGAATACTGTACAAATATTAATGCATTAAAGATTAAGCCATTCCTTTGTATGGTTTAAATTCAAAAGACACGTGCACTACAAAAGTGAAAGCAAAAAAAATGTCCATACATTTTTTGTCATTGGGATTTTTAAAACACCCAGTTCATTTTCAATGCCAACCTCATGGTTTACTACAGTAAAGTGCCATGACATTTCCATCTCATGAGGGCAGATATGTTCTGATAGGTGCACAAAAATGTTAGGCCTACACAGCTTGGCTGTACACATTCGCCCATCCGATAACAGTTAATGTTTTAGGTAATGGCATAACGCTCGTAATACTGTCCAACGCAGAAGCATTTAGTGGCTTTCATTTACTGCAAGGGATCAAGTCTCTGCCATGCACTGGTACTGTACATGACAGGCTTATTTTAGCCTTCAAACACCAGCAATGCAGGTTGCTTTTAGCGTAGCCTATTTAAATGTGTAAAAGACAGACTGAATTTTTGCCAATAAAATGTACCCTTGAGTGGAATGTGCATCTTATGACCATCAATGTGGGCTTGAACACGAAAGACAATGAATCATTCGAACAAACCTGAGGCTTAAGTAACTGGGCTCTATCACACTGGTGCATTTTTCATACCATAGCTGCGGCGATGTAAACAATGGAGATGTTATGTTAGGCAGAATGCATTGTCCTTACAGTTTACTACAACTTCAATTACTACATACATCATCTGCAAACGTTTATAAAACGTGAGGCACTGTGAAATGAGCAATTACCCACTACACTATATATTAAACTTTGCACATTTAAATTAAATTCAAAATTGCCATTCATTGCAACACACATGTTTATGACAGTGGGTGGCATGAAGGTTAGTGCCTAAAATGGGTCCATTGGAAGGGTTTGGCATCAAAAAGAAAACGGGATTATTTACTTAATGTCAAATAAAAATAAACTGATGCCACTCCTACGCTGTTTAATGTGTTTATTTTAGCGATCAACCTAAACACAGCAGAGCAAGAGAATTCTTCGGTTAACCCCAGAGAGCAAACCTTTCACTCGAGTTCATTTTCGATGCATGGATTAGGGGACAGTAGCCCTGCAGTGCACAGTCATCAGTACCAAAACCGACAGGCCAAGGCAATATATGCGTTGCACCAACGGCAAAAAAGGTATCTGGATTACCAATGCCGATTGTATTAAATAATTGATAAGGGCAGGAAAATCCTCACGTTGGCCAGTGTAGCGCTTATAACTGGGCTTGGCCATTTTGAATAACCTACAAATAACTCCAGTGAACCTCCCTGGTTTGGATTCACACAGCAGGAACTAAACTAGCAATGTCATATTTTGCATGCTTCCCCGTTCCTCAGTGAGCTGGCCTGCTGCGTCAACGGCCTGCAGGACACAAACGAGCGTCCATGAGCTTGCCCTTGTGGGTGCTGCCAACAGTGCCCCATATACCAATACTCATTTGCTGTACTGTGGTTGTGCACTAATTGTGGCAATACAACACCGCTAATTGTGGCAATACAATTTGATATCCAAGTTTCTATCCAGTGCATTCTGCCCCACGGTCCTCGTGTGTTTTCTCCCATCTGTCTTGGTCCTTGCTATTCCAGGCACAGGATTGCATAACTTACCTCATGTCTAAAATGCTGTTCTGCCAATAACCACCTTTAAAGTTCAAAAATTCGGTATGCGCCCAAGCATACCTCACCGCTACCCCCTTAACCTGTGCTGCCCCTGTGCTTGCAATGAACAAGGCCTTTATTTGCACATCCTCCTAAGTGCTGGAAATTTCTGCACAAAGATTGTCCTGAATGCTCATGCTTACTCATCCAAAGGCAGAAGCTTACATGTAGTCAGTCGTGCACTGCCTACTGGTTCCATATTTCTTAATCCCTCAGAAACCCAACCAATCACAAAACCTCTCCACAACCAACACAACCCACTGGCATACAAAAAACACACACTAGACTCTCCTCTCTTGAAAGCTGCTATCTTCCACATTAAACCTAGCATTGTATGCAATGATCTCTCCCCTTAAAATGGCTGCCCATCCCCAGAGATATTTGAGGAAAAAAAATGTACCATTTTACATAAAAATGCCCATATGTCTCAGTGACCCTATTAAAATCGAGCCTGTACCCACATCTGCCTCCAGCATATACAACCCACTGAGTAAGCCACACGGCACATCTATTCCCTCTCCAGCTCCCACAACCCATCACCATTTAACTATCAACATCACTATCCATCCCCCACATCATTGCCCTCAATCGCAACTGCCCTTGTCAAGTACCCTGGCTCCAAGCCATTTATCCTCGCAAACTCCTCTACCAGGCACTTTCTCACCACCCCTCCACCTCGGTATATTCCACTGGGATGCCTCCAGGGCAGAAGCCACCATCTTTCCTAAATACACTCCCATTCCATCAGGGACAACAACACACCATGCTGGGCCGAGTTGCCCTACTATCCTGTAAGTGCGACATAACCCGCACCACAAAATAACTCTAATCCTAATCTTCTCATGAAAACCAAGCCTGAAAGACCACATAACCCAAGGTGCTCAACAGCCTCCATTAAAACCCACTCAGGACACCCAGTCAGAATGGCACTGTATTTCGAGCCCCCCTTGAGAGGTAGGCGAGGCAATAGTACAGCAATGGATATAATCCATCTGTGCAGGGCTTTGCGTTATCCTCTCCCACGTTGGTTATCTACAGGTACCCCAATATTTGCCACAAACAAAACATGTACAGTATTCGTGGAATTGATTAATCTTTTCAAAAGTAGGTCCCCTCCTGAGAAAACTCGAGAATCAACTCACCAGATGAACAAAATTTTGATTGTAAAAATTTCCCGTAAATGTAAACATTTTCATTCTCCCACGCGAAACCCCCCATGCGAACAGAATTAAAACGAAAAAAACCTAAATCAATCCAGATCGCTCCAACCTGAAACCCTTATTACTTGCAACTGCGTGGATCTGGATGGAGATAATCCATGGCTACCCAACCTCAATTCCAAACACCACACCAAAACCACACCGAAATACGAGACCCTTTTCCTGTAAAGCCCGAATTCCAATACAGTACTCGATTTTCTGGAGGATTCTACTTGGAATGTTTGGAACGCCCCTCATTGAGTCTCTCTCAAATTCTCAACCCCAATGACAGGTCTTCACGCCTCAAGCTCCCTCCAACCCATCCCAAAGCCTCCTCTGCTCAAACCTCCACACTCGATGCTTACGGTTCTGGCAGCCACAACTAGCGAACAAGCCGAGGTAATTGCCCATTGCCTACTTAAAAGTGTGATCGTCGGTGACAATCTCAGGATGCAAAGTTAACATTTAACATGTAAAAACATTACCGCGAATTCGTGGCTAAATGTTTCGACAGCCCGTCAAAAACGCACAGGACCGAATCCCAACACTCACCAACCAGTGGCATCAATGTGGTTGGCATGGACCCTGGGGGGCCTTGATGGAAAGAATAAAAATGTGGCTCCCCACCCACCCTTTGTCAAATCCAATGCCCCCCACCACCCCAAACATCTCCGTTAGGTAGGCCTGTGCCACCTGGGCCCCCCCCCCCCCCTTACCATGTCCATGGGTGCTCCCGGGGGAAGAGTCAATTGCAACCACCTTCCCATACACATGGACACGCACACACGCACGCGTACCACACTCGACCGTGCCCGGCGGCTTACGGGCCCCACTTTTTCTATGTCACCGACCAGCTCGCAACTCACCCGCTAGCGCTGGCAGCGGTGCAAGCTCGAGGTGAGCTCTCGTGCGAAACTGCGACGATCCCTGCGAGCGTCGAGCGCGGCCGGCCCTCCGCAGGGAGCGCCGGCTGAAGCCGTCCACCTTCTCCGCCGCTGTGGCCGTGGCCGACATCATCTTGCCACCCCCGAGCTCATACAGCGGTAAGCCGCTCTCCGTCGCTTTTGCCTTTTTCCCTGTGGTCGAACGCCTCGTTCGAAGGTGTTGTCGATGTTTGTCGGCGAGGAAAAACAAGAATGTGGATGGGCCCTCTTGTGGCTGGGCGGAAATGGCGAAAACAGCACCCGGGAAGTCGAGGAGGCAGAGTGGTGGTGGTGGGTGGGGGGGGAGCCACTGCAGTCAGAGATGGTGGAGGAACCCTCTCCTCCGCTTTACTTGTTGTGATATTTTATTTTGTAACACAAAAAAATGTTTTTATTTTTCACGATGTTTTTGTCTTCGCCGTTTTGTCCGCCACTCTAGTTTTATTTTGCGTAGAGCTGGTTTTAATCTTCGGGTTGTTTTTTTTTTTGAGAGATTCTTCGCGTAAAATGTTGTTTTTCTACGTGCACCGATTGCTTTGACAGAAGAAAAATCTATTTTTACCGGCACGTTTATAATTTACATTTATTGTACATATTTTACAAAACAGGCTAAATTACAGTGAAGCCACTAAATGTATTTTTTTTACATCCGCTATTCATAAAGACAAAAATTACGTACAATCGAAGCAAAATTACAAACACGTCAAAAAATCGGAATTAAGAACTTATTTATATCGAGTCGTTAACGTGAGGCAAAATTTTGCTTCCTATTTACTCACAAATTATTTCGGCTTCGCTGTTATAAATCCCTTCCGGCAAACATTGTCAGCGAATAGCGGCCATATTATGTTTAAAAATAATAAATAAAAATGTCTAAATATTACTTATAACGGCATGCGTTCGACGCGTTAGTAAATCGGATGAGAGAAACGTGGGAGATTGCTTTCGAACCGAATAGTAACGAAATAATGAACTATAAATTCTATTTACGGCCGCGGAACAGGAGAGAGGGGAAAATAATTTCGCGGGAAACCGCCCCTCGGCAAACCGCCGTCGTCTCGCGCTCGCTTCTCTCGACGTCTCGCGCGCGCCTCGCTTCCCCTTCCAGCCCCCCTCAACCCCTCCCCTCTCCAGCCCCCTCTCCCTCAACCCCCCACTCCGTCTTCCCCCTCAACCCCTCCCCTCTCACCCCCCCCTCTCCCTCAACCCCCCACTCCGTCTTCCCCCTCAACCCTCCCCTCTCCCCCCTCAACCCGCCCCCTCAATCCCCCCTCTACCCCCCCAACAAACCCCCTCCCTTTCCCCCCTCAATCCCCCCCTATCCCCCCTCAATCCCCATCCCTCTCACCCCCTCTCACCCCCTCCCTCTCCCCCTTTCAATCCCCTTCCCTCTCCCCCCTCAACCCCCCTCTCTCTCTCCCCCCTCTCCCTCTGCCCCCTCTCCCTCAACCCCCCCTCAAACCCCCTCTTACCTCCCCTCAACGCCCCCCCTCAATCCCTCCCCCCCACGCCCCCCCTCAATCCCTCCCCCCCACGCCCCCCCTCAATCCCTCTCCCCCTCAATCCCTCCCCCCCTCAATCCCTCCCCTCAATTCCCCCCTCAAACCCTTCCATCCCTCCCCCTCACAACCCCTACCCCACAAACCCCCATCAAACCCCCCTCCAGCTCCTCAACCCCCACCGCTATACCCCCCCCCCCAACTAAGCCCCCCCCCCCCAACCGCGGGCCTCCTCTCACCCTCCCCCTCGTCCCACACCCCCTTTTGGCGACCCCCCACCTCTCTTTTCTTAAAACGTTATTATTTTGAATCACGTGATGCGGCTGTGGCGTCGCGCATTGGTTACCGGCTGCCGGGTGGCGTCACATTGACGTCAATGCGCCGCAGACGTCACCTCCCCCGCCCCCCTGAGGAGCGGCGGGAGGAGGGGTTGGGATGAGGGGGAGGGGCGGGGCAGGACGAGGAGGGGTGGAGCTTCAATTTCGCAGCGCGGATCCGCGCGAAGCTGCTCGCTCCTGATTGGCCCTTGCCGGCATGAACGCGCCCCCCCCCACCGTCAACGAGGGCGGCCATTTTACTAAGGGGCGGGGGGGGGGGTGTGAGGGTTTAACAGGCGCCTCGGCTCTATGCAAAACCTATTGCGTGACGTCACCAGCAAGCGATCTCGCAGCGCGCGATCGTCGGAGCAGTCGGTCGGAAGTGTCCCTCCCCCCCCGAGTAAGATGGCCGCCCTCAATTGTTTGGCTCACGTTGGTGACGTCACGAACACGTGTGTTTGTATTAACATGTGGGAGAGGTGGTAGTGGTGGTGGTAGGGGGGTGTGTCTCGGCCCCTGTGCTGCTAAGATTGAGAGGCAGGCCGTGCGTGTTGCAGGTGAGATGTGGCTGTTAGCGTTTAATCGCCAGCCTCTTTAACCCTCGGCTCTGAACGCGTTATTTACTCACTTGTGCCTCTCTTAAGGCCCCTTTTGTGTTATACCCGAAGGCCGTGAGTGCTTGCGTTGTTTCACGTGAAGCAGTTCATGTTGTGTTTTTGGATTTGACGTAGATTTATCGATTTGAAGTTATTTGTAGGTTAGCTGAAGTAGCAATTTAGCCCCTTGTCGCTCGAAGCGCTTGATACGCTTATCGATTACCGTGTTTACAATTACTGTAAAGTTTGCTTCTAAGTTTGGGTTACGAACTGCGTTTGCTGGATGATTAATCAATGCAAGGTTGCATTGTACAGTACTTGAACTATCACAGAGTTTAAATGTCATACTGTGCATGCATTGAAGATTATGGGAGAATTGTAGAGGTTTTGAATAAAATTCAATTTTCTCTCATTTCTCCCCGATTTCGTGGGAAAAGTATAAATGAATCCCCTTGTATAAATTAATTGGGAGGGTTTATTTTTAAATATATTTGTCATTGAGTAAATTAAGAACTCAAACACATTTGTTAATAACACCGCTCTAATAGGGAAAACAATAGACGTTTCGGGAAAGACTTTTCTGGTATGAAGAGCCATTGCCTGAATGTGTGACGCAGTATGACACTTTGTTTACTTGAACGAATCGATAGTTAAGTGCATTCCAGGTATCGCCTCTAATGCACTCAATGACAAATTGCACAAATTTACTTCAGCTATTCGACCTGATGCAAAAGGTTGTTGGTAATGTTACAAAAATAACAAGTTTTAATAACGGCACACAAAACTTTGTACAAAAAAAATCCCTTCAAAGAATGTAGTTAAAGGACGACATGCTTTAAATTCGTTTCATGTTCCTCGTGTTGTTGGGTGTGTGTGTGTGTGTGCACACCCTGCCCCCCATTTGTTGGGTCACCTCCCTGACTCAACATTTTCTTGCCGAGCAAACGTGACTCAGCACTCGCTGCTGTGTTTTATACGTGCAGGTGTTGCAATGTTGTCAACACAATATATGCTCAACAACCTGTTTAAGGCATCTATTTTTTTAAAGACTCGCTGCGAGTTTTGTCTAACCTGCGTTTAAATAAATGGCACTACTGCCACGGGTGTGTGGAGTTTAAGTGCTATGCCCTCGATTTTTTTAATCTAGCCATCTCTATTTTATGATATAAAAACCCCACAAATATATTGAAGGAATTGACCAAAGATTGAAAATACAACCCTCTTCACTTTGTACTTTGCGAATGTAAGCATATATGATACACCGTACATGACTACGGATATGAGTATAACGTATTAACAAGAACAAAATGAGTTTCAGAAGTACACAGGCGAAAGGAATTTAAAACATCTGCGTAGATAAATTAGACGTTTTACCTGTATAACCTGATAAGGCCCTATCAGGTGGAGTGGTAAGCAGAGTGGTTCGCACACCAAGTTGTAAACCCAGTGACCAATGTTCGAATCCAAGCCACAGCCAACATCAGTGGCGAGTCGTATCTAAACAGATAATGTCCCTCCCAACTCTTCACTAATCCGTCTTGACCGGCGTGGTGAAGTATGGTAAAAACATCCCCCAAGATCGACACGTCATGGGGGAGGCCTTAATTCATCGTAACAACAATCCTCTTTCAAATGAGACCGATATTTAAATAAGTACAGTGTGAACTCATTACAGTAGCCTTGTTCGTAACATCTCGGATGTAAATTTTCTTTAATTTCAGAACGTTACGCGGTGCAGAAAGGCAATCAAAGAAGGGGCCATGGCTTGCACTGCGCAGAGCGTGAAACTCAACAGCGGCACTGCTATGCCACTCCTGGGACTCGGCACGTTTAAGGTAATAAGTAATATTAAAACAAACTTTTTTTAAAACACGCTTTAATGAAATGTACCGTACTCGTAATGGAAGAACTCCACGACTCCCCATAACGTAAGGGGCCATGGTAATTTACAGCCAACGTCAGTATTAACGTGGACAATTACAGCCAAGCCGAAACATAACATATAAAAAATAATGTTTTAAAATGTTTCTTATTGTTTATGATAGAATATAGTATTGTCATCAGTATGACATAAGTATACCAAGTTTGCAGTCGATACCACATTGGGAAGTGGGTAAAAATTGAGTTACAAGATTTGAGGCTACAACAACAGACAGAGTGAGTTAAACAAAAGCGTGTAAAAATTACCTCCTTCAATTACAAGCACCATCACCCCGACGCTAGTAAAATGTCGACACAACTCTGGCGAAAAAAAATCTCGCGCATTTTGGCCCCGCTCCACAATTGCCACACGAGTGTTTCCTTTGAGTCGTGGTTTTGTTCCTTTTAAGTACATAGTCCCGCAGCGCTGCAGCCACCTATGACAATCTGGTGTGTGGTGGTGGTCACGCGAAGAGGCACGGTTAATTTGGTTCTTAGATATCCAGGGATTTCCAGAAAATTGGGACAAGTAATGTTAGCGAGCACCTATTAAGGCCAGCATGGCACTTAATAAGGAAGTGATGTGGCTAGCACCATACCAGACAGCCATTGTTACCCCAGTGCTGATGTTTACACACAGCATCAGGTACTCATTTTACGTCAAACTACGAGGCCTGATCATGTCACTTCCCTCTTATGTAAGCCAAGACTTGGAATCAAACCAAAGTGTGTCACACTTTACGAAATATATGCTCCATTTCTTTGGGCCACAGTTGAATTTATAACCACCTAACGTGACAAAAATGTAATGGTACTTACTTATTTACATGGAAACATAAACGTTATTTTACTGCAGGTATTTAAATATTAATTCCCCTCCCCAAATAATTAGAGGCATAAAAAGTTGAATGAGGTCATTGCTAGACGCGTAACAATGATACACTCTTCTTGCACGACCGACGTAACCCGCGTCCTTAACCGCGCGACTCGCAGATGCATGGTTACGAGGTGGTGTACGGCGCGCTAGCGGCGGCGCTGGAGCACGGCTACCGTGCCGTTGACACGGCTGCCGTCTACAACAACGAGGCAGACGTGGCGCGCGCGCTGCGCGAACTGCTACCCCGCCACGGCCTGACCCGCGCCGACGTCTTCATCACGAGCAAGCTGGCGCCGCGCGACCAGGGCCCCGGGGCGGCGGCCGCAGCGCTGCAGTCGCTTGAGAACCTGGACCCTGGCGGATATCTGGACCTGTACCTCGTGCATTGGCCCGGCACCCAGGGACTGCCTGGTGAGGATCCGCGGTGTGTCCTGCTGCTGTTGACAATGGCACTCTTTGTTCTTGGTGGTAAAATTGCTCAGTAGGGGTGAAAGGGGTTCGTCTTGGTTCCAAGAAATGTTAGAATTCAGGGTTGCTATTGGAATATATATTTTTTTATTATCATGGTGAATGATAGCACCTCCAGTGGCTTCAGAGGTCATGTGAACCTAGTTCATGTGAATACATTGCTTGCCACTTCAGTCGCTCTCTCTCGTTCTTGCTTTGTTGCTACCGTGGATAAATAAGCAGGTACTTGAAAAGCATCACCAATACCCAGTGATTCTGGGTTCACGTGACTCATTCAGCGACGATGCAAAAAGCCTTCAGGCTGTCACTTAACCTCTTTATTAGAAGTGCAAACGTAAATCCCAGAATTCATTAAATTACTAGCTATGACCAAGTCAGTTGTTATGAGTATTACCATCAGTATCACCTCTGTTAGTACAACTGCAATAGCATCGAATGGTATTGCAATTCGTACATTTTCAATTTGGATCCCTAGAGTCTAAATGCGACCGTATATATCATGATGCTGTGCAGAAACAGTGGGCATAATTATTGTATAGAAAGAGGCAGTCTGTCATCGGCAGTGGGGAAAGAGAAAGGCCCTTGAGCTTGGACATTAACAAGAGCAGGGGGTCAACAGCATGGATGGATGTGGGAAAGGAGTTTCAAGCCTGTGGGGACAGCTAATGATCATTTCAATTATGGTATTCTCAACATCCACAATCTGACGGTAGTACGGTACGTGTACGTTTTAAATGCGACAGCCTGAAGTGTTTTTTGCATTCGTAATTCTGTACGGCACATACGCTGCATGCTACATTGCACAAATGAGCGGATTGTGTATCATGCAATTCTTTGGTGTGTTTTGAAATGCTAACAAATAATTAATCTGCCCTCCTAGCGCCTAACACTCCATCCAGACGTTTGTTGTGAGAGCTGTCGGTGATTGTTATATTTAATCTTTTGTGTTTGCATAGCCACAGGACACCACGTACAGCAGGCCCAACCTTACCGTGACCCAGAATTCCCCTTGACACCACACAATGCAAGAGATACCACGCATGGTTTAAGTAGGCATGTGGCGATGCAACCATTCATTAATTAAAATATGATGAAGGTTCCCAATACAAACATTGACTCGCAATATGCAAATGGTGTGCTGTTATGTTTCGGCTAATGGAGACAACAAAAATCTACAAAATGAGATGAAAAAATACAATACAACGGACATGGTAAAATGGAGACAAAAAATACATGGTTGTTGAATCTTGGACCTGAATCAATTCATCAAATGGCGGGGGTTGGGGAAGGATCGTTACACCACATGTAAATATGTATGTTGAACTTCTTTCGCATTGTATGTAGCCCACCAGTGATAATCTGAGGTACTTGGGAAGGACAACAAACTAAACAAGCAACTAAAACTACATGGTCTGCTTCTCCAGCTGAAAATCTAATCCATTTTAGTCGATTAACCTACAAGCCTTCCAGACCAGTCTTTTACTGCAACATTCGTTTAAGCAGCCAAACTCTGAACTGGTTTCAACTCTCTTGAGTCTTATGGTTTGGCTCTTGCCAGTCCGGTTTTGGGATTGTGCCCATGAGCTTCATGGAAGATCGAAGCCAGGGATCTTCTTCTTCGTCAGATCCTTCATGAGATGTTTGCGTGCATAAATTGATTTTAATCCACTGATTGATGCATCATCGCATTTATAATAACTTTTTCTATCGAGCTGGTATCCTTTCCAGTTCGTTTAGCATAAAGACGAATTATGCACCGAGCACATCACCACGTCTTTCCTCCGCACCGACTGGTTATAACAGAGTCTTGGGTTTGGCGGCAGGAACCAGGAGTTGCGGCGGGAGAGCTGGCGCCTGCTGGAGAAACTGCATGGCGAGGGGAAACTCCGTGCCATCGGCGTGAGCAACTACACGGTGCGGCATCTCGAGGAGCTGCTGGCAACGTGCTCCATCAAACCCAGCGTGCTGCAGGCAAGCAACCAGCCTGGCCCGATGAAATAACATTTTACAACTTCAATATTGCTGTTTTTTGCCAGCCGCTTGACGTTTTGGGTCACTGTTCAGCGGCCGTGATTTGGAAGAGGGGGAGGCAGGATGGAAAAAAAGCAAGCACCAGCCAAGCTTGGCCCTCGGGGCGAGGAGCCCACAAGGGGGTGTGATGATTCACCCCTGCCGGCGATTGTCATGGGTTCACATGGTTATCCCTGCAGACATTACATTCACCACCCCAATGTTAAAACATACATGTTGCTTCTTGGATTGAATCGTGCTTCCACACCATGACGATTCATCGGATCATTAGGGGGTGTGAATTGTTACATCTCTACTCTCCACGCACCCACAGACTCACTGACTAGACGGTCAGCCTGGTGACCTCACAACGAGACAGTTGCACTTGTGGGCAAGAAAGGGTGGTTACAGCAGCAAGTACTATCAACCACAGTTGTATCATTTATACTGCCCAGTGCTGTGGCCATCTACTGGTCAGGTGACCAGTAGTTTTCTGACCTGTCTGTGCAGACCTTTTGAGTTATCTCCTCTGCATAGCTTTTCTCCTGCTATTCTGACTTCCTCCTTCATGCAAAACCGTAATGGAGGAACTGGTCCAACACCCCAGTGCAGGGCCCTCTTATATAGTCTTGAGACTAAATAAGGTAGTGTTGCAGAAACGTGGTCTGTTGGTAAAATATACAAGTTAGCTCCATCATAATTGCCACAAGTGATTTTTTCTTCCACATGCAAGGCACTCGTTAAGGAATTGGCCAAACATCTCTTTACAGGACCCTCTGGAAAAAAAAAAGTATCTACTCAATATGCCCCAAGGGCATTATCGTCGTGGTGTCTGGTTACTAATGTGCAGACCGTCCGGCTCGCAGGTGGAGTATCACCCACACCTGGTGCAGAAGGAACTCCTTGAATACTGTCAAGCACATGGCATCCACATGCAGGTACGAGAGAACTTCGTCTCAAAATGTTTCCGCCTTCTAAACCATCAGTGGAGGCCAAAATAGCCATTTATTTTTACCAGCGCCCAAACCCCTGCAAACTTACCACCGAATCGGCAACATCCTGTCAGCTGCTGTGTGTTTGTGGGAAACCTACCCCTACGCTACTGACCCACGCAACCCGTGAAAAAAAAATGCGTGGGAAGAGGCTAATGTGGGCGACTTGGAAAAAGCCCCAATGACGCACGTTTTGTGGAGCTTGTGTAGCAGCGCGGTGCTTTGCACTGCCCACGAATAGCACTGTATACACGATGTTCCTTCCCATCCGTGCATCCAGGGGGAAAATGGTATGACCACATGAATAAATAAGGCAGTGCTGAATTCCTCGCCATGTGAAAGGTGCGACTTCTAAATTGGGGGCCACCACACATTCTGTTTAAACCTAATGCTGATAGTGTACACAGTCCTGTATCAATCCACTGCTGAATCATGGGGAATGTTCGATCTTACTTTTTACCATGCTGGCCAGTGTGGGTTGATTAAGAAGGAGGTGAGGTCCAGAACTGTTTTGATAACTTGCCATTGATCACATGCTTCATAGCTCAGTGTCCTCACCACTGCACCACCAATAATTTACAACCCTTCTGCCAATCCACTGCTGGATTTACTTAAATTTAAATCCAGTTACATTTTTCCTGCTGCCTACTTTGGAAAAGCGATATGACTCGGACCAGACCCAAGTGGCAGTGTCTCGCACGTAGCCGCGACGTGTCTGTTTGTGCCGCAAGATAATTTCCTGAAACACGGCACGAACCCACGAAAACTCGCCATGAACTGATGACGCAAACGGAAGTGCTCATGTCCACCGCACAGGCATACTCCTCACTGGGCATGGGCCACCTGCTCGGGGAGGTGACGGTACAGGAGGTGGCCTCCCGGCTTGGGCGTACACCGGCGCAGGTGCTGCTGCGCTGGGCGCTGGAGCGCGGCGTGGGCGTCATCCCCAAGTCGACGGGCGTGGAGCGCGTCGCCTCCAATGCCGCTGTCTTTGACTTCAAGCTCACGCAGGAGGATATGGAGAAATTGGACGGAATGGACAAGCAGCTGCACTACTGCTGGAACCCGAACACCATCGCGTGACCGGTGCGACAAAGCATGACCTTTTCCATTCGTGTTTAACCAGGTGGGCCAAGTCCACTATTGGGAAGTATCGTTAAGATATAAAGTACTGTGCATAAACATAAATGGTTCATCAGCTGTTTGTGTTGGACTCTTACCCCTTTTCCAAATGGGACATCTGAACAGTGCGAGTATTGGGTCCTTAATGTGGGTGGTTTATACCACTGGATATTTGCAAAACAGAGCCAGAACTAAACCATGCAACTCTGGGCTCAAGACATCTGAATGTGGTTCAGGATGGGCATGGTCAATCATTTTTGTGACGCCAGAGGCATGCTTCAGGAACAGCAGTGGAAATGCATCATGGCGTCTCATGAGCCCCGCGCCAGGCTAGCTCGGGACAGCCCCAGCACGGTTCAATTATATAGTGGAAAAAAGGTATCCATTTTTGTAAATGTGCCAGGGAGTTACTATTTGAAGAAATATATTGATTATTTTCATGCCTGCAGTGATGCTTTTCAAAAGAAAAGTTATAGCTCTTTGTCAATGCACTACTGGATAAAAGGTCTCCCATGCAAAGTCTGTCATTGGGTAATTTTTTTACCCGACTTCACCAGGCTGGTAATGTTGAATTGGTTAAGAATGAGACCTAGGACCAATTTAGATATTACCATTTATTAGCCTTGGCTTGGAAGCAATCTTGAGTTGCCAAGTTAAAAGTGCAGTGCACTAACCACATCCCATATTATTTTATCCATTAAAAAAACATGTTTAAAATGTCCTTGTATTGCTGTGACTAGATAATTGTGGTTTCGAGCATTTGGCTGCTATAATTTCACGTGATAAGCCACCTAATTGAGCTATCATGTGGGCAGGTCACTTCTGAAAAAGAGCTACATAGCTCAGTGGGCCTTACCTAGTAAAAAAAAAGGTGATAGTTTTTAATTGTACAGTTAGGTGGTAGTTTGTGTTCATGCAGGGGCTGAAATTTTTCTCTGCACTGCAATGTAGCGCTGTGTTTTTGACATTCAGGGGAGTTCTTGGTAAAACCTCGGAACCGAGATGTCGTGCGCTATATTTGCCAAACGATTTTCATCCGTCTGCAAAATTCGACACGGTGATGCAAGATTTTTAAATTAACTCGAGGGGAAAAATATAAGTAAAGCCTTAACTCTAAAGCCGTGCAGATGTCGCCCATCCCAGTGATGCATTTCATTTTTGTTCCCAATGGCTTTCAAATTTCTCGAAGTTAACCTGTCAAAATTTAAATCAAATTTTTCCCTCCCCTTCAGAAATTCCAACCATGGCAGTGAAATCCCCGCATCGAATTGCGTTTTGAAGTCATAGGTGCAACAGCGCACGCGGGTGTTGGCTTAGCGCTGCAGCATACGCACTTCCATTGCTCTCGGCTCCTATTGTGTGCCAATTTTAGGAAAATAAAAAATTAAAATCTACACTGTGCAATTTTTCCATTCTCGTTTTTGCTAAACTCAGGTCTTGCAGGGCGGTGGCATAGCAGAGTGGTAATGTGCTTGATGCTGAGGATCGTTGTTCGAACCCTGTAATCGCCCTGATAATACCGTGGGTGTATTAACCAAAGATATGTGCTGTCTGCTTCAGTGGACGTTAAAGATTCCTTGACAATAAAAAAAACGAGTGGATCATGTGTGCTGGCATTACGATCCAAATTTGCCATACTTGTAAAAAAATAACCCATAAACGACTTAATTGGTAACGCCAAATGTCTGACTATACCGTCTGAAACGTGGTGCCTTAGGAATTGCCTTTGTGCTGAAATAATGGTGTGAACAGCAAGTGTACTCATGATTAATAAACCTTTCCGGTCCATGCGAAGTACATCAATGGTTGAAATTTGAAATTAATTCCGAGCAGAATCCCGAGAGCTTGTGACAAAAGAAACCCTCCGATTAGTTTGCGATGAAGTTGATGGCAAACTGAAACACTTGAACTTCCTGCGGTTTGGCAGAAAGGACCAGGGCCTCGACAATGAAAACTGCCCATGCTTCTGGGTGGCATGGCCGAAGGGGTTAATCCTTTCACAAGTGCTGTCAGCATGATTTGCACAGCACCTTTTCAGGATCGTGATATTACTGTAATTATTATATATGGATGTTAACAACTTTTACAGTGTGACTCTAAATGGCAACAAATACCTAAACCGCACCACCGCTTTGAAGCACACCATGTGACCACCTTAATTTCAGCCAGGATGTAAGTTAGCATAGTGCTGCCCGGGCCGAGACTCGAGCACAATTAAAATTTCACACTAATTTCCTTCTTGCTAGGACGTTTTGCAGTTGTTACTGAAAAATGTGCAAAAATCAAATTAACGCTCTCCGGTTGCCTCGCGCTATATCGGTTGGCTGCCACAAACAATGGATGGTGCAATGTGATGAACATTAGCGTGTTGTGGTGATATTGACTTGAAGCCTGACACAGGAAATTAAGGACAAATTTAGAGTTGTGGATGCCCCTGCCTCCACGCACCCCCTTCAATACCATGCCTCTCACGTCGACACAGCATTGAACAAGCCAAGTGGAATTACAAATAAAATCACGGCGTGTTTCCATTCGGCGTGTGCAATCTTTGCGAGTCATATGTTACAGACCCTTGCAGATTGGGATCAAGTCACACTTAATCTTGACTTTTTAAGGCTACGGGATCCATGTGTCCATCCTTCCCAAGGACATTCACATTAAAAACACCAAGCCAATTACTACAAAATGCAACGCATAGCTTAATACCTATGCCCAGATCTGCGTATCATTGGCAAGTAAAAAAAGACATTCTCAAAGCTCTGAAATGTGCTTTCAAGATCTCCAATGTTTCGCTCCAGACATCACGCCAAACACGGCACACATCAAAAACATCGTAAGGGAGCCATCCATTTAGTACGGATGCAAAAATCTGTCAAATTGACCCCTCCCTGTACGCACGCGTACTTTTTACCCCCCCACCCCCGCCTGCGTACGCATGCTTGACGCACCCCCCCCCCCCCCGAATCCTATAGAATGGCCGATATTTAATCCACGCAGAAACGATCAAGGATTAATAATATTAAAGTGTTTAAGCAAACAGATAGTCCACCGCCGGACTATCTAACTAATTTGAAGGCCAATGTAGACAAATTATTATCGAGGCTTCACCCCCCCCCCCCCCCCCCCCATTTCCTATGCGTACGCACATTGTCAGTAGACCCCCCATACGCAAGCGTATGCATTTGGGTTAAACCCCGCTCCATGCGTACGTACTAAATGGATGGCCCCAAAAAGCTATACAACACAACCGTCAAAATCAGCCGAGTATTCTAATTTTCATCTTCTAAACTTTTTCCTGGTGGCCAGTTTTTTTTTTAGCACATCCGAGCGAGATGGAGGGAGCGGCACACTCGGGAGCAGCGAGGGCGCCTCCATTTAGCGTGGCACTCAGCAAGGAGCGCTTACCGCTGCGCCCTGAGGCGATGCATTATTGATGAGGGTCCCTGACAAAACCGCACCACCCGAGATACTGTACCATCACCGACACACGTGCAGACGTCTGTACGTCTGTACACGCACACGCAAAACATTCTCGGCTGGTCGCAGAGATTCCTGCACAGGCTTCTGAGGATTCATGCCCAATACCTGAAACCGCCATTACATCAATTGCCACAATCCGGTGGAAGAATCCATTCTTTGTGGTGTCATTCTTCTAATTTGTTTTTTCTAGTTTGGTCTGTTTAATTCCATGAGCTCAATGGTAACTTTTGCAAATAACTTTCGTAAACCATCAACATTACTGATATGACACTATTATATGGATTGTAATGACCATTGGAATGGATTTTAATCCTTGACTCATTACACACCTACTGTTTAGCCTTCTAGGCAGTCAGAGAAAATGCGATTTGCGAGCACCTTTTAATGCCAGCGGTGCAGCACAAGATGGGAAGATGTGGGCAGCAGCACTCCGCGCAATCCTGGCCACCTTTGTCTCCCCAATTCTGACTTTCACACACACACACTGCGCCAAGTGCTCGCTTTCGGTTGTGTCAACCAGGCCAGGGTTTTGAGTATTTTATTTATTGCTGAGACATTTCAACACAATCATGCACAGCACAGCTGAGCCGAATTGTAAAGTAAAAACACACCACACCGATTTAAAGCACTGAGCCCATTTGTACGACAAGACGTCAAAATCAAACGGAATAAAACAAAATTATGACAAACGGAAAGGTCCCTCAATAATTCTAACACCGAAGGAGGCCCTTCCAGCCATGCGGACGCAATGGTTCAGGCAAGACCCAGAAAATAACCGATAAATAAAACTGCTGACAGAACCACAGCTGGCTGGACGGTTTGCGTGGGTCAACAGCGATTTCCAGTACCAGCGTGCGCATCGGTTTCACGACCTGCTCAGGTGAGCCGATAACGCAGTCCACGCACAACCTGCTCAGGTGAGCCGATAACGCAGTCCGCGTGGTCGGACCTTACAGTGTAAAATAGTTGCCGTCTTCTCAGCGCTGCCGGTTGCCTCCATTACTTCGCTGGGTCACACACAACGGAGTATTCTCCTACACTCGAGGAAACCGCACACGCTTCACATTCATCTGCGGCAGAGACTCGCGCAGACCTTGCCGACATTCAACGCGGCACCAACACTCCCTGGAATGTGAAGTGGGGAGAATTACGGCTTCACACCCCTGATAGGTGCGCAGCAATTAGCAAAACAATTATTTGGAAACTTAAAATATGGAAGTTTGGTCCAAGAGCTGGAAAGGCGACGAACACAACTGAATGGAGAGAGAGAGATAATGGAATGGAACAGATTATCCTTGGGAAAGAAAACACCGGGTCTCGCTTGGCGAGGTCGCACGGGGACACGATGAGACCCTCACAACACACCAACTATCAACTTGCCTTGCCGCCCTTCCCCAGCCAGGCTTTCCCCTCAGGACATGAGTAGCATCTCACCAACAATGGGGATCGTCGAAGGGCAACAGGCTCCTCCTGTAAATGCCTCCAATCAAATCTCATCGAATCTCACAAGCTGATCCTGTCATATCACAAGCTAAGCTGGAATGAGAACGGTTAGTAATTGGGAGACTGCTTGAGAATACCAGGTGTTGTAGGCTTGACCTGCGAGATGGCCAGATGGCAGTACAGCAATAGATTAATACGTCTATCTGTACAGAGCTTTGAGTGTTACCTCTGTACAGGGTAGGTGTTCTCTGGGTACTCTTGATTTCCTCCCGCATGCCAAACATGAACAGAATTGGCCAAACATTCCACGAGGACCCTCTATAATACTCTTGAGACAGACTTTTATGTATAAAATGGCATTATGCCAAAAGTAAATTCTATTCTCTTCTATTTTGGATTTATATTGGTAAATGTGAAAGGATTTTCGTATATTTTATTATGTTGATAGCACCTCCCATTACCTTGGTTATTGATTTTTGGTCTTTGTCACACTATTTTGCATGTAGTTTTTGACAATTACACATTTGCTGGGTTCAGAAGTGACTGCAGTTTGACGAAACATTCCCCGTGCTCTCAAACGATGCTCGCACTTAAAAACACTTATTGTGGAAGGCGTGTTACACATAAATAAGTTAGAAATATAATCTGTTCTTGGAACTTATTTTAGGCTTTAGATTCCAAATTTAGGTTGGTGCAAAAAATTATACGAAACACAACGGCCCAGCGACAGCGCGTTTTCCCCTTGTTGCAGATGTTCGCGGATGGAGCCCAAAGAGCTGCCCTGTTTAATATTCTGGCTATATTAACCATTAATTACGCACCTTCGGCTTAACAGTGGAAGTGTAGAGCTCTACTTCGTGATTAAAAAATGCAGTAGGCCATGTGTGCATTTTAAAAAAAAATTTACGAAACTATTTGCAAATTACTTTGTGAAAAAGACACATTGCCCTCTACTGGCAGGCCAATTACATGCTGCATTCACATGGTGCCGCACAGGGATAGATGTCAAGGGGGTACCCCCCCATTTGCTAGACTGCTACAGGCCACCTCAAAGATTTACTGCGTGGGAGGTGCAGTATCAATATTAAGCCGTAGTTAAGTGTTTTTTGTTTCAATGGCAAATTAAGCCAGCAACGAGACTCGGAGCTCCCTCGTGCAACAACCAGCAGTCAAAACACCTTCGCAAGAGGCAAATTAAAGCAAGTTTCTAACTTGGTGACAAAGTAATGGAATAAAATCTTTGCAACGAGTCCAAAGGATGGAAATAAAAAAGGCATGCAGAACTGCACAGCAAGGACTATGGAAAAGAATGTGCTATTCATATTACATCTTAAAACATCGACCATACTGAGGGGCCGTGGTGTATGTGGGAACATTTAGCGGTAGTAGGCTGGCAAACACTGAACTAGAGAGTAGTAACCTGTAATGATGGCGCTGCTTCGCTAAATTGCACTTGCCCGCTCACTCTTAACACAGCATAACTGCTGAGCACCCTCACCCCGCACCCAACTATATAAGTTACAAAAGAGGAAAATAAAATAAGACAGCTTGGCATTCGCAGGTAATCTGCTCACCACTGCCGATATTCACAGCCGGTCAAAGAAACCCCTCTTGGATAACATTAACATCCAAAAACGAGATGACATTCGTTATAAACACTCGGTACAGTTTACACATTATGTATTTTTTTGTTATGTGCAGGCGAGCAATGGACACTTACTCGTATAAACACCTCTGGATGTTGCTCCAGTCCGATTATTCTTGTTCCATCAAAAATAGCAACACAGGGTTCCCATGTAACACTCACAAGACATCGTCGTCGCTTACGTGACCAGACTTTGCATTGAATCGCAACACTGCCCAACAGGGGGTGATCCCAACCCCCACGCAGAGAGGACAGAACACGGGAGAATGTCGGGGGGTAGGGGTGGGGGGGTAGGCGCCGTTTGGCAAGTGAATACCGGTGTGGGCAGTGCAGGGGTTGGTCTGCACCTGGCCAAGCGGCACTGTCATAGGTCAGTGCACAGGGGGAACACTGCCGCCGCCGCCACCACCACCGCCGCCCCCATTGCTGTCATCGCCACCGTTGCTCGTGCGTGCCTCTAGCGACAGCCGGAGAGCCACCGCCAGCATCTCCTCCTCTGTCATCTGGTCCACTGCGGAGAGATGGCAAAACGTGCCAACACTCGACGGCAGCGGTGGGGGGGGGATGACGGGGGCAGGTCACATTGGGCACACACACGTGCACTCTTTTGACCCGGGGCCAATTTGCAAAGATGGACACAACTCTGGGTGAAAACGACAAACGCCAGCAACGTACAATATGATGTTTTTTTTAATATACACACACACACAATAATACAATATTTAGTACTTCTGTAAAGATGGATTTTTGCAGCAACCACAAGAAAGAACTGTTAGGTACCACCGACCAGGCTCCCCAGACCACTGCCTCACTCCTGGGCTCAGCGGTCAGTATCAGCAGGTCTCCTCAGACAATAGCCAGGGCTCTAGACTGCCAGGACGTCGCTGCCAGATATCTCCTGGGCCACAGGCCTGAGGGTACAGGAGCAACTTCGGCCATCGCCTCCTCTGACTCCCACCGGTCCAGCCTGCCCGAGAAGCTGCTTTCAACTCACAGTGACCGAAGGGCCATACTGCAGCTGTGCCACCCAACTGGACCACCGACAACATCGGGGGCTCATGCCAGACAAGACCACCACAGGCATTGGGGGTGGACCCCTGGCCGAGGAACGGGCCGCCTTGCATGCGTGACGCTCCTACCAGGCCTGTCATGTGACCGATGGCAAGGCCCCACCACGCAGGACAAGAGGACATGTGGCGTTTAGTTCCCAAACAGTTGGCACAAACCACAGTGATCTGCCAGACCCTAGGGCCTACCACAGGGGACAAGCCCTATTAAACATAACAGACCGGGAAGTAAATAAACAAAAGAGATGGTTAACACACCGGCAGCCTCTGCTCAGCCAAAAAAAATAATAAACTGAGCAAAGAAGAGTCACACACTCTTTTGTAGGGATAAGAGGCCTATCAGTGACGGGGCAACCTTCCAAATAAAAATGTCTTTCCCCAACCTGGTGGGCATCTAGAGAATAAACCTAACAGTCATGCTTGTGGGTACTGCCAGGCTGTACAAAAATTGTATAAATAGCAAACGATAATTAGTGACACTCAGAGGCGGACATTACAGTAATGTGGTCGCGATAGTTACGGGGGAAACATTTGTACCACGGATCACCAAACTAAAAATTTACATTTTAAGTAAGTGGCCTTGGAAATCAATTAGAATTAAAATGGCCAATACTCATTAATATTTAAATTGTGATTATTCCTGCGTACACAGTGCCGTGGTTGTGCGCACTTGGCAGTGTGCTATTTTTAGTGAGGGTACAATGTTCATCGTGCAGAGAAAGAAAAATTATACATTTCACAAAAAAGGCTTTCATCAGAGTGGCCCTAATAAGTGCCCCACATTCATGTCCTCTGTGTTAATCACATCATGTATATGCAATGCAGACATGACACACGCACACATACACGCATCAGCAGGTGCATTTATATATTATTTTTGTTAGAAAGCATATTTACAGGGAGAGAAAGTCACCGGTTAGATTACACGCATAATACAAACACATCAGATCAATGGCATCAAATGGATATCTCACGTTCGTGCATGTACAAAGGTCTGCAATCGAGCTGACAGATTGTATGGATTTCAATACACACCGAGCTGCACCGTGACCGTAGTTACCAACGAATTGCACCTCCGATCCCATTAAACACCTCCCCGCTGTCTGTGCTTCCGGCCTTCCACCTGCGCCCGATTCGAGGCTGGAGCTCCGCACGCTTTTATGTCGATTGCGGCAAGAGAGACCCCCATTCACAGACCTCCCCTCTGAGCCAGCGCCCTTTTTCTTTTGTAGGAAAAAAATATTTTAACTGTATTCATTTTATTTAAACGTACGCTGTATAGATATATACGTAAGAATGCATCGATTAAAACCGACTCCTGTGCTCGTGATACATGCAGCACGGTGTCCGCATGAGAATAAATTATTTAGGATGTGTGCGAATTTTATGCAAATTAAAAGCAAACGTTATCCTTAAGGCTAATGGAACAAAACAAATCAAAGCGTGTCAAAAAAAGATTATTCCAGAATTTACATTGTTTCCCATCTTGATCATTCCATGCCTAGCTGTATTCAAGGCGATGCCCTGTTGTGACTCAATAATAATGCATGCAGAGATGTCTCTGTATTCAGGAGGTATTGGACACAGTTGTTATCATTGATGGTGGAAAGGCATACAGAGCCTGAATTATGTACGTACAAAAATATAGAACGATCCACCAGTAACCTATTATCTGGTGAAGTGCATAATTTCTGATCACAATTCAAGATTCAACCTCTGTGATTTCCACGTCCAAACAAAGACAATACATGAAAAGCTCCTAGTCAACTCTCAATACACACAATTCGCTGAATTATTGGAAGCGTCAAAATTTACTTTAACAGAATATTCGACAAACCATTACAGGGCGTTCTGTTTAAGCTTCTAATGCAAAACAGAATTTTTCTAATGAAAAATAAACAACAAACAAATAAACACGCCAACGAACGAGTGAGTAGCCAGAAATGAAGCCGGCTTCTTCGTGCAGCAGAAAGCGCAAGACCACAAATGCAAGGGAGATGTGGCATGGGGGTTTCTACTCACGCCGAAGGGAACAGCCGCCTACACAGAAGTACTACGATAGTTTTCCAGTTGTTTATGCGCACGCTCCTGCAAAGCAGACACTCGAGATGAAACGATCGAAACGGGACAGCGGAGAGGGAGGCGCGGGGAGCGATGCTGCACATGAGCACGCGGAGGGGCAAGCGGTCGGACGGGTAGACGGGTGAGTAGATAGGTGAGTAGACAGATGGGCAGGCAGATGAGCAGGTGGGCAGGGGGTATCAGGTGGCCATGCTGGCATCACCCGTACCTGGCTTGCCGTGCTGCGGAGCACGAGGCTCCTCTTCGGGTGATGACGAAGAGGCAAGGCTGCCCTCGGCACACAGATCCGGAGTCATCGATCCCTCCGATTCCTCCTTTTGCTGCTGTTGCTGTTGCCTGATAGAGTGCAGCCACAAGAGGACGCGGGAGGGGAGATGTGGGAATTCAACGAATGAAACAGTCCAGTCGCACGCTGGAGCGTTTACAATACGCTCGTGTAAAATCACCGAATGAAAAAGGTTCAGTCCCTTGCCACCACCCCCCCCTGCTGGTTTAACTAAACGGCGCTTATCAGGTAATGCTTCCAGAATGCGTGCTGCCTCAACAATACCATCTACACAAAAAACGTCGTTGATGGTCTCAGACCCGTCGCCAAGGGCCGCACAAACATACCCGTTGCGTCACACTTGTTTTTTTCATGTTTTTTGCCTTATTCTGGCTCCGAGGGTTAAATATTTCAGTTCCATTTCGTATAATGATGTGATGCCAATAGCACAACTGGAACGTAACCGGAAATAAATTGATAGTAAAAAAAACCAAACAAAACAATGCTGCTCGCTTAACAGGCTATCGAAGGCTAACAACCAGTGGTACAGCGCAGGATGCAACACCGGTTGCTGTCTGACTAAAGTTGGATTAATGCATTAACTTGCTGTGTCTGCATCTAACACAGGCGGACACAATAACTCTCATGAAGATGATCTAATGTGAACAAAACTTTAAGATATAGTTGTGTTCCTATTAAGGAATTACCCTAAAGAAAACCGGCCAAATTGAGAGATGACGAGTCATCACATCGTTAGTGGCTTAAAACGTAACATCACTATTTCTAAAGAAGAACTTCCAAAGACAAAAACGCATGTTGGGAAGTGTACAGAACCCATGCATATGCACAATTTTTCATATTATTTTTGTTTTAAACGACAGTGGTAGGAAGTAGGTCAGTGGTGAAGGCCAAAGCGTGCACAGTGACTCGTACTTTTCGAAGAACATCTGGCGCTTCCTACGCAGCTCCTCAGCATCAAGGGCCTCTGGCTCAGCTAACGGGGCTGGCCTTGGTGGGACCCCCTCTGCCCTGGGGTCTGAGGATGATCACAAAGCACACCATTACAATCCAGCACCATTTCACACCGTTTCAATCCAGCAACGGTCTCCTTCTCAGCTGGACATGGACCTTTGCAGTCGTTCACAAGCCTCCATTATACAATGAGCAGAGACAACAGGGCACTTCTGGTTAAATCACGGGCTAGGGACCTGTTAAACTCTTAAGTACTTGGTTTGCGTGACCTCAGCAGCCACCAAGGGTGCTCATCTCCCCACAATAAATCACGACCTCGAAGGGAGGCAAATCATTACATTTTTAATAAACCGTACCGCGTGTGCCCACTAACGACTCGTTATCTGGGGGTGGTGGCACATGCCTGTAATCGGGTTTTAAGGATGCAAGCTTTGTAAAATCTCCAAAACACACAAGATGGCGGGACAGCAAGTTGGTTGTGAACCCATCTGTGGAGAGCTTTTAAGAGTTATCACCTCGTATGTGTGGCGAGCTTCCTCTGAATCCTCTGGTTTCCTCCCACACGAAACAAAATACAGTAAAAATAATAACTGGCTAAACATCCCAATAGATTAGGACAAGTCTTGACGCTGGATAAATGGCTTCTGCTTACCCGTATTAATAGTTCGCAGCATGCAAATAACGATCCATCGATTGATTAGTATCCCGCTTGCTAAAAGCAATTATCTATGATCGATACAAATGATATGACAAAGAAAGATTTAGGCAAATGGAACAAACGACACAGAACAATCCATAACATACAAAACAGCTGACACGAAACAAGACGGTACAAAATTGATAACAAATTATCAATTCTTGAATTGACATGCAACCACAAATGTGACACTTCGATAAATCGCAGACGGAGGAAAAAATATACGCCCGGTGGTGAATTATTACGGCGCCTTCGCACTTCTTCCCGGGGACGTGCCTGGCAGCAGCGCGTGGTGGCGCGAGGCGCCCTGCATGCTGAGCTGGATGGCGCGGCGCAGGTCCGCCTGCTCGTCCTCCTCGTCCATCTGCTGCTGGCTCATCTCCAGCGCCCGGCGCAGATTCTCGCGCTCCTCCGTGCTCTCCGACTCGACCGCCCCCGACGGCCCGCCCGGGTGCGCCTGGCTGTCGGCCATCGCCTGCTCCAGGTCGCTGCAGTCCCCCCACGGCACACGACGGAAATGACACGCGGAGTCATTCGGGGAAACACGGGTCCACATGCGTGGGGATAAAAGTGAGGGCGTCGCTGCTTAGGAGCTCGGTAAAGGCACGACAGGAGGCGCTGTTGAGAGCTCTCCCCAGACAGCTGGTCCCTGGGAAGCAGACACCGGAGATGATTGTGTAAAAGGACAAGCAAGATAGAATGAAGACACCCTTTTCCTGGAGGCACAAAGATAATCAATACGAGCTCACTTTATTTCCTGTTTTTGCATTTTCGTGCTTTTTGTGTCTCCTTGCCGAGACGCTTCGCCCCTCCTTGGGCGATCCACCAACCCCAGGGTTCCGAGCAGTCGCATTATGTGTGGTGTGATGCTCAGACCAGCTCCTCTTCCCGCTGGGCCAAAGCCCCACCTGGCAGCCGGGATAATTTAATGCGGAAGAAAACGTTCAAACTCCACCCATGGGGTTGCCCTCCCAACTCTGGCACTGGAATCAAACGGCTCTCGATATTGATCGTGCCGTTATTAACGAGCGAACGGCAGGAGAAGTGTTTCCATTCCTTTGCAGCTGCGCTCATTAAATGCCGATGCGTGCGTGGGATTGACAATAACCATGACTCACCGCTTGGCCCAACGACGGTGAGAATTTATAATATGCAGGACAGGTTCCCCACCCCACCAGCCCGCTTTTTGCCACCAGCACCACTTATTAAGCGATAAATTAAAATCCACTTACATTAGCACAATTAAGACACATCCAATGTTCTTATTTCTTGTCAGCCACCCCACTAGATTTCTCCATCACGGCTTTGGGCAGTTATACCGATTGAAAGAGATTAATTTTGTAACAGTTAATAATTATTTATCATGACGAAATTAATATACCGAACACAACATATTATGGGGAGAACTTCCACCCGCCCCCCCCCCCAATAAATGTTAGTTCAACAATTCACTCTGCCTTCCCAATACCTGCAAACCTGCTTGCTTTCCTGCATCCAGTGTCATTGCTGCACGCATTGGACTGTGGAATGTGGTTGTGTTGCCTATGCAGCTGCATATCTTTGTACTGATGCATTTGCTCTACGTGGATGTGTGGCTATATGCAGTTGTGCTGCTGCACCTGATTGTGCTTCTGCGTCCAGTTTCAATTTATGCAACCGGTTGTGCTGCTGCATACGGCTGTGCTGTTGTATATGATTGCATAGCTCTCATGTGACTGAGTTGCTAAATATTTGGTTGCCTTGATAAAGTAAAAACTTTTTTTTTTTACCAGGTAAGTAAGGTCCACTGCTCTATAGCACTTTTTCAGAATCGACCTGGCCATAAATGATAGTTCAACGAAGTGGCTTATGTTGTGTAAATTTATAGCAGCCAAATAATCTAAATGCATGTTTCTAGATGTGGAGGGAAAAACCGGAGGACCCGTAGAAAAATCCACGCGACCACAGAGAAAACATGCAAACTCCAAATATCCAGGCGTCAGGGTCGGGATCGACCCAGGACCTGATGTATACAAGGTGAAGGAGCGAACATCTCATCACCGTGGTGCCCCGGTGGCGAGATGTTAACAGTGTGTTGCAGCAACACCATTGCGTTGTTGCATACCCATTGCAATTATGCATACGGTTGCATTTCTGCACCCGGTTGTGACCGCCATACGCGACTACATTTCTACGCGCAGTTTGTGTGGCTGACCGGATGCAGTCACATTTAGCTTTTGCTGTGTGTGATCTCATTTCGCTTTGCCGCTGTGAATTTGCCTGTGCGACTCCGCCGCCCTCCTGCCGCTCCCGGACGCCGCCAGCTCGCTCAGCAGCCGGGGCCGCTCGTTCTGCACGGCCGGCATGAGCCGCAGCAGTTGGTCCGCCTCGCACTCCGGGAAGGATCCGCGCACCGCGAATATCGCATAGCCTGCGCTCGTACACGCACGCGCGTAACGCAGACGAAGCAGTCGTTTGTGCATGTAGTCACTTGAATTATGCTTTCCCACAATTTTATCTCGATCGCGCTACTGGTGTCACGTCATGAGACGAAAGTATCCATTTCAATCTCAGAGAAGTGCAACCCTTTGTGCATGACGTGGTGCTCTAAATTAAGCCAGTCTGTATATGCACAGTTCAGAACCATAAATCATGACATTACAGCTGCTGGGAGGCCTAAATAGGTGGCCCATGTGTTCAGATTTTGTGAAACTTGCAAGCCCCGAACAATTTTCTTGTACTTTTTTTCAGTTATGTCACCACCGTGCTGTCGGAATCGTGTCACGAGATGAACTATCGAACTGCATCTCTCGCACAGCAGTGCAACCCTACGTGCTAGAGAACAGCTCACATGAGCAGCTATCAGAGCTACCTCTGAGATCCTTCCACAACTCCTCTGGTCCAGAGTAGGGGGAAGCACATTCCCACCTGCCCTGCTGTAGCGAGTAATGTTTGTCACATGACAAAGCAACTGGAATTTAGCTGGATTAAGTGAGAACCTATTTTAACGTGATCCTTTTTTCGTGCAATCATTGGTGACCAGAATGAGACCATAGACTTGCTACACTGGAGAACTCAGTTTAATGATAGGCGGGTCCCTGGATCCCAGGACCTCAACAGCACCAAACTCAGCGCTCTGAGCTGTGCAACACAGGCACCTTGCACAGCTGCTTCCTGTTCTCCGCCCATGGAATCTTTATATTATCTGTGTTTATACTAATGGTAATATAAGTCACCGAAAAGGGGTCTCCTGGAAGTGTTTATATAAAAAGAGTCACCTGAATATAGCAGGAAATTCACTGCATTTAACCATCGGTAACCGTATGAATATTTGGAATTACTTTCACAGACAAGCACGAATAATAGGACCGGCCAATAACACTCCCCACATCAATACAGATAAGGGGAGTTTTACTGTATTACGCACGCCCTCACCTTCCTGTTGCAGCTGGGCCAAGAACAGCGATAGGTAGGTGTCGGAGATCAGCTCAGGGCCCGACAGCAGCGAGTTCATGTTGAACCACTGTCGGCAGAGAAGGGCACGGGGTACCAAGCATTGGTCAACAACGTATCTCACAGTGTGCGCTTAACGCAGAGGTTCTCAACCTTTTTGACGTAGTCTTCCCCCAATCAAGACCACGGGTTCCCACACTCCCCCTATCCCCGCCCTCGGTTTTAAGGCATGTCACACGTTGTGTATAAATGTGTTTTGTCGTCGCAACGTAGGCCTGATATTCTCAGTGCAAATTCAAACTTTCTCTTGCATGGTATCGATTTCGCATACTTGGCACCCCTCAAAGGTTTTCACACCCCACGGGTTGAGAACAGATGGCTTAAAGGAATTGGCTATACGTGGATGTGTGGCTATATGCGGTTGCACTGCTGCACCTGATTGTGCTTCTGTGTGCGGTTACAATTTATGCAACCGGTTGTGCTCCTGCACGCGGCTGTGCTGTTGTAAATGATTGCATAGCTCTCATGTGACTGCGTTTCTAAATATTTGGTTGCCTTGATAAACTAAAAACTAGTTTTTTTTTTACCAGGTAAGACCGCTGAGCTCTATAGCTCTTTTTCAGAAGCGACCTGGCTACAAATTATATTTCAACCAAGTGGCTAATCACGTGGAAATTTATAGCAGCCAAATACCCTGAACCCAACCCTAAAATTAAATGGCTCATCCTGTAGAACAGTACAGAGGTTGTGTGTCCTGGGCTAACAGATGCAAGATTGAGGCCTCGTTAATGATAAAAAGAGACTTTAAAGTTACAAGCAGGCAGGTCATTATGACACCCAATGCTTTAATGTCAGGTTATAAGTGCACATTACCTGGTTTCCCAGCTTCCGGACCGTGAGCCAGTGCTCCTTGTAATTGCAGATGAATGCCATTTCCTTCCTGCAAGACACAAGACGAAAACATGACAGAGCTGCAAACACCATAAACACGAAACAGACACTGTAAAGGTTCGTGTTAAATGTGCCAAAAGGCCATACATCGCAATCAGGAGGAGGGGGCAAAAAGTTTGGAGTGGCACACACTCGTCAACCACACAGTCTCTATCCCTAGCCCCAATGAAATAGGCAAATGACCACAGGTACTATTGCTCCCACTGATCTTAACGCTAACCAACTATATAACCAGCTATTTGAACTAATCCTAACCATAACCAGTGAGCTAACCTACTATGAGTACTTGCCCTCCTACACGTAGAAATTCTAATTAGCCAAGCAAAGAATAGCACTACCCCGAAACAGCTATCAAACCAACAACTAGCACCACACCTCCCACAGGCTGTAACCAACAAGCAACTGATATTATCCAACCAGCCACGAATACTAGACCTCCCACTGCCCATAATCCTACTCCTAACCCCATCTCCCAGATCTTCTTTATGTTCACTTTTCAGCTTTGCTGTTCACAGCACCCATCACCAGCTGCCCATGACTGCATCCGGTGGCACATGATGGGCACGGGCGATTCGCTCAGGAGCAGGAAGACTCACAGCAATTCGATGTGCGAACGCTGGAAGTGCCGTGCATTCACGGGCGCCATTTCCAGCCCCCATACTCCCAGAGCGCTGTTAATCACCTGCAGCGATGACAGCGGCAATTACACGCGCGTTACGGGCAAATGGCATCGCGACAAGGACGGGAAGGCGGTGAGTGCTGAGGCAGGGAGAGTCAAGTGGGTGGGTGAGAAAGGAGGCAAGGTGAGGATCCAGCAGTGGGAGTCTCCCTAACGTGACTCAACGACTTGAGACCTGAAGCGACTCAGCGAATGGAGCAAAAGGGGCATTCAATGAGTATATAACCACTGTCACACACGACAACATGTACTCTTAGAACAATATACGACAGCACCAGTATACTACTGTGGTACATGAGCAACCTCTTTGTCAATCCAATGCTGGTTGAGGGCCTTGCCCCACCATGCAGGCCATGGGGGTTATTTGAACAGACGTTGGTGGAGGTGTGAACCATAGGCATTGTAGCATAGTGAATACAATAGATATTGCTGCACTACCCTCTTCATTCCACAACGTAGCCCCACAGCAGTCTACAAGACCTGCGTGCTGACCACCCATCCAAGCACAATCCAGCGTCAAGCCAGCTTCGCGTCTGCGTTCTTACGATATCGGGGTGCATATTCCAGGTGATTTTGTCAAAGGCTATAAATACTACTGCATAGAAATAATTTGAATAATTTTGCCATTCAACTGCTAGATGAAGGCATCCCCATGCTGTGTTAGTCATGGAGGTTGTATGACCATATTTCGCCATGCTGCTCAGTGCAGGTTGGTCAAGAGGGGACCCAGAATCGTTTTGGACATCACTCGCCAATGACGGTAGCTGTGGCCAAGATTTATACTCTGGTCACTCGGTTCATTGTGCGCAATGAGCTAAACAATGCGCCATCGCTGCCGCCCACTGTTTTTGTAATTAACTGGATTTGTCTTTAATTGTCTTAAGTCTCACCTGTATGGAAAAAAAACCACTGTCGTCCATGTTTCCTGACGGTTGCTGCATGATCGAAAAAAGGAAACACGTGACACAGACAATAATTTAACATTTAATTCAATCAATTCAATTGTGATCAACACGGATAGCTATGTAACGTGCAAAAGAAGCTCAACAAAAGCACATAATAAAAACATGTTTAAATGTAATTTATACGAGGATGCAACCCAAAAAACAAACATCTCTTATGTTATTACTATGTAGGTTTTTGCGGTTGTGCTTCCAATGTGTTTTCGGTTTTACTGCATCGCGAAGTGTAGGACATCATGCCAAAACAATGAAGGTACAATCTGAAAACACATTACACAGCTCTTATCTTGTTAACGTAACTAGTCTGTGTGACCCGGGCTGTCTAACAGAAATTGGAAGCTTCATTAATGACAACATAGACTTTAAGGACACAATCAGGCATCCCCCCGTGGCACTTTAGTGACATTGCTTCCACACGTTTAATACAGCATCAATTTGGCGATGTCATTCGCGCGCCGCTGTAACTTAGCAGAGTAAAAATAGAAGAACAAAATTCAAAATTGTTAAATAAAATCACGGACCCATGGAATAAATTGTTTTATGGTTATTAAACACCACATCACTAAAAATGCGGTAACGCTGGCATCGCCCAGCAACTCCCTACCTCCATGAAACGCTGGTACTCCTGCGATGTGATTCCCCCCTCGGCCATGCGCAGGCGCTCAGCCTCGTCCAGCTGCACGGCAAGCGTGGACAGGTCCACAGCGGTGAAGTAAGGGCCCTGCAGCAGTGAGTTGAGGCAGTGCTGGGCGCACAGCGAGCCCTCTTGCTGGAAACCACAGATACGAGGGAAAAGTGGCAGGAGGTCAGGGCACGCATTGTACAGTGATGCATCGATAGTACCTGCAGCACATGAGCTCCTGAATTCAGCTCATGTGTAGGTACTTAGGGGATTGTTATATTACAGGGACCATGAGGGATGAGGATAGCGTAGGGAGGCTGTCATCCAGTAGTATATTGATCATGTCTAATAATATGTGATGGCGGTGGGGGGGGTTGCTCTGAACTCAGCATTGTTATGAACCTGGCAATCGGAGTTCCATTTCTGGTCACTAACGCCAGCAGCGAATTGAAATATAAATCTGTCCTCATCACTGCCCTCGTCGCCGACCCACATTGACTGAATTGGCGAGGCATCATTTGGCTGTGGATTATCAAGGGTTGAGAATGACGTTTTATTATTCGTAAATATGGACGGATAACTTTTATTTGTGACCAAATAAGAGCCCATGAAGACCAAGGGTCTCTTTTTCCAGGAATACTTGAAAAAACATCAATCTCACAAACACTGCAACAAACCTGGTCTAAGCTATTTCAACACACTTGTGGGTTTCAACAAGAAAATAATTGATCTCTCACACTTTAGACTATTTCTCGTGCGTAAGGATTTAATTAATAGTTGGGCAGGTCACAGCTTGACCAGAAGCGTGTGCATTTCCCAGACATGCAAATTGCCAAACAGACAATCCGAATGGAATGAAAAACAATGAAAATCAGGAAGGCACTTTTAATCGTCTGTATCCAACTTGATTTCAACACCCACTGTATTGTCAGCCTCGTGAGGTATGTGATATTCAGAGTTCTCCCTTACCAGCAAAGTTGACGGCTCATCTGGTTAATGGTTAACAGTGTAATGGTGAGCACACTAGAGTTACAAATCCAAATATTTCAAGTTATGTGCAATCCAGGGTCACTCGTTAAATCTCTAGGTGTGGCAATTGAAACAATGGACAAGTTTCTCATACCAAGTAGTATAACATGGAGAACTCCACAAATGGTGATCGGCAGGTGGTGTCTAGTGGGGTAAAGTGTGGGTACTCCCACTCCTTCCAAGACGTATGCAGTGTGTGGAAGAATAGGCCAAATACCAACGTAGTGCTTCCTTTAGTGGAGACCATTCTGCCAACAGGGGTATGCACAAGCAATTTCAGGGCTGTAGTAAACTATAAACTCAAGTTTTTGTTTTATTTTACCAGGTTAGACCCACTGAGCAATATAGCTCTTTTCAGAAGCGACCTGGCTATCACAAATGATAGCTCAACGAAGTGACATATCACGTGGAAATTTATAGCAGCCAAATACTCTAAATGCACGTTTCTAAATGTGGAGGGAGAAACCGGAGTACCCGGAGAAAAAAAACACAAAACTAGGTTTAATTCAGGTCCAAATATACAGGCGTCAGGGTCAGGATTGAACCCACAACCTCCTGTATACCAGGCGAGGTAGTTAACATCTCGCTACTGTGGTACCTTTACCTTTTCACGGCCCGCCACGCAGCCTCACAGCTTAAACGTTCAATTACAACGCGCCACCTAAACAATTACTCTCCAGTCTCCACCCACCTGAGCTTCTGAGATGTGATGAGACTGCATGCATGCTGGGTGAACTGGTCAGCAGTATTGACAAAGGGCTGTACATGTGCGTGTGTAACAAATGAGTGGAATATAATAAAATGTGTCAGGGGAAAACATTGGGGTTTTTTTTCATTTCCTGGTTTCAGTTCAACAGGAGGATCAGGCTCAAAGTGTAATGAGGAAGCGCCCATGACAAGAACCAGATGTCAGACAACAATCAACCAATTTCCTTCACTGGTAAACTCAGCATGACAACTTAATGAACCAATTACTCTATCATGCAAGGTGACCTGAATTAAACACTGCAGGCTTTCATTACAATGTGGGGTTTCTTTTTCTAACACATCATCAGCCGTGATCAATACACTGCTTGATGAACGAGTTCCCACGACGTTACCATGTCTCACTGTCCGGAAATGTTACATCCTACGGAGCACCTCGACACGATCCACAGTGGATGTCCTCTCGGACGTGTTTTCTTCTCTGGCTGCCTACTCTGTCATTAGTCTCGATCATCAGCCCTCAACTCATCCTTTCTAGAGATGTGTCCTGCCCAAGGCCCGCTGACTTGTCATCTGAAATCCAAATGAAGCCCTTTTAACCTGCATGTGTGTTTCTCTTTCGGTCTCAATACCATTTCAATAATTAAAACACGATACAAAGCTGCGGCCCTACTATTACTTTCTCGCGCCACTGCTTACAGAAGAGGATCCCCACTCCAGGGAGCTCTAGAGAGCCCCTCCTAGAAAGGTATTTGGCCTACTCTTCCACGCTGGTCAGACGCCTTTAACTAAGTGCAAGTACCCACACTTTACGCCACCACCCTTAAAATACAGCACAAACACGAACTGACGTGTCGTTTTACTGTAAACCTCACCATTACGTAAATAAAATTACGAACTGTACTTCAAATTGCTGACTAATTACATTATTGTCACGGGCGAGAATAAATGACCAAACATAGTCATGGAAGTGTGTGTGCACACTCATGGAATGTAATGTGGTGTTGTTACATATTCCCTTCATTGAACTTGTCCTGCCTTTAATGAAGCTTTACAAAATAAATAAACAAGTTACTATACATAGCAACTAATTCGCATCACACAAAAGACAACACAATACACAAAGATCACACGCACAATAAACAAACATTACATAACACTCACATCACACAATATAAAACAGCACACAAACGTCGTACAACACACATTACACACAGACATCACAAACATCATGTAACACAAAGACAACACAGTTTGTAACCGCCAAACACATCAATAATGTACAAAACGTCACAAGTACATCACACAATACATAAACACACAACACAAAAACGCTACAAACATCAGACAAAGAACCCCCCACCCCACGTATAAACTTGTAACAAATTGTTGGGGCAAGTGCTGTTGGCAAGTAGCAGCTATGAAGGCCGGCACCGTGGCACACGAGGGGGTGGGTGGCCACCACCACGCCCGGCCGCCTTTGTCTCCCCTAGTGGCGATGTTTACCATGTGCTCATTTGAGGCTGAGTCTACCTAGGGGGAGGCCCAGATCATCGTCACTCGGTTGTTGGTGGTCGTGGACGGGAATCGAATTCGTGTCACCGGCTTCGTAGCTCAACACAACAAAGACGTTTACACAACCCACAAAATAAGCACGCAACACAGGTGGAGTAACACATAACAGACGACACACGAGGCATTATCTCACAAACACAACACACAAACAACACAACACAAACAACAACACAAACACCGCAAGCGTCACAAGTTTCGCAAGAAATACCAAAAAAAACGTGCCAAATTAAGACGCTTATCACAGCCAACTAACGCAAACCCATCTCTCGCACGATGAGATGTGTACATCGCTATTAATGAGATCGATATAGGTCAGATTTAATGTCCATGACCGGCAGAATTGGGGAGGGAGATGAAATCTCCATCGGGGTCAGTGGTGCCACAGTGCCGGCCATCAATAGGTGCTCGCTAACATCACCTGCCCACAGGCTACACCGTGTTTATATAACAAAACAAACACACACAGTGGCGACAACAATGTGGTGCTGCCACAGCGGGTTCCAAGTCTCTCACTCTGGAAGGAGTTTCTCGTGAGACTTGGGAGGGAAACGAACCGAGGCGAGGTGAGGTGAGGCCAGGAAGCGAACCGGGTCTCCCTCCCTCACCCCCCTTCCTCATCATCATCATTATCCTCCTCTTCTACCTCGGCTGCCCTTCCCGCCGCAATGTTCGCTGTTTCGCGGCGGTGAGGAGGAGGAGGGGGGGGTGAGGAGGCCGCTTTGGCGGGGTTCGGCCCCGCGAATTACCATGGTGGTGGTGGGGGCCCAAAACAAAAATTGTTTTAAATTCCCACCCAACGGTCGCACCTTCTCGTGAAAGATCGCGTCCATGTCGCCTCACCCCCCTCCTCCTTCGTCTCCTCCTCTTCTTCTTCTTCCTCCTCTCCGACTCCCACCATCGGCTTCACCGCAGCCAGTTCGCCTCCCGACTCGCGGGGCCTTCTTCCTCTTCCCCCGTCGCCGCCACCGGCAACGTCATCGACACCCGGTGGCCATGTTGGGTGAGGACAGCCTCCATGTTGGGTGAGGACAGCCTCCATGTTGGGTGAGGACAGCCTCCATGTTGGATGAGGACAGCCTCCATGTTGGGTGAGGACAGCCTCCATGTTGGGTGAGGACAGCCTCCCAACACACTGCCCCCTACCTAGGTGTTAGAGGTGTTCAGTGTTTTGTTTATTTCTATTGCATATCGTTATAGCTATCTTATACCTTTATATCTATTGCATACCTTTATATATTTTGCTTACCTTTATATCTATTGCTTTTATATCTATTGCATACCTTGAAATCTATTGCATATCTTGAAATCTATAGCATACCTTTATATATTTCTTACCTTCAAATCTTTTGCTTACCTTTATATATATTGCTTACCTTTATATATCTGTTGCATAAAGACTGCTGTCTCTGGTGTAGACCAATCAGTTTCAAAGACAATGCGTCTATTGTTTGCATGTCCACCACAAGTACTCTGTGTGGTTAATGCAGACTTGATGCCTTGCAAAAGGCTTCTATTTGGCGTTTGAACATCTTAACACATCATGTTTTCATTATGGGACCTCCTTTGCCAGTACCAAAATATGAGAATAGGTTTTCCCCTTTTTACTACACGCTTCTTATTTAACTCTGCCTGTTGTCGTATCTTCAAAAAATATTGTAACTCACTTTTTACCAACTTCCCAATGTGATATCGACTGCAAACTTGGTATACTTATGTCATACTGATGACAAGACTATATTCTATCATTAAATAAAATATATATATTTTTCAACATTTTACACGCTTTTATTTAACTCTGCCTGTTGTCGTATCCTCAAATCTTGTAAATCAATTTCAACTGCCTTCCCAATGTCGAATCGACTGCAAACTTGGTACAGGTATGTCATACTGATGACAATACTATATTCTATCATTAAAATAAAATAAAAAAATTAAACAATCTTTTTTCCGGCTCTAATTGTCGACGCTCAACTCACTTTGCCTGTAAATCACCACGGTCCCTTACGTCACGGCAAGCCACGGGGAGCCATGCCGAGGGGCGGGGGATGTGGAAGGTGTTAAGATGTTAAAACACCAAACTGAAACCTTTTACAAGGAATCATGTCTGCATTAACCACAGTACTTGTGGTCAAAATGCAAACAAAAAAACACACTGATAATATATGCATTGTCTTTGAAACGGATTGGTCCACACCAGAGACAGCTTTCTTTTGAGCCTTGTCTCAAAACGGTGTCCTCTGGTCTAACACCGTCACGAAAGCTTCGAATCTAATTTAAGTATGTATGTCTGTGCCAATATCAAAGTAATAACAGGAGGTTCTACCCTTTTTTGGCAATAAAATAGGCCAATGGGTTTCTCAAAGACACTGCATATATTATCAGAGCATGTGTGTTTGCGTGTTTTACCACAAGCACGTGTGGTTAATGCAGACTTGGATGCCTTCTAATAAGGTATCTAATGTGGTGTTTGAAAATCTTAACACCACCTGTTTTATTACCAGAAAAGGTAACACCTATTATTTTCATATATTTTGATACTGGCAAAAAAAAGTCCCATATGGATATCTTAACCCCAATTGTATTGCCAAGTCCAGTTGTTCTTCTTTGGAAGGCCGGTGGGGCCACTGGCGGCCCCTGATGGCCTTGAGTGCGGCCCCTGGTGGCCTTTAGTGTGGCCCCTGGTGTGCGGTCCCTGGTGGCCTTGAGTACAGCCCGTGGTGTGCGGCCCCTGGTGGCCTTTAGTGCGGCTCCTGGTGTGTGGCTCCTGGTGGCCTTTAGTGTGGCCCCTGGTGTGCGGCCCCTGGTGGCCTTTAGTGTGGCCCCTGGTGTGCGGCTCCTGGTAGCCTTTAGTGTGGCCCCTGGTGTGCGGCCCCTGGTGGCCTTTAGTGCGGCTCCTAGTGGCCTTTAGTGTGGCCCCTGGTGTGCGGCCCCTGGTGGCCTTTAGTGCGGCTCTAGTGGCCTTTAGTGTGGCCCCTGGTGTGCGGCTCCTGGTGGCCTTTAGTGTGGCCCCTGGTGTGCGGCCCCTGGTGGCCTTTACTGCGGCTCCTAGTGGCCTTTAGTGTGGCCCCTGGTGCGGCCCCTGGTGGCCTTTAGTGCGGCTCCTGGTGGCCTTTAGTGTGGCCCCTGGTGTGCGGCCCCTGGTGGCCTTGAGTGCGGCCCGTGGTGTGCAGCCCATGGTGGCCTTTAGTGCAGACCCTGGTGGCCGGCCCCTGGTGGCCTTTAGTGTGGTCCCCAGTGGCCTTTAGTGCGGCCCCTGGTGGCTGGCCCCTGGTGGCCTTTAGTGTGGCCCACAGTGGCCTTTAGTGCAGCCCCTGGTGGCTGGCCCCCAGTGGCCTTCAGTGCAGCCCCTGGTGGCTGGCCCCTGGTGGCCTTTAGTGCGGCCCCCAGTGGCCTTTAGTGCAGCCCCCAGTGGCCTTTAGTGTGGCCCCCGACAATACACAAATTGTGAAAACAGCACCCATCATCGTGCTACTGTAAAACCCAACAATGGTTTCAAATGTGGCGGCCCTCACACTGATGATGGCTTTTCGGTGAAAGTGCCCCCTCCTCCCCCACCCATTCTCTGAAAATAACGTGAAGAACAACTGTGGTGCAGATTGTTGGTAAAATGAGAATGTGTAATTATGTACTTTACAGGGTTTCTACACTCATTCACAAACGACTCAAATTCAGAATCGATTCATTTTTTTGGGGTCTCTTTTCACCGTTCTTACCAGGTTTGTCTCGCCCGTTCCGTTGTTAAACTCAAAAAGCGAATGCAATTAGAATTACAAGCCAATACAGTACAGTACTTTATTGAGATTATTTTGCAGCCATAAGTTTCCACACGATAATCCACTTTGTTGAGCTATCATTTGTGGCCAGGTCGCTTCTGAAAAATAAGCGAATAGCTCAGTGGGTTTTACCTGGTAAGATAAAATAAAATTGTTGCATTTTATTTGAATAGATTGTATTAATGATTTGTTTACCTTTCCTATGCTTTGAACTCCTAACATGCGTTTGTATTGTTTGTTGTTGTAACGTTCTGACCCTGTGCCTCCTGACTGAACATGTGTGAATAAAGAGCTTTACAGCTAATCGGATTCCTTCTCCTGCAGTATATAAATAAATATTCTTTCTATTATTTTGTAGTGACGTCACCCCATACAAGTCAATGGGGGGGAGGGGGGTCCATAATACTGTAGGATTTTTTGGGTTAGGTGTCAGGTTTTGTACCATTTTAAAGTGTAAAAACTATATTTTGCCACTGGTAAAGGATATGTCTCATAGTGGTGGGGGGTCGTTCCCCTACCAAAGATGGCTGCCGTGGAGATCGCGTCACTGAAGGCGACGGTTGGGATGGGGGGGGGGGCTTTGTTTGGCGGGGGCGGCGAGGTGGTGCGAACCGGGCAGCGATCGTTTTGTTAAGTGGCGATAGCCAATGGGGGGGGGGCGTGTGTGTGTGACGCCCCTACCCAAGATGGCTGCCAAGAGAGTCCGCGTCACTGAAGGCGACGGTTGGGATCGAGGGTTGGGGCCGCTTTGTTTGGCGAGGGGGGCGGAACCCGTTAGCGACCGTTTGTTGTCAAGTGGTGACAGCCAATGGAGGGGAGGGTTCATGCCCCCCTACCCAAGATGGCTGCCGTGGAAAACGCGTCACTGAAGGCGACGGTTGGGATCGAGGGGGGTGGGGCCGCTTTGTTTGGCGAGGGAGGCGGAACCCGGTAGCGACGGTTTGTTGTCAAGTGGTGACAGCCAATGGAGGGGAGGTTCATGCCCCCCCTACCCAAGATGGCTGCCGTGGAAACCGCGTCACTGAAGGCGACGGTTGGGATCGAGGGGAGGGGTGGGGGCGGCTTTGTTTGACGGGGGCGGGAGTGGCGCGCGCGAACCCGGCAGCGACCGTTTGTTGTCAAGTGGCGACAGCCAATGGGAGGTGAGGGTGGCCCGGCAAGCTCGTCACGTGCTCAGCACCCGTCGGCCAATCAGAGGGCTGGCTTTGTCGGGAGGCGGGATTTGAAATTGCGCGCACGTGGAGTCGAGGCCGGCGGGAAGGAAGCGAGCGAACGAGGTGCGGTTCGACCCGATGCGCTGCTTGGCACTCGCCCCCTCGTTCTCATTATAACTCGCGTACCTCGTTTGGTTTCCTCGGGTATGTGTGGCGGTTGTTTCGTCTTGAGTAGACGTTTAACGGTCGCTCGTAAATAAGCACTTTGTTTTGTTTGTTTTCAACCTAGAAGGGTAAAGCCGCGCGAAGCTGTTGTATGCAGTAACTTCCAGCGACCGGTTGCGGTGCGTGTCTCGACCAGGCTCGGTCCCGAAGGGTTCTCAGTTTCTGGGTTTGGCGAGGGCAGATCTAAATTATTTCATCACGTTTCTTCCGTCTTTAACCACCACGGTATGAGGCTTAACCCGGACCCTAATTACTATCACCAGACGACAGCCACTAGTTAAACTGTTTCACGTCTTTGTCGAGAAGAGAACGAGGCTACAATGCCGTCGCAGCTGGACGAGTATGAAGTGATGTACACCATCGGGACGGGCTCCTACGGCGAGTGTCAGAAGATCCGGCGCAAGTCAGACGGCAAGGTGAGACGGATTCGTTCAGTATTTAAGTGTTCCACTTGTACACAATTCAAAGGTCAATACCTAATGGTTGTCAACAACCGTGGTGGATTGTTTATGAGTCGTGGAGTCTGTCTGTGCGTTGTAAAGTGTCGCACGACCGTGAGTGAGATGGCGACGGCGGTGTCGAGGTTTTCATCCAGCAGTGGATCGATTATTGCTTGTGAAGACGCTTGCAACGTGACATGTCACTACCCCGGCTACGGAATTCCCTTCCATCTCTTTCCCCAAGCGCTTCTAAGTTTACTTAATGCCAGAAATGTATGGATCACTATTACACATTCAATAGTACTGTTTATTCCTGTGCTCAGCAAACTTGATTTTGTTTAAGTGATGTAGTATTGCACTTAAGTAATGTATTGATAGATCAGTCTCAGAAATAAGTATCATTCAAAGTGCATCCTTGCTCAAATTCACACATTGGCAGGCACCATTCTCATTGGGCAGTGGTGGGAATTCCGCATTCTCATGGATGACAAACAATGCAGCCAAGGTGGGTCGATGTTCAGTATTATTCAGTTGCTCCCACTAAACCAGTGGTTCTGAACGCGGGGGTGCACTTACTCCCTGGGGGTGTAAGGTGCCCTTTCTGGGGGTGCGAGACATTGACATATTTATTTAGAATCGTAAATCATTGAAACACGAATTAAGCACGGGCACATGAGTTACAACTACTTTGTTTCATCAAACCTACGAATTTGTTAACATACATTTTTTTACGATTGAGAACCCAACGGGGGGTGCAAGTCTGCAGTAAAGGTGAAGAACCACTGCACTAAAAGGAACCAACGGCCCCCAAGCGGATCACCTGTCTGCCCAAGTGTTGAAACTCCCACTCGAATGGATGGCTGCGTGTGTGTGTCAAACGCAAATAAACCTGCAGCGCCGTTAGCAATTAAATACAGAAAATAAATTAATAAAGCGCTGACCTTTTGTAAATCCGGTGGACTAAAGCTTCCCTCCCCCCACCACCACCACGCCGTAAACTACCACGGTGCCAACTTGAAACGGACCAAATTGTTCAGCAGCCAGGCGTGGTGGTGGTTGTTGTTGCTATGAGCGCCTTACCAAAGCGACGCTTCAAAAGGCCAGGGTTGATGGCTCACGCAGAGATTTGTGAATCTCCAACAAGTAAACCCGTAAAAACAAAGTTTTTCACTCTAAATCCTTTATATGCGTGGCGGCTCGAGTCCTCTCGTCCTCTGGCTTGAGATGGCTGCCACCTATGGGTCAGATGATTGCCTGGCACCATTAAGCAATTGGTAATTCAATATTTAATTTGTTTTCCCTAAACAGTGTAAAATTTTGGAGAAAAAAAATTCACGAAAATAAATTGTCACGCACAACGAGTCTGTGTGGAAAATGTCAGCTCGATTGGATCACGGGAAGTGGGTTAAAAAACGACCGAAAGATTTGCACGGTCGTAAGCAAGCAAGCACGCAAGCAAGCAAGCGAACTTAATATAAAGGATTTAAAAAGATGTTTGCGCTGCGAGGTGGCCGGGATATGGCAGTGCAGCAAGTGGGTTAATGAACCCGTCTTTAGCAGAGTTTTGAGTATTTGTGTGGTGGGGTTCCTCCGGTTTTCTCCCACACGAATCCTACAGAGTCTTGAATCTCAGTGTGGCTTTACTGAATAAAATAAATGCCATGATTACGATACTGTACTCTTCTAAAGGTATTATGGCAGTGACTCGGTCTTTTTGTTAGGATATGCATGCATATCCGCTTACAACGTTCTCATGGCAACAAGAAGAAAACAATTACGTGTAACCTGATTGCTTATATAATTATTTTGAATTAATGTGGCTGGAAATCGTGATTATTGACAGTTATTCTCAATCCACTGCTCGATGGTGATTAAATTAACATTGGTTATTTTAGTTTTGGAATTTGAGGTGAATGGGGGAAAACGCATCTTGTATTCCTACAGCATGGCTGTGACAGGATGCCCTTATACAACTTTGAAGGATCGTTAAATGGGAAAAAAGCTACCTTAAAGCTATTGCCAGAAGCATTATCATAGCAGATTTTTTTTCTTGGCAGTACAGTAAAAACCCCTACGTATGGGACTTTCAAATAAGTTTGACCGACCAGCACACATTTTTGCATACTTCAGTCGCCTATTTGACCGTAAGAGGTGCTTTCAGTAACAGAAGAGGCTGAGCAGGCTAAATTTAGACACTCATTATTGCCAGTTTGAAAATACTTAACTTCAGCATGGTTGGCTACGTACGGTGCGAAAAAAGTTACATTTACATGCACGATAAATGTTGTTTTTCAGGCTGTTTCAAAATGGTAGGTCTCATTTGTCCAGGAGCCACATGACATGGGCTGTTGGTTCGCCACGATTTTTTTGTGAGAACTCAGGCTCCCTTAATTATTTGGCTTGGCCGCCGTATTTTGATCGAGGATTCTGGGCATGCTCACCTCCACTACCATCCACCCGTCTGGCAGGTGCTGGTGTGGAAGGTGCTGGACTACGGCACCATGTCAGAACCCGAGAAGCAGATGCTGGTGTCGGAGGTGAACCTCCTTCGCGAGCTCAAGCATCCCAACATCGTGCGCTACTTTGACCGCATCATCGACCGCAGCAATACCACGCTCTACATCGTCATGGAGTACTGCGAGTGCGGGGACCTTGCCAGCCTCATCTCCCGCTGCCGTCGTGACAGGCACGCTCACTCGCTCACTCGCACGCTTGCTCACCAATGTGTGACAACTTTGGTCCCCAAAATCAAGATGGAGGCCCCACTTTTTTGGTTCTCACCAAGTAGGCAAAATCGATTCTCAGATTATTCAGATCGATAATTTTGCTCATAATACATGCAGAAAATCGTGCTAGTAAAACTCCACTGTTTTATTTATGTAACATATAGGTAAATGATATGCAAACGTCCGAAGGATAATGGAGCAAATGAGACAGAACTTGATGGAAAAAAAATAAAGGACATTTAAAAAAAAAAAATGTATTGAAAGGAATTATTCTAGGGTGGGTAATAGTTACATGCCTAGCTGTATTTATTGCATTGCTCCAGCTTGACTTGGTGTTTTGCTTTGTCATTCCATTTAGCCTAATGGAACAAATAAAACTATCCAAACGAACAAAAAAGAAAGAGGGATCGATACAAATTAATGGGACAGCAAAAAAGAGACAAAAAGGAATGGATTCTTGAATTAAAACATGCCGGCGGACCGTGACAGTTCAAGTCACTGGGGGAGAGACTCAGTACAAGCCTATCGACAAGAGTCGGCGGAGCCTGCTTTCACATCTCAAATTGCCATACCCTAGCTACCGGTGTTATTCTTTTGCCATGGCCTCGCAAGAGCTTTTAACATTTCAATCACGTCTTGGATTTTTTAAAAGCGTCTTTAATGCGATCGCGTCTCATGATAGATGTTCAGATCGCAGGCACGTGCATCTGGAGAGTTTAAAGAAGAGAGGGATTGTTTAGAGCAAGGGAGTGCTTGGTAGAAAGTCACAGGTAAGAATGGAATTTAGATGGCACGATAGCAGAAGGGGAAATGAAGACACTTGAGGGAGATGGACAGAATTGAATCACAATGGCTTTGACAATTGGACAATGCATTTAGTGAGCCGTTTTTTTTTTACCTATCGCTAAACCGTGTCGTCACCCTTGCCGTCCCCGTTCAAACGCTGCCTTGCAGGCGCTTCCTGGAGGAGGAGTTTGTCCTGCGGGTGCTGGCGCAGCTTGTGCTGGCGCTGCGCGAGTGCCACCGGCGCACGGCCGGCGGGCGCACAGTGCTGCACCGCGACCTTAAGCCGGCCAATGTGTTCCTGGACGCACGGCACAACGTGAAGCTCGGAGACTTTGGGCTGGCACGCATCCTCCAGCATGACACCAGCTTCGCCAAGACGTTTGTGGGAACGCCCTATTACATGTCGCCGGTACGGCTAACGGCCACCCACCACCATCGCGTTTGACGTCATGCCGTGTTTGACGGGTGTGTGGCAATTCACTCTCTACACGACTCATTGTCACGATTCACATTCACGCTTCGATTGAAGAATTCGTTTTCCTTGTACTGCCTCATTTGCTTTGTCTCGTTGCATCTCGATTGCCCTTTTCATTCGACGTATGTCACGTAAACTGTCTTGCTCTGTCTCGTTTGTTCGGTCTAGTTCATGTAAACCATTATTCTTTAAAAAATATCATGAGTTTGCATGAATAGAAAAGGATTGATTCTCACCCCCACAATTCAGTTACTGATACCATGGCCGTAAGAATTAATATTATGTATGTTGAACTTCTTTCGCACCTTACGTAGCCAACCGTGCTAGGTGCAATAGTCAATATTAATTGACCAGTTGTCGCAAACCTGCTTGGAGTTTGTCAGAATCGGCAATCCTCACGAGGGATTCCGTGGGCTGCCCCACCGGCCCCCTCCGTCTATCGACGGCGCACGTGGGATTGTGTCCTTGCAGGAGCAGTTCAGCCGCATGTCGTACAATGAGAAGTCGGACATCTGGTCGCTGGGCTGCCTGCTCTACGAGCTCTGCGCGCTGGTGTGAGTACGGTGTGCAGGCTGCCAATTGCGTGAGAAATCGACCACCACCAGTGCAGCGTGGAAGCCAAACATGTTTCATGAGAACTTGAGTCATGCGTGTCTTTGGCTGGTTTTAAGTCGGGCCTCAAACGTGGCTAGGTTGGTCAGAGATTCCATTACCTGTCAGAGCACTGATTTGGCACTTGAGATACTGGGTTGAAATCTGAGTTGATCACCCACGATTAATCCAGGTTATGTAATTTATCGAGATGGTCTCATCCTGGTCAACAATGACTGCATAAAACTAGATAAAATTTTAGATTTTAGCTTGATTTTGTATTTTTACAGCTGTCCGAGAAACACAAATTTTGATTTGCCATGCGACGGACACCTCTGCGAGAGGGGCAGGCTTTAGGAGGTGCAGCCACCCGAGTGTGGATAAGAAGCCATTGAAGGGATCTCGAACGTAGTTCTGTGATGCCACTTTCCAGGGACTGGTACCTACCATGAGGGCATGCACTGCTTTGTGGAAGATTTCCAAATTGATTCTTTTTTTCTCATTACATGATGCCGATAGCACAATTGAAATAATGAAAAGCGTGTGATGTATTGCACCTTGGAATGGATTATCTTTATTTATCTAAACAGCAAAGTTGGCAATGCCGCACCGCCACCACAGATACAGCTTCCTGTCGCCCCCAGGCCCCCATTCACGGCCATGAACCAGAAGCAGCTGGCGGAGAAGATCAAGGAAGGGAAGTTCAGGAGGATCCCGTACCGCTACTCGGACGAGCTGAACGAAATAATTTCCAAGATGCTCAACCTGAAGGTGCATCTCGCACGTCAAGGGGACCGTGTTGCCCAGAAGGGAAAACCAAGCGGCGAGGCTGCGATGGATTGAACTGGATCATTGTCCACGTTGTAATCCAACCTCGCGACAGATTACCGTCTTGACAAAACAGATGAGATGTATAGCTTTGAAAGTTAATAAAGGTACTCCTACAATGGGAGTAGTGGACACTCCTTTGCGGCAACAGTTGGTTGGGCGGGGGGGCGGTAGGGCGGGATAGCATTCTAACAGTTGTGAGTCTGGATCGACGTAGAATGAATGTGCACGTGTTCGCGTGCGTGCGGCCACAGGACTACCTGCGGCCATCCATCGAGCAGATCATGCAGTACGGCCTCCTGGCGGAGGTGCTGGAAGAAGAGCAGGCGCGGGTGGCGCCCGAGAAGCCGCGCGGGGTCCCCACCACGGAGCGGCGCTCTGGCGGTAGCCCCTCTGCGGAGGAGGGCTTGGTGGCAGACCTCCGTCGCAAGGAGGAGCAGCTCCAGGCCAAGGAGCAAGCCCTGCGCGAGCGGGAGGAGCGGTTGGAACGTGAGCCAGTCCGTTTCAGCTTCCTCCAAGAATCGGCTCAGTAGCCCCATAACAAATGTTTTGTACAGAGCGGCAACAAAGGGATTGTACAGTTGTAAAAATGCGCTGGAATTTGGATTTATGTAGCGTATAAATGCGATGCTCCGGTTGGTAAAAAAATACTCGAAGAAATGTTCTAGCTGTGAATTGGGTTTTATCCCAACTGCATTATTTTCCACTTGTAAGTTGGTTTGTTTTTCATAGAACGGGAAAAGGAACTGTGTCTGCGGGAAAGGCTGGCTGACGAGAAACTATCCAGGTAGGAAAGGCGGAAATCAAATAAAGCATGACATATTCACGATCACAAGCATACGCCATTCCATGCCTTAGGTCTCATTTCAGACTGGGAAATTTACTCGCAACCGTTTCCTATAAACACGACTGTGCGTTCACGAATTTTTGTCAACCCAGGTTTCACATGCAAGGGATGACCTCGAAGGCTCATTTGAATCAATAAAGGAGTGTGATTGAGTGGTTTAACGAGTTCACACTTGTTAACAGCTCTCGCGTGGTTAAATAAAGAACCCTGAAAGGTGGGTAGCTGGAGAGAGAGAGACTGAAGCCTGTGGCAGTTGTGAACGAACCGCCCTCTTCGTGTTTTATAGGTACTCGAGAGGATCTCGGAAGCGGTTCTATGATATCTACTTAACCGTAACGTTTAACGTACAGCGTGAAGCCTTGCTTCTTGAGAGTACCATATGGACCCTCCGTTTAATGACATGATGCCACTAGCACAATTGTAAAAAAAAAGTTTGGAAAAATACAGAAGCATTTCTCTTGGACCAAAAGGAACATTCACCAAGACGTGAATATGGCCCAAGACATTTTTACGCAACCGGCCCTTGTGGTCTGGAAATCCGATGCCGGTACCGCAGCTCTGACGCGCGGTCTCTCCGTTGTACCCCAACTCGTGCCGTCGCCGCGCAGGATGGAGGAGCTGGCGCTGAAGCTGGATGCGCCGGGCTGCTGCGTGCCGGCACCGGGGTCGGCGCTTGCCGAGCTCGTGAACCCAGGTAACTGCGGGTGCTTGTGCGCTACCAGCCCCCCGCAGCCCAGGCGGCAGTGGCGAGCGGCCACCGCTGCCCGCTTCAAGATGAACCTCACGTGATGGCTCGCGCTGCACCGACAAGCGACGATTTGTCTGTGTGTGTATGTGTATATACCCACCCTCCTCATGTGGTTTACCGGCCTTCATAGGTGCTCGCTAAAAGCACTTGCCCCAATAGTTTTTTACACAAATAAGTGCTTGGTAGCATAGGGGCTCGCCAACAGCACTCGCCTTGTATGGCGATACGTGGGAATCTTTATTTTGTGTATGCGCGCCTGAGTGTGTGTGTGTGTTTGCATGTGGTGCTGACCATAGCGTGCCCTTGTGTGAAGCGTCGGCCTTCATAGGTGCTCATTTGCCCCCAATAGGGGGGGTCTTTATGTCTGTGTGTGTGTGTGTATGGGGATCGGTGATGCAGTCCTGTGCACACTCCGCTATATGCCCAGTGAGCTTCGTTCAATTCCTTGCCACAGCTAACTTAGGGAACGAATAATATCTTAACTGGTCCTAGATAAACTCGGCTCTAAGTGAGTATCTCGTGGAATGTGACAATATCAACACTGGATTGACAAAAGGCAGCAGGGTTGTGTGTGGTCCTGGTCACATCGCACCACGAGTCGTGCTGGCCTTAATCGCTTCTTTCAAACAACACTCGCCCTGTCCACACGGCTAATTATGGTGCAGTGGCACGGCAGCTAGTGATGAATTATTCAGCGCGTGTGAGCGCCGCAAAAATGCATGGTTACGTGTAAATACGAAGTTGATTTTGCGTCTGCAATAATGGTCTTGCTCAAACTTGCATGGAAACGTGACAATGATATTGTTATTAATAAAGGTTTTACTTTTTTCGTAGTTGGTGTTGCCGTTTTGCGTTTGCGAATGTCTCATTAAAATGAAAACGGACGTTTTTAATACTGCAGATTAATAAATATCTTTCAAGTTGTTACCTTTTTATATGGCTTGGTTGTAAATATTTCATACACGAAGGCTGTGTGTATAAAACAATATTAAACGCAGTTTTCCCTCCCCGATACGATTCAGAACTGATGAATGCACTGACACTGCTTTCATTGAGGTATATTTTGTGTTTTTCCACCACTTAACATGTATTGCTTTACTATAGCTTACGGTCAGCGTGCAGCATCGCAAAAGTACTGCACAATGGTGTAAGCTTTTATGCATTCACAACAATTCATTAGAAAAGAGATTTATTAACACTGGACTATAACAAATAAAGTGTTCACTTGGGTCTCCCGGAGCCAAATGCATTCTCTGAATATATAACTGTTCAGCATGTAACAGAGGGGGAAAGAAAGTATAACATTACCCTTGGGCTAATGGTACAAATGAGACCAACCAAATGAGATAAAAATCAGGAGACCTGCAATTCCATGAGACTTTTCAAACAAGGCAAGAACAGTATCCACTCCTGGATGGAATCGTAATGCCCAAAACGTAGCAATTCGTCGAATCGCAGGGAATGCCGAAACACTGCACGTGTGGCAACTGGTGACGCGAGTGATTGATGTTGATTCACACATCAACAACCACAAGTGCCAAACTAACACGATCAGGGGTGTCCGATTACAAACTCACGCAAGCGCTCGCCCTCCCCTCCTTGTTCCAGCAGACGGCGAGTTTTCTTTAGCACGCAAGAAGGTGCAGTTTGTGGGAGACGGCGCACAGAGCAAGGAGAACACCGGCCCCATGGTGGGTGCGACGGCTACGGTCGCGGCGGCGGTGGCAACGGTCGTGTCACTGGCGGGGCCGTGCCGTGCACCGGTGGGACGAGGGGATGCCCTGCGCGAGCGCCTGCAGGCAGCGAACCTGCGGACGCGCGAGCTGCGATACCTCGAGGCGGAATCCCAGCTCAAGAGCCGGCAGCTGCTGGGCATGCGTTGAGCCGGTGCCGGCAACGGCCTCCACGACACCACCCGCTGTCGATAAAATGCAACAAAAGCGGGAATATCAAAAGTTACAGATTTTAAAGTCAAAGGTACCAAAGAACTGGGGTTTAGCGGTACATTTTTAGTGTTGGGTCCTCCATATTTTAACCCTGGTTCTGAGTTTGCATATCGGCCAGTCACCTCCCATGCAATGAAATTGTTGTGGTTAGGTGGTCTGTGGATGTTTTGTGGGTGCTGTTCGTTGACTGGCAGACATTCTGCCTCGAATTTGACCATGTCTGGGTAACTGGAGGTCATGGACTGAGACTGGTGTTAATGAGTGTGGGACTGACGGTGGACACATTTTTCAACATTAGTTTATTGATAAACAACTTTAGAGCCCAATGCTGATTTAAATACTGGAAATTAAAGCAAGTTTACATTTTGTTCACGTATTTTCAGCTGAGAATCAGTTGCATATCTAGTTGTGTAAATACTGTGTGATTATGATGACGTTTCATTCGTAGTTGCTGAATTGATGTAGAGTTGAATGTTGAGTGATATTTAAATCAAATTATAATGTAGATTTTATATTTTTACAGAATAAAATGCAGGCGCTGCTTAAAAAGTATGTTGATTTATACCTGGTTGCATTTTGTTACGCTCTTAACAGCTGTCTTGCTGAATGAATGCTACGTTTTGGATGTATTTTTTTTTGCCAAATCTACTGAGTTTGTAAAATAAACGTGATTATTTTACCTGGCTTTTGATGCAACAGATTTTAGGTGAAAAATGATCGGTATATCGTTCAGGCTATAATGGAAGGGAGCTGTGTGGCACTCGTGGTTTGGTTCCTGACTGCGGCTGACGTCAATGTCAATGCTGAGTGATAGTTGAACCGATCCTGCGCTGTCTTCACCTTTTACTAACCCTCCACTGACCAGTGGCGATAACGTTTGGTCAAACAACCCTCGACGACTGACAGCATGGAGATGTACTCATCCACCTATGGACTCATTTATTACCGTGCTTGTAATGATTAATTTAATGGAGTTTAAAGCTTTTAAACCCTTTGGGTTTTTCGGTAACCTACGTGACTACCGAAAAAACCAAAGAGTATGGATCCTTGCAGTCACAATAACTTCAAATCCTTTGTCAAGGCGCCCTTCCCCCCTCCAACCCAGTTTAAATATACGCTGCCAAGCCTGGTGGTGCCCATTCAGACGCTGTCTTTCCGACAGACCTGTTCTTCACCTGAGGACGGCTGCTTGCGTTGTGACCGAAACGTCGTGAGAATTCTTTTATTTTTATTTATTTCCCTTCTACGTGACTTTACCGAAAGAACCAAGAAGATGAATCCCTGCAGTCACGAAAGCTTTAAATCGAAATTCAAATCTAGAATTTAAAGCTTTTAATGTGTTCATACTAAATGCACAATTTTTATTAAACCAAAAGCAACAAAGTAAGGCCCCAGCGAGAATTGAACTCGCGACCCCTGGTTTACAAGACCAGTGCTCTAACCCCTGAGCTATGGAGCCTTGCCTGATGAGTGCCTCTCCGCGTAGCTTTTGAAGTCTCGCCAAACCTGTATGTGTTGGACGAGAAGCAACCAATTAGTTTACAAATCCATAGTGGAGACAAGCTGAGCAGTGCCACCTGTTGACAAATTTAAGTGGCAACTGATATCAGTGGCCGCACATTCTGAGTGGTTGATTAAATCAAGACAGCAATAAGTGACATAGGAAAGCCAAAACTATTTGTGAAAGTTAAAAAGTTTTGGATTTATAATAAAGCTGTCAATGGAAGCCCTTATTAATCATTGTCACCATTCATTTATTTTCCACTGCTGGATGAAGACCTCCCCAAGCCATGACTATCTGTCACGATCCTGTGATTTAATAATCCATCAAGCTCCTGCACAGAAGCTGATCTCATTGTTTTACCTTTCATGGACATCCTCTCAGAACTGTTCACTCCTTTGGCTGGCACTCTGTCGTAAGTCTCGACCACCATTACCAAGTCGCAAACAATTTTACACCTCTCCAAAAAAGCCAGATGCCAGTGGTGCAAAACTGCCAGTGGTAGAAAACGTAATTTGTCCTGATAAATACCAAAAAAACCTTTTGCCACAAACCTGGCCAACAGGCCACAGGAAGCCTTTAACAAATACACTGGTGATAAACTTCATTCACCGAGTGTTAAATTAAACATTTTTTAAATATCGTTGGCCTCTTGTGGGCCAGCCACTTGGCAGTATTTAAGTGGCTTGCTGACTCGAGACGCTACAAATCTGTGTGACTTCAGTGTGTCAATACGGATCTCCAGGACGTAAAACATCAACAAAAACCTAGTCGGGAACATTTGTTTCCAATGAATACGCTGACGACCGTTGGACGCGTTGCAAAGATTGCGTTAACATGTCCGGCAATTGAATAAAAAAGGTTAGATGATCAAAAAACACGAAGGCCCCAGCGAGAATTGAACTCGCGACCCCTGGTTTACAAGACCAGTGCTCTAACCACTGAGCTATGGAGCCACTCCTGTAACCGATGCTGCTAAATCATTATATAACAGCTGATGACAAACGCTGCACAATGCTGTGTAACTATGTAGTGCAGCCACACCCAGCATGTAAATGTGCACTGCGGACACGTCAGCAACCCGAACAGAATTTCTTTGTTGCCAATGTTTTGTTATGCTGACTCACCTGAAGGTTCACATATTTGCATACCTGTGAACCCATACGGTTTACCTGTATTCTTGTACAGGGAAATTGAGTTTTCAGGTCCATACGGTGTGCAGCCGTTTCAATCCAGGCAAAAAAATGAGTCTATTTGTGTTTTTCCCTTGTGTGTTGGATGAATTGAACGTTGAGATGTTAAGGGCATGAGGTGACCAATAATGTCCTGAATTGGTCTTTAATAAGGTGGGCACTGATAATGGGTTGACAGGTATGTTATTTAGGAAGTGAAAACTCCTAACTCGTCAGTCAAAGGAAGGTGACGTACCATCCTTTTACTGGACATCGATGAAAAAGAGCTTAATAGCAAATCGGATTCCTCCAGTAAAAATAAATATTGATTAATGTATAAAAGTTACCCATTTGCAGATTACATTAACACAAGTATTTGACACGGGTTAAGTGATTAGTGTAAATTTTAATGATGCTCTTGAATGACAAGATACAAAAATTGGCTGAAATATAGTTTAATGTAATTTTTGTAAAAAAATGAATTGCTAACAAAATTCATTAACCGTGTTTTAATGTGGGTCTCTAAAAAGTTCCCAACCAGAGGTTGATTGCGCAATCATTGTGCAGGAATCAGCCTACATATTTCAACCGCTTCATATCTCATACAAACGTATTCCTCTCCAGTAAAGCCAACGTAAACGTTTGCAGCCCACTAACAGATATTCGTTACACATAATAATAAAAGCAATATACATCTGAAATGTAACTTATTTTTAAATAAAAAAATATCTAAGGCTCCAGTGAGAATTGAACTCACGACCCCTGGTTTACTAGACCAGTGCTCTAACCACTGAGCTATGGAGCCACGTGATACGTATCGCTGCCCACACCCATTTATATGTGAATCGCGTTCACTACAAAACATTCAGTAGCGATGAAAATAAAATATACACGTTGAAAATCGTTAGAAAACTTCCGTAAAATGTTTAACATCGTTTTTTAACGTTGTGCTCAATCGTCTGGCGTCTTTGTGAACTGCACAGCACGCTACACAATGCACAAGACAGAATATTCCCCCGTATAACCAAAATACGTTTTGGGGCGAGTGCACACGTGGTGGTGGATGGCCAGCGCCGTGCCCGGCCGCCTTTGTCTCCCCAGTAGCGATTTTCACACACCGTCTCGGTACCGTCATTTGAGGCCGAGTCGACCTAGGGGAGGCCCAGGACCGGCGCAGATATTCGTCGCCGGTGTTGGCCAGGATTATATCGCACCACCAGTAACCACCGCGTTCCACCACGCACAGCACCAAAGACAAAGATCCCCCCTACAGCCTACACAGAGTCTTGGGGCAAAGTGCAGCGCCTATGAAGGCCGGGAACGACACACGAGGCGGTGGTGGGTCACCGACAAACAACGCGCGCCCTTGGCCGCATTTTTCTCCCTAGTGGCCAAGTCTACACACAGCACCACGTGCGACGCTTAATATTAAGAGGCCGATTCCACCGACGTCAGACCCAGGAACCAGTTTAAGATCATCGTCACTGTTGTTCCCTTCGTGAGAAAGGAATCGAACTCGAGTCGCTGGGTTCCTAAGTAATAATAATGGGGGAAAAAACATTCACGCAAATAACAAAAATATTTGTAGGCTCCAGTGAGAATTGAACTCACGACCCCTGGTTTACTAGACCAGTGCTCTAACCACTGAGCTATGGAGCCGCGGCACTACCGACGCACACGCGTACACACGTATGTAGTAGTACACGTGCGTAGTAGCACATGCGTGTGTATGTTTGACTGTTTGAGCCAGTGACAACTATTATACTGGTATGAACCTTCTGGTAACACCAGCCCACAGGGGATTATTGTGTCCGTCCGTCGTGCATCTAAAAATGGGAGGGGTGGGGCTGGGTGAGGAGGGGCTGGGTGGGGAGGGTGGGGCTGGTGGGGGGTGGGAGGGGTGGGGAGGGGCTGGTCACCCCGTGGTGCCCCTATAAAACTCAACGTTTAACCTACTCACGCCGGCTTGTGCCCGCCCTCACAGTCGGGCATATTTGCGGAATACACCACGCCGCCGCTGACCCTGGCCATTGACCGAGCAACCCAACGTTCCTACCAGCTCCCTCCGCAGGAATGTGTTAGTGTTAAGTCAAGAGGTGTGCTGACATGGTTGTAATGAATCTTTATTTGAAGTTTTCGTGACTGCAGGGATCCATACTCTTTGGTTATTTCGGTAAAGTCACGTAGGTATAAAATAAATTAAATCACGACGTTTCGGGCGCAGCAGTATAATACATCGGTATATGCATCGGAGTCGATTGGCTGGTGCTGTGTGGTGAGGTAAGGGGCCGTCCATAAATGACGTCACGCACCTAGGGGAGGGGGGGGGTCAGACATTTGTGACGATGTGTGACAAGGGGGGGGGGGGGTGAGAAATGTGACGTCACATCAAAATGCGCAACTTTCAATAAATATAGACAACACGTTCTACTTAATTAAATAGACTTCATAATAAATGTTTTCTCCTTCATCATCAGAGTGCAGCGGCACATTAAATACGCACCACAATGACAATAGTTTTAAGCGATTAGAAGCATGTTTTATTTTGGGGGTGGCAGAGCTTTATGACGTCATATTTGAGGGGGGTTGACTTTGTGACGTCGTGTGACGAGGTGGGGGGGGGTAAAAAATCGTCAAAAATCGCGTGACGTCATTTATGGACGGCCCCTAAAGTGTGGGTGCTCCCACCTCTTCCAAGATCTCAAGCCAGCATGGAGTAGTAGGCCAAATACTCTCGACACCTCCCTCTAGTGGAGGCCCTTCTGCCAACAGTGGTGTGAGCGAGTAATTTCACGGCTGCACCTTTATATTTACATCATAACCTAAGTGCTAATGGATCAGTCATAACAGCAATCGAAAAAGAATCAGCTGGTCACAGGAAAAACAATAACACAAAAATATTGGAAAATATATATTTTTTTAATTTGGGGAAGAATGTATATACAGTAATTGTGATCTAGATCTATAAATATATTCGTAGGTCAGTACATTACATACATTTCCGTTATACGGCAGTGT